GTCGTCCGCCGCCGCCGCCGCCGCGTCGTCGATCTTCGCCGCGGTCGTCGACGCCGCGCTTCGGCGACGACGGACGACGAGCGTCGCGCCGCGCGCGACGGCTTCCGATTCTTCGCCCCGCCGTCTCCCGCGCGACGTCGTCGTCGTCGCCGTCGCCGTCCGCGCCGCGCCCGAGGCGCGTCGACTGCCGCGCGATGCCGCCGGGGGCGTCGCCGACGTAGACACCGCGCGCGCGGACATCGACGGACGACGGCGCGCGAGCCGTGGACGCCGTGGAAGCGCCCTCGATGATGTGGCCGGTCGTGGCAGTGGGCACACCTGACTTGGCACACTTGCGCTGGCGCCAGGCGGTTCGTCCGCCTGGGAAAGTTCAAATAAGATGACGGCTCGATCACACCACGCGCGCGCCGCGCTTCGGCGAACGTCACCATAGCGGTCATGGCCCCACCCGACGCGACGCACGCGGACGCGATGCTCACGGAGCCGTCGTCCGCGGCGCCGCCGCACGAGATCTCCCCGCGCGCGACGCTGCCGTACGTCGCGCGCGACTCGAAGTTCAACCTGGACGCGAAGATCTACGGGCAGTACTTCCAGCTCTACTTCAACCGCCTGAAGATCCTCGCGCCGCGGCTCGAGGACGCGGTCCAGGCGAAGTGGCCGAACCTCCCGCGCGCGAAAGTCCTGGACCTCAAAGAAGGCGAGGAGTGCGTCCTGAGTGGGACGCTGTACAAGGACATGAAGCTCAAGCCGTGCATCCTCGACGAGTACGTCAAGGAGGCGGGCGTCAGCGCGAGCGCGGTCGCGATCGAGGACTCGAAGAAGACCAAGTTCGTCGGCGAGGACGACTCGATCGTCCTCGAGGACGAGGGCGCGAGGGTCAAGCTGACCGGCGCCGCGATCGACGTGAACGCGCTCGTGACCGGGGTCGTGTTGGCCGCGCGAGGGAGGGTCGTCCCGGGAGGGGAGTTCGAGGCGGATGAGATCTGTTTCCCGCGACCGGCGGCGGCGCGGCGCTCGGCGGCGCCGGCGGACGCGTCGACCGCGGCGGCGGCCGATTTGAAAGGGAAGCGCGTGGTGCTCGTCTCCGATCTGCGCGTCGGCGACCCCGCGAGCTCGAACCCGCTGAACCTGGAGCTGATGCTGGATTTCCTCACCGGCAACCTCGGCGGCGCCGCCGACGCGTCCGAAGCCGCGAGCGTCGCGAGAGTCGTCGTCTGCGGCGGCGCGCTCTCGAAAGCTGAGGTCCCCGCGTCTTCGCTCGACCCGAGAGAGAAGGCGCAGATATCGCGGCCGCTGCGCGAGCTCGACGTCTTACTCTCGCAGCTCTGCTCCAGCGTGCACGTGGACGTGATGCCCGGGGAGGGCGACCCGACGAACCAGGCGTTACCTCAGCAGCCGTTGCACCCGTGTCTGTTCCCGTCCGCGGCACGGTACGACACGTTCGCGGCGTCGACGAACCCGCACGAGTTCGACGTCGGCGGCGTCGGGTTCTTGGGAACGTCCGGGCAGAACATCAGCGACCTGTGCAAGTACACCAACGTGCGCAAAGGAGGAGGAGGCGAAGTCGAAGGCGAAGGCGAAGGCGGCGACGCGGCGGCGGCGGAGGAGCGTTTAGATCTGATGGAGTCGTCGCTTCGGTGGCAGCACCTCGCGCCGAGCGCGCCGGACACCCTCGCGTGCTACCCGTACAAGGACAGGGACCCGTTCCACCTCGACGCGTGCCCGGACGTGTACTTCGCCGGGTGCCAGCCCGCGTTCGGGAGCAGAGTCGTGGAGCTGGAGCGCCGCGGCGCGGGCGCGGGCGCGGGCGGGGAAACGACGAGGACGCTCGCGGTGAGCGTCCCGTCGTTCGCCGCCACGGGGACGATCGTGATGGTGGACTTGGAGACGCTGACGTGCACGCCCGTGACGTTCGGAGATGGCGGCGCGGCGCGATGAGACGCGATGAGACGAGATGTGTTACGTCGGTCGGCGTTTCGGTGTTTCGCGTTCGCGGTCATTTTTTTCAACGACGATGAACAGAATGCGTAAAAATTTCTCGCGACGCGACGCGTCGTCCTCATCCGTTGACGAGCCCATCAGCACCTCGCCCAACAGCGGTTGCACTCGCCCGCGCAGTCGCCGACGCAGTCGAGGTTGTTCCCCAGCACCTGCGGCACCCTCAAGATGTAGTTCGCGAAGTTTTTCGTCCCGCGCTTCATGAAGTAGTTCTTCTCGATGTGCGCCACGTTGGGCTCGAGGCGCTCCGCGACGTCGCACCCGAGCACCTCGGGCACCTTGGTCAGGATCTCCGCCACCTTGTCCTCCGCGATGCCGATCTCGACGAGGTACGCGATGCGCGCCTCGACCGCGTCCGCGTCCGGGATCTCCTCCGTCTTCTCGTTGCGCCAGTAGCTCTGCGCGCCCCACCCGAACGCGCGGATCAGCGTCTTCTCCGCCTTCTCGTCGTCCACGCCCACGAGGTCCATCACGAGCGCCTTTGAGCTCTCCCACGCCGCGAGGTCGTCCCCCGTCAGCGTGGACGCGACGTCGGCGACCGCCGCGGACGCGCGCGTCGTCGACGCGGCGCCGGCGCCGGCGCGGCGGGCGCGCGCGCGCGCGAGGCGCGGCGCGAGGACCGAGGGTCTCGATGCGGTGGCGGCGGCGGACATGGGGCGCGGCGGTGTGACGGACGGGATGGATGGCGCGAGAGCGTCGACGTGTGCGGTTCTCGTTCCGCCGTTTCGCGGCTCGCGCGAGTGGGAAGGGTGCGGGTGCCGGTGCCGCGTTTCCACCTGTTTCCGTCTGGTCCCGTCTTCGCGGCGGGAGGCGACGAGTCCGGCACCGCGCGCGGCGCGTCACCCCCCGCGCGGCGTCGGCGTCGGTCCTCGAGCGCGCGGCCGGAGGAGTTCCTTCTTCTCGCTCGCGGGCGTCGTCGTCTCGTCGTCGTCCTCGCGTCGAGACAGGACCGCTCGCCCAGCCCCCGGCCGCGATGGAGTTCCGCAACGCGTCGATGTCCGAGGACTTCAAGCGCGGGGACATCGCGAATCGAAAGACCGAGGTCGGGTTCGCGGCCGCGAAGGGCGAGGCCGTGGAGGCGCTGTTCAAGGAGCAAACCGTGGGGCTGAAGACGAAGTGAGGCGACGCCCGACGCGCTCTCCTCGCGCGGCGCGGACGCGTCGCGAGACGACGACGCGTCGTCCGCCGTCCGCGCCGGTCTCTTAGGGTTGATTCGATTCGATTCGACGCGATCGATCGAACCCTCGATTCGAGCCACGATCTCGAAACGCGGGGGACCGCCCGCGCGCTGACCCCCTCCCGCCCTTCCCCGCGCGTCCCCTCCCTCTCGACCGCAGGGATGAGTTCTCGAGTAAGCGCAAGGAGATCGAGGACGAGCTCGCGGCGCAGAGAGCGCTCGCGGAGAAGGCGAAGGCGGCGGACGACGTCGAACGCCTGGAGAGGAGACGAAAAAAGAGCAAAAAAGCGATACGCGCCGCGACGTGCAAGCTGTCGTTCGACGACGACGAGGAGGACGGCGACGAGGGTGGTAACGGTAACGACGGCGGCGTTAACGCCCCCGACGCCGCGGGCGGCGGCAAGTTCGGCAAGCTCGGGAAGAACCCCGCGGTGAAGACGGACTTCCTCCCCGACCGCGAACGCGAGCTCGAGGCGACGCGAGAGGCGATCAGGATGAAGGCGGAGGCGAAGGACGCGATCAAGGCCAAGCTCGAGACGGAGTTCGATCTGCACTTCGCGTACTGGATGCCGCGGGGGAACTTGATGCAGGACGTGAAGAAGATGCGACACTCGATGAGGGTCAAGTACGGCGACACCGTGGGCGACTTTTTGGACAAGTTTAGGGACGAGCATCACAGAGAATACAGAGAGCTCGCGCACGTCACGGGCGCACAGTGCATGTTCGCGAAAGAAGGTCTGATCATCCCGCACCACCACACGTGGTTCGAGCTCGTGCAGACCGGGTGCGTGATCTTCGGGAAGAACGTGTTCGCGGACCTGGATAAGCCGCCGAAAGAGGAGGAGGAGAAGGAGAGGGAGAGGGAGAAGAACGAGAACGCCGCCGACGGCGACGACGAGAAAAAAAAAGACGCCGCGACGAGGGAGAAGGACGACGCCGTCGCCGGGGGCGTCGCGCCGACGCAGTCCGCGGCGATGGAGTCTCTCAAGATATACTCCCTCCTGGACGTCGGATGCGTGTTAGATCGCAGGTGGTTCGAACAGAACCGAAAGACGTTTCCGATGGTGAAGTGGGAGACGTACGACGCGACGAAGGACTACCGCGTCGCGTTCGTCGGCGACTCGGGGCCGGCGGTGGTCAACACCGAGCACGTGAGCTGATGGACGGCGTTGACGAGTAGCGGTGGTAGTGCGGACCTAGCGCGCGCGCGTCGTCGCGGATTGATTTTTAATTTAATCGAACACGTCGCGATGAAAAGAATGAATCACTGCTAAGGAACTACACCGTACACTTTATTTTTCTTGAGTCACATGCCCTTCGTCATGCGAAGGATCGCCGCGGTCGCCGCCTCCGTGAGCGTGGTGTTGTGCTTCTCCGCGTACGCCTGAAGCGCTTCGAACGCGTCGCGCTCGACCATGACGCGGGGGAGGCGCCCCGTCGCGGCGACCGGCGCGGGTGCGGGCGCCGCCGGCGCGGGCGCCGCGGCGACGGGCGCCGCGGCGACGGGCGCCGCGGCGGCCTCGTACGTCTCCTGCGCCTTCCTGATCGCGTCGAACCCGACGCGGTTCGCCCACGCCCCGAGCGTCTCGCCGCTGGTTTTCGTCTTCTTAAACTCCGCGAAGATAGGCTCGAAGAACGTCTCAAGGTTCGTCTCCTTGACCTTGTCCGCGAACGGACGCGCGAGCGTGAGCAAGTTGGACTCGCCGCCCAACCAAATCTGATACGACCCCGGGCCGTCGCCGACGAACCCGAGCTCGGCCATGTACGGCCGCGCGCACCCGTTCGGGCACCCGGTCATCCTCACGATGAACGCCTCCTCCTTGGGCAAACCCACCTTGGTCATCGTCTCGCGCAGGCGCTTGTTGACGTCCGGAAGGCCGCGCTCGGCTTCCGTGATGGCGAGGCCGCACAGAGGCAGCGCCGGGCACGCCATGGACAGCTTGTCGATGGGATCGATCTCGCTCGCGTCGACGACGCCGGCGGCGGCGAGCGTCGTCGTGATGTCCGCTTTCCACGCCGGGTCGATGTCGGTGAGCAGAAGGTCTTGCTGCGCGGTGAGGCGCACGGGGAGTTCGTAGCGTTCGATGACCGCCCTGAGCGCCTTCTTCGCGTCGCCTCGCAGGCGGCCGTTGACGACGTGCACGCCGTACCACATCTTGCCGTCGCCCTGGTCGTTCCAGCCGTGGTACGTCGGCACCGTGAACTCGGGGAGGTCCGCGAGGGGTTCGAACTGTTTCCCCATGTACTGTTCCGTGACGGACTTGAACTTTTCGACGCCCCATGAGTGGATGAGGTACTTCAGGCGCGACTGCTTGCGGTCGTCGCGCCGGCCGTAGTCTCGCTGCGTGCACGCGATCGCCTTCACCGCGTAGAAGATGTCCGCCTTGTCCACGTACCCGATCGGGGACGCCATGCGCGGGAACGTGTCGTTGTTTCGATGCGAGCGGCCCATCCCGCCGCCGGCGTAGACGTTGTACCCGACGTGCTTCCCGTCCTTCATGACGACGCAGATCCCGATGTCGTTCGTGAGAAAGTCGATGTGGTTGTCCCCGGGGACGGTCACGCCGATCTTGAACTTGCGCGGGAGGAACTGCGTGCCGTAGATGGGCTCGGGCGACCCCTCAAAGTTGGTTCCGAACCGATTATCGTTTCTGCACTCCACAACCTCCGGCTTCTCCACGGTGAGCAACTGCTCGCCGTCGAGCCACACGTCGTAGTACGCCCCGCTCTGCGGCGCGAGGAGATCCCCGAGATCTTTCGCGAGCTCCTGCGCTATGGCGTATTCCGGTCGCGCGGCGGCGGCGTACGGCGCCGGGCTCGCCATCACATTCCGGTTGATGTCCCCGCACGCGCCGAGCGTGCTGCCCATGTTTCGAATCACCGCCTGGAACGTCGCCTTGAGGTCCGTCTTCAGGATGCCGTGCAGCTGGTACGTCTGCCGCGTGGTGAGGCGCAGCGTGCCGTTGCCGTGCGTGTTCGCGAGGTCGTCCATGACGAGGTACAGTTTGTTCGGCACCGTCCCCGCTGGTTGTTTCGTGCGCATCATGAACTGGTAAAACTTCCCCGCGCCGAACGATCGCTTCTCGCGGTCGTCCTGCTGGTACCCGCCGTGGAACTTGTACAGCTGCGCGGCGTCTTCGCTGATGGAGCTCGCCTCCGTCGCGAGCTCCGCGATGAGCGGGTGGCGAAGGAAGTCGGAGTTCTCTTTGATGATCTCAACCTTGCTTCGCTTGGGTCCCTCCTTCGTCTTCTTTCCCGAGGGGACGGCGACTGCGACGATGGGCCCCCGGGCGGCGCGGCGCGCGACGGAGGAGGGTCTCGCGCGCGCGCGACCGGCGTTCAGCCGAGCGGGCTTGAACCCGAGGAAGGCTGGAGGCGCGCGCGAGGAAGAGGGAGGGAAGGAGGGAGGGGGGGGGGTCTCGGTCAGAAAAAGCTCGCTCCTTTTTTTTTCTTTCGGTAGTTGACGGCGGAGCGCGGGGGGGAGGGGGAGGCGCGGAACGGAGGGAGACGCACCGTTGACGCCGGACGCGGACGCCATCGCGGCCATCTCAGATCTCGCGGCTTCGCGCGGTGGATGGAGCCCTGGGGAGTCGAGGACGCGAGGGACGATCACGGTCAGCGGAGGAGGGTTTACGCGTGAAGAAATCGGCTCGTTGATTGCGCCCCGCCGCGATATTTTCCAACGCGCCGGCCGGGGCGCGACGCGCGACGAGACGCGCGCGCGACCGAAACGCCGCGCGCGCGTCGCGGAAGCGCGCGAAGGGCGCGAAGTCGCGGATCGCACCTGTGCGTGTGGGTCACGACGCGACGTGCGCGCGGGCGCGACGGTCGATTCTGAGCGACGACCTGACGTCACCAAAAAGACGCCCGCACCGAGATCACCCGATGGTTTAATAAACGTAAAACACGTGCGCTGCTTGATCGAGCCGCGCCGCGCGCCGCAAAAGACCTCAAAAGTCTCCCGCCAGCCGACGCGTGTTTCTGCGGCGCGCGCGGCCTGGCGTGGAAACTTACTTCTGCAGGTCAAAGAGACGACGGCGGCGCGATTGCGACCTCCTCCGCTCACTTTACGTCGCGCGTCGTGCACCTCACGTCGCCGCTCGATCGCTGCGCCGTCAGATACGCGCAGGCTCCGCACGCGCGCACACGCGATCGATCGCGTCTCGCCGTCGCTGAAGGAAGGAAGTCAAGTCGTCTCGCTCATAGAAAAAAAAGATGAGCGTCGTCGGCCTCGACTTCGGTAACGCCAACAGCGTCATCGCGCTCGCGCGACGCAAGGGCATCGACGTCGTGTTAAACGGCGAGTCCAAGCGCGAGACGCCCTCGATGGTGAACTTCGGGGAGAAGCAGGTGCGCGTCGAGTCTCCGTCCGCGCGTCCTTCGCGTCGCCGCGCGCCCCGCGGCTCGCGCGATCTGATCTCCTCTTCTTCCAATCGTCGCTCGTCGCGTCTTCGCGCGCCTTCGATCGATCGGCGACGCGACGCGACCCCGCGACCGCGCGCGATCGCGGACCGGGGGGCGACGCCATCGATCGCGGACGCGCCGCGACGCGCGCGCGACGCGACGCGAATCGCGAGCGCGTCGTCGCGATGCCCCGCGCGGCGTCGCCATCGCGCGCGCGCGTCGCCATCGCGCGCGTCGCCGCCGTCGCGTCCTCTCGACCGCTCGACTCCCCTCTCGCGCCGTCTTTTTTTTCGTCTCCCGATCTGATCTGACCGTCCCTCCCGCGCGCGATCTTCTCGCCCCCTCCCTCGAACGCCAGCGCTTCCTCGGCTGCGCGGCCGCGGACAAGATCAACATGAAGCCCAAGGACACGATCGTCCAGCTCAAGTCCTTGATCGGCCTGCGGTACTCCGACCCCGAGGTGCAGGCGATGCTGCCCAACTTTGTGTTTCCAATCGCGGGAGGCCCGAACGACGAGATCTTGATCACGGTGACTTACATGAACGAGAAGAAGGCGTTCACGCCGGAGAGGCTCGTCGCGATGGCCCTCGCGGACCTCAAGATCATCGCGGAGCAGGACCAGGGCAGCAAGGTGACGGACGCGGTGATATCCATCCCGGTGTTCTTCACCGACGCGCAGAGGCGCGCGATGCTCGACGCGGCGTCCATCGCGCAGCTCAACGTGCTGCGATTGATGCACGAGACGACCGCGACCGCGCTCGCGTACGGCATCTTCAAGACGAACGAGTTCACGGACACGCCCACGAACGTGGTGTTCGTGGACGTCGGGCATTCCGCGATGCAGGCGTGCGTCGTTCGATTTACCAAGTCGCAGCTGAGGGTGATGTCCACCGGATTCGATCGGAAGCTCGGCGGGCACGCGTTCGATCTCGCGATGTTCGATCACTTCTGCGAGGAGTTCGGCGCGAAGCACAAGATCGACATCAAGTCTAACGCGCGCGCGTCGTTGCGCTTGAAGATCGCGATCGAGAAGATGAAGAAAATTCTCAGCGCCAACCCGGAGGCGCCCATAAGCGTCGAGTGCATCATGGACGAGGTTGACGTCAAGTCGTCCATGACGCGCGAGAAGATGGAGGAACTCTCCCAAGGTTTACTCGAGAAGCTCATGGGCCCGGTCACGACCGCGATGAGCGAGGCTGGGCTCGTCCCCGACGACATCGCCGCGGTGGAGCTGGTCGGTAACGCGTCGCGGATGCCGTTCATCTCCGCGCAGCTCGAGGCGTTCTTCGGGCAAGTCCCGGGCCGCACGCTCAACGCGAGCGAGTGCGTCGCGAGAGGGTGCGCGCTCCAGGGCGCGATGCTCTCGCCGCAGTTCAAGGTGCGCGACTTCGAGGTCGTGGACTCGTTCCCGTACCCGGTGTCGTTCGCGTGGGCGAGCGAGGACGGGGAGGCGAAGGAGCTGGAGATTTTCGAACGCAACAACGCGGTGCCGTCGTCGAAGATGATGACCTTCTTCCGCGACGAGACGTTCACGATCCAGGCGAAGTACACGACGCCGACGCTGCTGCCGCCCGGCACGGAGCTCGCGATCGGGTCGTTCGACATCGGACCCATCGCGCGCGCCAAGGACACGGAGGAGAAGACGAAGCTCAAGGTGAAGGTTCGTTTGAACCTCAACGGCCTCGTCTCCGTCGAGCAGGCGCAGGCGATCGAAGAGATCGAAGAGGAGGTCGTCGTCGAGCCGCCGCCCGCTCCGCCCGCCGCCAAGGAGGACGAGCCCATGGCGGACGCGGAGAAGCCCGCGGCGGAGGACGGCGGCGCGGAGAAGATGGACGCGGACGCCGCGCCCGCCGCGCCCGTCGTTGAGAAGAAGAAGAAGGTGAAGAAGACGGACGTCAACGTCGTCTCCGTCGTCGGCGGCCTCCCGTCGCAGGTGCTCGAGACGTTCGTCGCGGAGGAGTACGAGATGGCGCTCCAGGACCGCGTCATGGAGGAGACGAAAGAGCGCAAGAACGCGGTCGAGGAGTACGTGTACAGGATGCGGTCGCAGATCGCCGATAAGTACGCGCCGTTCGTGGAGCCCGCCGTCGCGGAGGCGTTCAACGCGACGCTCAACGCGACGGAGGACTGGCTCTACGAGGACGGCGAGGACGAGACGAAAGGGGTGTACGTCTCGAAGCTCGCGGAGTTGAAGGCGGTCGGGGACCCGATCGAGGCGAGGCACGCGGAGGAGACGCTGCGGCCGCCCGCGTGCGACGCGCTGCGCGCCGCCGCGAGCGGGTTCCTGAGCCAAGCCGCGCCGGACCCCGCGCACGAGCACATCGACGCGGCGGATCTCGAGAAAGTTCGCGCGGAGGCTCAGGCCGCGTTGGATTGGCTCTCGGAGAAGGAGGGACTCCAGGCGGCCGCCGCGAAGACCGCGGACCCGGTTCTCGTGTCCAATGACGTCGTGAAGAAGCGCGAGGGGCTGGAGCGCATGTGCGCGCCGATCTTGTCGCGGCCGAAGCCGAAGCCGCCGCCGCCGCCGGCGCCCGAGCCGGACGCGGCGGAGGCGAAGGACGCGGACGCCGACGCGGGCGCGGCGGCGGGCGAGGGCGAGGGCGCGGACGGCGCCGCCGCCGACGCCATGGACGTCGACGCGGAGGAAAAGCCCGCGGCGGGCGCCGCGGACGACCTCGATTGACGCGCGGCGCGGAGGAGGAAGAGTGATGGACGATGAATAACCCAAAACGACGACGCGGAGGCTGGCGAGGGGCGGCGGCGACGACGAACGACGCCCCTCGAGATTTTTTCCCCGCTCGCGAAGCGAGCGTGACCGACTTTGTACATACGAGCGCGACTACATCGTATCATATTCACCCTCGACGCCGCGGACGCTTCGCCTTCCTCTCGGCGAGATCGGCGCCCGGATTAGGGTTCGAACGTCGCTCTCTCGGACCGCGCGCGCGCGGCGAACCCGGCGCCGACGAACGAACTCGCGCTCGACACTCGCCCCCCCCCACACACACCCACCCACCCCAGCGCCCGCCTCTCCTCTCTCGCGCGATGACGACGCCTTCGTCGTCGTCGTCGTCGCCGCCGCGCCCTCTCCCGCGCGCGCGCGTCCTCCTCGCGGCCGCGTGCGCCGCGATCGTCCTCCTCGACCGCGCGTCCGCGGCGGCGGCGGCGCCCTCCTGCCCGCTTTCCTCTCCCTCCGCGCGCGACGCCGCGTCGACGGACGCGTCGCGCGCGTTCGACGCCGCGGGGTTCGACGTCACCGAGGGCGCGATGTGGGTGTTCAAGTACGCGGACATCGACGAGGACTGCCGCGACTGCTACCACGTCAACCCGACGAGCACGTACGGGTGCGCGCTGCTGGTGCGCCGCGGCGGCGTCTCGGTCCGCGTCGTCCGCGCTGCTCCGTTCGGTTTGGTTTTCTTTTGACGCGGCGTCGTCCTCATCCTCCTCCTCCTCCTCTCCCCCCCTCGCGCAGCCGGTGACGGACGCGCCCACCGCGTTGCTTCGCCGGAGCGAGGCCGCGGAGCGCGCGCGCGTGGCGGAGCGCGCGGCGAGGTCGAGGTCGACCGACGACGACGACGACGACGACGACGCCTCGGCGCCGCGGCGGCCGGCGTCCGCCTCGCGCGCGGGCTCCTTGCCGTCCACGGCGACGACGCGCGACGCCTCGTCCGACTCCACCGCCGTCGTCGTCGACGCCCAGAGGCCGATCGCGGCGATCGTGGACGCCGCGCGGCGACGCGCGGAGTACCGCGAGGCGTCCAACGACGCGCTGTCCGCGCCCGCGTTGGGACTCGCGTCGTCGTCGTCGGCGGCGGCGGCGATGCAACGCGTCATCCCCGACGGCTCCGACGGCTCGGATGCGTCGTGCGAGCTGTCGCTGAGGCCGGACGAGGTCATCGCCGTGATCGGATGCACGCCGCCGCGCGCGAAGTACTTCGGTCTGACTCCGTACTTACACAGAGTCTACCAAGCCGGGTCGGTGAGGACAGCCTTCGCGTCGCTCGGCGATTCGTTATCCGCGGGCGTCGCCGGCGGGTTCGACGGCGACGACTCGCGGTACTTCACGCGCCTCAGCACCGCAGCGGGGACGGTTCCTCGCGGCGGCGGCGGCGTCCTGCGAGGCGTTGACTGCTTCGATCGCGGCTTCGCCGCGCTGTTCGGGCTGTCGCGGACGACGCTCGATCGCGCCGCCGACGCGTTGGCTTCGTCCGGGGCGGTCCCCGGAGGCGCCGCCGCGATCAACTCGTACGGCCTCTCGACGCAGAACGGTGGACTGCTGACCTCCTACGACGCGGTCACGCACGCGGTGCTCTTGAGGCACGCGGTCGCGGAGGACGAGCGCCTTTGGGACGCGTTCGCGAACGATCCGCCGTTCGTGGTGCTGCGGCTGACGCCTCAGGCGCGTTCTATACACTGGTTCCCATACGACCCCGTTCGCGTGGTGAACGCCGTTTCTTAAGGACTTTGCCCGTCGTCTCTCTTCGCCCACCCCTCGCTTTTAATCCCCGACCGCGGCGCCTTTCAACTCCAACTGACACCTTTCAACTCCACCCTGACATTCGCTTGTATGGAACGACCCTCAGCGCGCGCCGATGTTTCTCCGGCCGTTCCCGCGGGCGTCGCTGATCCCTCGTGAAACGCTCGACGAGCGTCCGTTACTCCCTGCAGTCACCGCCGTCGCGAGCGCGGTCGCGTCGCACTTCTCGAGCGTCGGCGACTTCGTCACGACGCAGAACACGGGTGCGCAGATCCTGTTCGACAACGGCCAGCAGTGCATCGACACGACGTGGAATTGCGGCGGGGATAACAGGGACACGACGTACATACGAGGGCCGACGTTTCGCATTCCCTCGAACGACGTCGTCGTGTACGTCGTCGGCGTGAATCACGCGACGACCGGGAACGCGCACTACGCGAACCTCGCGGTGTATAACCAAGCGCGGAACCTCGGCGTCGTCGCCGTCGACGACGCGAGCTACGAAAACACCGCCGTCGAGTGGCTCCGAGGGACCGTCTACGAGGACGACGCGCCGTCGCTGTACGCGGTCGCGTTCGCGCGGACGTGTCCCGATGGCGCGCGGAGGCGCGACGTGCCCGGCCTGCACGGCCGCGTCGGCGGAAGAATGCCGGACGGGACGCTGTGCGTCGAGGTCCCCGCGACTGGGTTTCCGTCGGCGGCGGCGGACGAAGATCTGGTCGTCATGGAAAGGCCGTACAACACGCTCGGGACGACGGTCGGGCCGGAGTGGAACACGCTCGCGCTACCGGTGGTCGTCACCGTGCGGAGGAACTCGCTCGCGAGCGCGCTGGACACGTTCTGACGGGATGGACGCGGGGAGTCGACAGGCGGCGTTTTCGTTTTCGTTAAACGTTTCCGCGCGACGACAGACAGGAACCAACAATCCCTAAGTGCGTCTGCTCTCCTACCTCTCGCCGTCCGCGCGCCGCCGCGCCGCCGCGATCGCGATCACTTCCCCCCCGCCTTCCCGATCGCCGCGCCGCGGTGGTTGAAGATCATGAAATCCCCAACGCGCTCCATCCCCGGCGGCGCGGCCTCCCGCGGCGTCGCCTTGATGGGGAGAAACTCCCCCGCGAAACCGCACGCGCCCCACGCGCACAGCGCCGCGCCCGCGACGCACTCGAGGACGACGCCGAGCGGCACCGCGGCGAACTCCTCGCCCGCGAGCTTCAGGTTATCGTTGTGCGCGATCACCGCGTAGCACGCGTGGAAGAGGACGAAGAACCCGGCGACGGCCGCGAACGCCGCGGAGTTGCCGTCCAACGCGCCCATCGCGCCTCCTCCCCGCGGCGGGCGAGATCGCCGGACGTTCGATCGATCGGCACCGAGAGGGTTCGTCTCACTCCCGCCGCGCCGCGGTTAGAGCGGGTTCCTCGACGCCCGGAGACGCTCGCGGCCGCGTCGGACGGCCGCGGCGTGGACGCGACGGCGTCGACCGCGCGCGGGGGACGGGCGCGAGGCGTCTCGCTCGCCGCGCGTCGCGGAGTGTACTCGTAGCGGCTCGGGTTCTTTTGACCGACGGACCCTTCGCTCGCGGCGCGCGTCTGGGACATCGCATCGCGCGTCGGTTCGCCTCTGCGCTCTTCGCCAGCAGCTCCGCCACGTCACCGCCTCTCTCGTCCTTCTCCGATACGCGAGCGCGCTCCGCGCACACCGCCCCGGCACGAGCCCCTCGCGCCACGACGCGTACATGATCTCCGCCGCCGCCGCATCCGCGCGCGTCATCGCCTCCGCCCCCGTCGCGTCCCTCCGCGCCGCGAAGCCCGCGCGCGCGTCCGCCCCGCTCCGCGTCTCCCCGCGATCGCCGTCGCGCGGTCGCGCGATCGCGACGAGAGCGTCCGAGAACGAACTCATGGAACAGCTCATGGCGATGCTCAACGGCGGCGGCGCCAAGTCCGCGCTCATCGACGAGAAGGACGCGCTCCCCGGTCGCAAGGAAGAGATGAAGGTCACGAACAAGCACTACGTCCTCGGGAACCCGATCAAGGAGCCGTTCCCGGACAACCTCGAGACGTGCGTGTTCGCGACCGGATGCTTCTGGGGCACCGAAAAGATGTTCTGGCGCGTCCCCGGGGTCTACTCCACCTCCGTGGGATACTGCTCCGGGCACACGCAGAACCCGACGTACGAGGAGGTGTGCAGCGGACGCACCGCGCACACGGAGGCGGTCCAGGTGGCGTGGGACCCGAAGATCGTCTCCTTCGCGGACCTCCTCGCGATGCACTGGACGTGCCACGACCCGACGCAAGGCATGCGGCAGGGCAACGACAGCGGGACGCAGTACCGCAGCGGGATCTACTGCTCCACCGCGAAGCAGCTCGAGGTGGCGAAGGACAGCGCGAAGGCCTACGCCGCGGCGCTGGAGGCGGCGGGGAGGAGCGGGAAGATCACGAGCGATCTGATCGGGCCGGAGGGAAACACAGTTTATTACTTCGCGGAGGATTATCACCAGCAGTACCTCGCCAAGCCCAACGCGCGGCCGTACTGCTCGGCGCAGCCGACGGGGGTGCCCGTGCCGGAGACGTGGCTCAAGGCGAACGGCGCGAAGCTGAGCGCGGGGTACTGGGCGAAGTACGGGCCGAGGCCGGGGTGCACGATTCAGGTCGCGAACGAGCCGGTGCCGCTGGAGGAGGCGATGAAGGCGTGATACGGACGAGGCGGCGACGCGCGCGCGCGCGAGGAACGAGAGAGGGCCGCCGAGAGAGCGGACTCTAAGAGCGGACGAACGAGTCGACGGACGGATATAATGAATGACGCGACGATAATACGTGTCACTACTGCGTGTCACTACTGTACGCGTGCGTCATGACGCGCGCGACCGCCCGCGCGGCCTTTTCGGAGAATCGCGTCGCGTCGCGTCGCGTCGTTCGTTCGTCGCGTCCCGTCGAGTTACTAGTCTATCTATCGCGTCTTCCTTCTTCCTTCGTTGCCTTCGTCTTCTTAAACGAGTTCGCGTCCCGCGGTCGTCGACGTCGCGCTCACGCGCCCACGCCGACGTTATCGCCCCCCGCGTCGTCCGCCCCGCGCGGACGAAACACGGCGTACACGCGCTCGCTCAGCACCGGCCCCACGCGCCTCTCCGCGCCCCCCGCGCCGCCGGCGCGGATCAAGTCTTTCAAGAGCTCCCGCTTCTCTCGCTCCGTCGCGCTCGCGTCCGCGTACGCGCGCATGAGCGCGTCCATCGTCGGGTACGCGCGGACGATCGACAGCGCGGACGCCTCCGCGCACCCGGCGATCTTCATGAGCGCTCCCGCCCACACCTCAGCCTGGGACTTCGCCCGCCGCGCGCCGCCGCCCCGGCTCTGGCTCTCTCCGTTCTGATGAGGTGCGTTCCGTGCGAGCGATGATATCGGGATGGAGTTGAAAGGCGTCAGAAGCGGAGTTGAAAGGCGTCGAGGTGTGTCGGGATTGAAAGCGAGGGACCCTGGGCGGAGAGATGCGCCGGGAAGTAAAGTCCTGAAGGATCGGCGTGCGCCGCGCCGACGCGGTCGTAATACAGTATATGGGACCAGTGTGAGACAGAACGCGCCTGACTCTCTCCGTTCTGACCGTCCTCCGTCGTCGCTTGGCTCGAACCGTGATGGACGCCGTCGACGCCGACGCCCGCGCCCCTGGACCCGCGCGCCGCCGCGGCCTCGAGCGCGACCCCCGCCGCGAGCGTGGACGACGCGCACCCCAGGATGTCCAGCGCGGTCTCCTCCCGTTCGAACGGCCGTCTCGCGAGCTGTGATAGGTCGAGGGAAAACACGTGTCAGTCACGTGTTCATGTGATTGGTGCATATCATACCCACGTGTCAAAAAGTGAGGTTCACAGCGCGCGAATGAACGCCTTGATAAGAAACGACGATCAACGCGCGAACGGAGTCGTACGGGAAGCGGTCTCACCGCGACGGCGACGGCGACGACGGCGTCCACCGCGTGCGGCATGTCCTGCGCGGTGCTCACGCGCAGACCGCGCCCGCCGCGTCCGACGTATAAGCGCGCGAGCGCGACGTCGACGTGCTTCTTCGAGAACCCGTGGATCCCGCGCGCGCGGTGCTCCCTGCGCTCGCGCGCGACGCAGTGCGCCTCGAGGCCTTGGACGAGCAGCGACAACGCGTGCCCTCGCGGTAACGTCGCGCGCGCGTCGCGAAGCAACGCGCGGAGACCCCCCGCGGGCGGCGACTCCCCGCCGCCGCCGGTTCGATCCCCGCCGTTTCCGCCGCCGCCGCCGCCGCGGCCGAGCGCGACCTCGTGCTCGTGGTCCACGACGCACATGTCCGCGAACCGCTCCGCCTTGAGATACAACATCGTGTACGTCGCGTCTCTCGCCGTCGCGTCTCCCGCGGCGACGGGCGCGTCCGACGGCGGGTGATACCTCCACGTCACGCTCCACGGGAGCGGGAGCGACTCCGCGCGGTGCATCAACGGCGTCAGTCCGCGGCCGCCGTCGCGGACGCCGCCGTCGAGCGCGTCGGCGAGCGCGCGGCCGAACGCGTCGGCGGCGAGCGCGGCGTCGAGGACGACGGTGAGCATCTTAAACTTGTGTCGTCCGGTCGCGACGGAGGCTTCGTCCCTTCTCGCGCGTCGCTCGCGCGCGTCGCGCTCGCGGGTCTCCGCGCGACGCGCCGCGTCCGCGGCGGCGTCCGCGGCTTTTCGTCGCCTGATCTCGTCGCGCTCCGCCGCCTTGCGCGCGCGTTCGGCGTCCTTCTCGGCCGCTCGGCGCGCCCTCTGACGGTCGGCGTCGAGACGTTTTCGCTCGCGCGCGTCCGCCGCGTCGTCGCGTCCCTCCGCGACGTCCCCGAGCCGTCTCCACGCGTCGTCGTCGGCGGCCGCGGCGGCGGCGCGTCCGCGTCCGCGCCCGAGATTCGACGCGCGCGCGGTGAACGCGCGCGTGGCGTCCGTCGCGATGACAGCCAGATCCCCGCCGCTGCTCTGGCTGTCGATCGAGCCTCGCTCGACGCCGCGCGGCGCGCCGCCTCGCGGCGGAGAGAGCGAGACGCCGCTCGGGCCCGCGGGCGCGCGCCGCGCGCGCTTCGGCGACGGCGCGTCGTCGTCGCTGTCGACGAGGCAGATGACGTCCGCCATCGCCCCCGCCGCGCGCGACGCGCTGTGGCCGTCGAGTCGTCGCGTTGTGCGCTTTCGAAAACGAGCGCAGTGGCCCGGCCGGTGGACGATTGGAGCGGATAACCCGCCCCGCCGCGCCGTCGTCCGCGCCTCACTACACGTCGCACGATGGCGACCGTCGCGATGTCGCTCAGCGCGACGTCGTCGCTCCGGCTGCCGACGGCGCCGACGACCGCGTCGCGCGCGTCGTCCGCGCCGCGCGTCGTCCGCGCCGCGCCGCGGGGGCCCGCGGCGCGGAATCGCGCGCGCCGATCGGTCGCGGTCGGCGGCGGTGGATTACGATTAGGAGCGCGCGGACGCGCACGACGCGCGACGAACGTGAACGGAACGATGGTCGCCGCCGCTTCAGGCGACGGCGCGAGCGCGAGCCCGGCCATGGAAGACCCGACCGGCCCGGGCGGCGACGACGACCGCGGCGGCGACAGCGGCGACGACGAGAACGACGGCGAGTTCCCGTGGCCGGAGTGGGTCCCGGAGGGCCTGCGTCTGAACACGGAGGACGTCGCGACCGTCCTCGTCACGTTCGCGGTGTCGCTCTTGTTCCGCGCGACGATCGCGGAGCCGCGCTTCATCCCGAGCCTGTCGATGTACCCGGTGTTCGACATCGGCGACCGCCTCATCGCGGAGAAGATCACGTACCGGTTCAAGCACGACCCAGTCCCCGGGGACGTCGTCATCTTCCACCCGCCAAAGACGCCCAAGGTGCGTCCCGTACACTGGTTCCCATACGACCGCGTCGGCGTGGTGAACGCCGTTCCTTAAGGACTTTCGCCGGCGTGTCTCTCCGCCCACCCCTTGCTTTCAATCCCCGACCTCGACGCCTTTCAACTTCAACTGACGCCTTTCAACTCCACCCCGACGTCGCTTTGTATGGAACGACCCCAAGACGTCCGTCGCGCTGACGAAGGAGGTGTTCATCAAGAGAGTCGTCGCCGTGGCGGGGGACAAGGTGGAGGTGAAGAGAGGGGAGCTGTACGTCAACGACGCGTCGCGAGGGAAGGAGCTGAAGCTCGAGCCGTCGACGTACGTCATGGAGCCGCAGATCGTGCCCCCTGGGGACGTGTTCGTGATGGGGGACAACCGGAATAACTCGTTCGACTCGCACATCTGGGGGCCGTTGCCGAAGGAGAACATATTGGGGAGGGCGTGCTTCAAGTACTGGCCGCCGCAGAAGTTTGGGGAGTTACCGCGGTATCCGGCGCGGGTGGGCGCGGTGCCGGAGCGGTACTGAGTCGAGTCGCGCGCGGCGCGCGGTGGGCGGGCGGGAAGGGCGGAGACGAGAGAAGACTCGGGAAATATTCCTTCGGCGCGCGAAACTACAGTACTATTACAAAATCGTCGTTGATACACGCGCGCTCCCGCGCTCGCTCGCGTTTGTTTAATACCGCACCTTCGCCGCGTGCTTCGGTATTATCGCCGGCGGCCCCGAGCACGACACCCGCAGAATGTGCTCCGGCGGCGGCGTGATCTCGTGATGCCTGAGCTGGTACGCCCCCAGCCCGTTGGCGATACGGTCCATCGTCCCCGCCGGCCCTCTGAGGGTCGTTCCATACAAAGCGATGTCGGGGTGGAGTTGAAAGGCGTCAGATGGAGTTGAAAGGCGTCGAGGGCGGTGATTGAAAGCGAGGGGTGGGCGGAGAGAGACGCCGGCAAAAGTCCTTAAGAAACGGCGTTCACCACGCCAACGCGGTCGTATGGGGACCAGTGTATAGAACGCGCCTGAAGACCTTCTTCAGCGTCGGCTTTTTGTCGTCGACGGGCTTTTACATCTGAAGCTGGTAATACGGCTTCAGCTCCTCCAAGATTTTTTCCTGCGGCCCGAGCGCGTGCGCGTGCGCCATGCGGATGTCGTACACGCGGTGACGCGCGCTGAGCATCTCCCTCGCCTGCGCGACGTAGTTTCCGAAGATGTCGAACGAGTTCACCCTGAGCTGCTTCAACTTGTATCGATCATCCGCCTGCGCGCGTATAAACTTCTTGAGCTCCCTCTCGTAATACGCCGGCGCGAGCGTCGCGTGCTTCGCGTGCGCTTCGTCCTCGAGCTTATGCAGCTTTATCTTCATCCGCTCGCCCTCCGCGAGCTGATAGTCCGTGGGGTGACGCGCGTGCGACAGGTTTTTCAAGTACCGCCGCAGCTCCAAAACCTCTGGGGGAAACTTCGTGACTCGCGGTCCCGTCGGGTGCTTGCTGTGCGGCTTCGTCTTCTTAAACAGCGCGAGCTTCTGCTTCAACACGCGCTCCAAGAACGCCTCTTTCGCGTCCCAGTGCGCGGTCAGCGCGTCGTACAGCTCCGTGATCCTCACGCGGAAGAACGCCTCCTCGCGGTCCTCAACCTCCGCTCTGTATTCCCTCTCGAAGTGCTTTTGGATCCCCTCCACCTCCGCCGCGTGGTCTGCCTTGATCGTCTTTATCAGGTTCGTCCGGTTGTTCCACAGCTCCCCGGCCGCGGTGTACTCCCCGGTTTGGCACAGCTTTTTCGCTTGCTCGCGCAAGGTGGGGACTAAGCCGCGCAGAACCGCCCGGCGTTCTTTGTGATCGAGCAAGCCGTCGTGGTTGGTGTCGAATTTCCTGAGGAGAACGTTCACGTCCTCCTGGATGCCGAGCATGCGATACAGCTTCGGGTTTATGGACGCGAGCTCTTGGTAGTTCAACACGCCGTCGTCGTTCGCGTCGCCGCCGGTGAGGAGATTCTGCGATGGAGTCGAACGGGGAAGGAGGGGAGGGAGCGCGTGAGCGAGGATCGCGATTTGGATTATTTTATCCCGGGGGCGGGGCGGGGCGGGCGTTCGCGTTCCGTCCTGTCCATTTGCGCGATTCTCGAAAGACGCGAGTCGGGGGGGGAGGACGCCGACGCGCACCTTCATGTCCGTCACGGACCGCATCTTCGTCGACGCCTCGGACGTGATCTCCGCGGCGAGCTCGCGCTCCGACTGCCGCAGCGACCGCTGCGAGCGCAGCGTGCCGAGGTACGCGTCGCTCACGGACGACGGCGGGACCATCCTCGGGGACGCCGAGCTGAAGGAGTGGCGATTCTCTAGGTCGCTCGCGAGATCGTACGACATGACGCCTCCGCCGGGCTCTCTCTCTCTCGCGGGTTCGCCGCGCCGCGGTGGTCGCGCCCTGGCGAGGGCGGGGGCGGTCTCGACTGCGCCCGCGTGGCGGGGGGCGGGGACGTTGTGATCGATCGATTGACAAGCGAATTTATGACCCCTCTCGCGGTCGGTGGATTTGGCGCGCTCCCTGCCGCTCAACGGCGTCGACGTGCCCGCTGCCCCGCACTCCTCGCGGCGCCGCTCGCTCGCGCGTCTCGCCTCAGAGGACACCCTCGCGAGATGCTCGCCGCCGCTTCCTCCGCCGCGACCGCGCGCGTCGTCGCGCCGCGCGCGTCGTCGCGCCGCGCGTCGTCCTCCGTCGCGCGCGTCGCCGTCGCGTCGTCGACGCGTCGTGCGGTCTCTCGCGGCGGTGGCGGCCTCACGTTATCTCACACGACGACAACAGCGACGCGAACGCGCGCGGGCGAGGGCGAGGGCGAGGGCGCCAAAACGGCCGACGACGTCGAGGACATCCCGCCGTGGGAGCGCCGCGAGATCGAGAAGAAAGCCGCGATGGAGAAGGGCGGCCTGCCGTGGCCCGCGTACCTGGGACTCGCGGTGATCGTAGCGATCGCCGCGATCGGGAGCTGCTTCGAGCTGACGTACGAGAATCCCATCTTCGGCGTGGTGGGCGCGGACTCGTTCGCGTACAAGCCGATTCTGTTTTGGTTCATCGGCACCGGGTTTCCGCTCGCGGGGTGGTTGTGGACGAAGGGGATCGCGGGCGCGAACGAGGCCGCGGAGCTGCAGGACAAGCTCGACGGGTACTGACGGAGGGACGGACGACGCGAGAGAGGAGACGGGAAGGATTTTTTACCGAACCGCGAAACGACTTCTTCCTCTTCTTCTTCCTCTTCTTCCTCTTCTTCTTCCTCTTCTTCCTCTTCTTCTACTTCTTCTTCTTCTACCGCATCTACTCATCACCCACCCCCTAACCCCGCGACCAAAGATCCCTGCACGACGTCCACGCCCCCCGCGTGCGAAAACACGACCGCGCACACCGCGCACGTGATCACCACCCCCGCGATGTCCATCGCGACCTGAATCGTCGTCCCCGCGTTGGCCGGGTCCTGCCCCGCCGCCGCGAGCGCGAACGGCATCGCGCTGCCCGTCACCGTGCTCATCGTGACGATGACGAACAGACTCGTCGCGATGGCGGCGGCGCCGACAACCGGCGTCTGTTGCGCGACGTCGGACGCGATGACGTCGGACGCAGTGAGAGAGGCGCCGGCGTTCATGGAGAGCTCCGTGATTAGCACGCGCGCGAACCCGCCGGCGCCGAGGCCCGTCGCGAGGAGCAGCCCGACCCTCGCCTGTCGCCACACCGTCGCCTTGAAGCACGCGAACGTCGGCGTCATCTCCCCCGTGGCGAGGCCGCGAATGACCCTGATCGCGCTCTGGTTCCCCGCGTTCCCGCCCGCGCCGACGAGCATCGTTAGGAAGAGCGTGATGACGATGTTTTCGCGCACGAGAACCTCGTAGTTTTGAAGCACGACGGAGGACGTGGACTGAGGTGCGTTCCATGCGAGCGAACGTCGGGGTGGAGTTGAAAGGCGTCAGATGGAGTTGAAAGGCGTCGAGGTGTGTCGGGATTGAAAGCGAGGGGTGGGAGGTGAGAGACGCCGGGAATAAAGTCCTTAAGGATCGGCGTTCACCGCGCCGACGCGGTCGTACGGGGACCAGTGTGAGATAGAACGCGCCTGAAGCACGAGGAGGCCGAGGAGCCACTGCCCTCGCGTCCACGCCTCGTCCGCGACGGTGCCGTACTCGTCGGTCGGCGGCGAGACGGAGGCGTCGGAGGCGTCGTCGTCGTTGTCGTCGTCGCGCGCCTCGTCGTCGTCGTCGCCCTCCCCTCGCGTCGTCGTCGGCGCGCGCGCGCTCGACGACGTCGGATCCTCGTCATCCTCGCGCGACGTCGTCTTCGCGCGCTTCTTCGCCGCGCCGGGCGCGCGGACCCAGCCCGTCTGCGCGTCCATGAGCCTCCGCGCGAGGTCCCTCTGCACCCGCAGGCTCTCGGCTTTCTCCCTCTCCGAGACTCGCGCGCGCGCGCCGTCTTTCGCGGCGGACGCGGCGACGGGACGCGCGCGGGATGAGCGCGACTCGGGGCGAATCGGTGGACGTCGCGACTCGCGTCGGGGACGGGACGGGGCGCGGCGTCGACGCGACGACGCGCGGAGCGCGCGCGTCGCGGACGCGGCGCTCGGGAGCGCGCCGTGGCAGCGCGACGCCATCGCCGCGCACCCCGGGGTCGCGGGCGTCTGCGCGCGCCACCGCGCCTCGAGGAGTGGCGACGACTCGAGCCGCGCGATGGACGAGAACGCAACGCCAGCTCAGCTCAGCTCATCTTATCAGCTCTTCACAACGCCCCCGCGCGTCGCGTCGGCGGCCATGGCGCTCGCGTCCCCCGCCCTCGCGGCCGCGCGAGGCGTCGTCCTCGGACGACGACGCGAATCGGCGCGCGCGACCGCGGGACGCTCGGCGCTCGCGCGATCGCGTCCGCGCCCGTCGTCGCGACTCGGCGGAGACGACGGTGTCGGCACGCGCGCGCGATCGATGTCGACGTCGCGATCGCCATCGCGATCGCGCGTCGTCCCCGCGGCGGCGACCGCGGCGGTCTCCAGCGTCGCCCCGGGCGTCCCAGAGTTCGTGTGCGTGACGTCCGTGGCGTACCTCATCGCGTCGTTCCTCGCGTTCGGCCACGCCGCGTCGTCCTCCTCCTCCTCCTCCTCCTCCGCGCGCTGGACGGTCCGGTTCCTTCGAAGCAACGTCCCGATCGTCCCCCTGTGCGTCGCGTACGTCGTCATGCTCGTCGCGTCGTGGAGCCCGGACACGCTGTCGCTCATGATGCCCGGGTCCCTCGAGGCTGGGATAAGCGACGGGTTCAACCCGCAGTACTTCCCCAAACTGGACGGCATCATGACGTTGCTGTCTCGACGCGTCACCGCCGCGAGCGCGTGGCTGCATCTGATGTGCATCAACTTCTTCGTGGGGAAGCACGCGACGATCCGAGCGCTTCGCGAGGGGATCCCGGTGTGGCACACGCTGGCGTTGACGCTCCTGACCGGGCCGTTGGGGTTGTGCTCGCACTGGGTCACGAGAGCGGTGCTCAGGCGACGACGCGGCGGCGGCGGCGGCGACAGGGGGGGAGGCGGAGGGGGCTTCGGGAACGGCGGCGACGGCGGAGGGACGCGAAGGAAGGTGCCCTACGGGAGCGCGTACGGGAACGCCTACGGTGGCCCCGCGGACGCCGAAGGAGCGAAGGAGCGGGCGAGGAGGGCGTTGATATCCCGCCTCGCGTATAGACGCGAGTGATCGCGAGGGTACGCATGAGACTAAAAATTTCAGCTACTTACGCGGCGTCGTCGTCGTCCTTCTTCTTCTTCCCGCCGCCGCCAAACTTGAACGCGTTCTTCCGCGGCCGAACGAACCCGATGCACCGCTTCGTCCCCGGGTGCACCGCCTCCACCGCCTCCCCCGCGCCGTCCACGACCTCGCCGCCGTGATTGAACCACGACACGATCCCGCCGCACAAGTTGAAGACGTCGACGCCTTCGCCGAGCTTCTCCGCGATCAGCGGCGCGGCGACCCCAGACTCGAGCCCCACGGAGGACATCACCACGATGAAGTCGCACCCGTCCGCGGCGGAGAAGTCCCCGGACTCGATCGCCGCGGTCACGCTGGCGATCATCTCCTCTTCGCTCGCGCCGGACGCGGCGATCCCCGACAGCGCGATCGAGTCCTTGATCGTCGAGACGGCTCTCTCGTCCTCCGCGCGGCAGTCCACGACGGCGATCTTCTTCTTCTGCTCCGCCATGGAGTTCAGACGCTTCACCCCCATCTGTCGCGCCGTCGCGTGCGTCTTCAAGTTGGATACGTACGCCGCGAACTTGGTCGGGAGCTCCTCCGCGGGGTCCGGCTCCGTCGCCTCGCCGTCGGCGGCGAGCAGTTTGTGAATCGCGGCGTCGTATTGGTCGTCGTCCAGCCCCGACGTCATCTCCAGGATCGGCGTCTTAAACTCGTCGAACGTCACCGCCGCGTCGCCGTCCTTGTCCAGCCACTTCAGCGTCTTTCTCACCTTCGCCTCGTCCCCGCCCGGGGTGAGCGCCCTCGCGAGCTTCGTCATCTCCTCGCGGTCGAGCTCGCCGCTGCCGTCGTCGTCCACGCGGTCAAACACCATCTTGAGCTTCTCCTCTCTCGTCGCGTACGCGAACGTGACCGCCGTCAGCACCTTCTTCACGCCCTCGTCGAACGTCTCGTCGTCGATCTCCTCCATGAGCTGCGTCATCGCGCCGACGTACTCCTCCGCGTCCACCTGCCCGTCGCCGTCCTTATCCAGCCACTCCACCTGGGATTTGGTCTCCTCGAGCCCGCGGCCGGGGTTGATCTTCCGACACACGAAGAGCATCTCGTCAAAGTCCAGCGACCCGCTGTCGTCTCGGTCCATCGCCTCGAACGACGTGCGCAGCTTCTCCTCGCGCGTGCGTTTCTCGAACGGGATGTCGCGCCAGTCGTACTTCGCGCGCTCCGCCGCGAGCCGCGCCTCCTCCGCGGCGACCTCGGCGCGTCCGGTTCTCGAGTTTCGCCTTAGCCACTCGCCCAAGAAGCGCAGCGGCCGCAGCGGCCGCCAGTCGTCCGGGCGGTACCCGTCCTCGTCCCAGTCCACCCCGGTCGCGACGCGCAGTCGCTCCTTCTCCACCGCGCTCAGGAGTGCCTCTAAGCCTTTCTCTAACAGCGGCGCGACCTCGTCGCCGAGGTACTCGCGGTTCCCGTCGCAGTGGAAGTAGTACTTCGGATCCTCGATCGCCTTGCGCGACCGCGCGATGAGGTGCTTCACCTCGTGCTCGAACTCCTCCGCGGTGTAGTCGCGCGTTATGTGAAGCATCGCGGCGACGTACTCCTCCTCGTCGATCGTCCCGTCGCCGTCCGCGTCGAGAGTCTCGAAGTACGCGATGGCCTCGTCCAAGGTCAATCGCTGACACACGCCCTCGACGAGGAGCCTCAAGACCTCGTCCATATCGAGCGAGCCGCTGTCGTCGTCGTCCAGGGAGCGAAAGACGACCCTGAGGGCTTCGACGCGGTCCATGGCCTCCGCGGGCATCGCGCTCGCGGAGAACGCGCGCGGCGCGCGGGGTGGACTGACGGGACGAGACTCTAAAACGGGACAATTCTTTCTGCTGCTCGAACCGCCTGGCGCCGAGCGAGCGATTTGGCCAAACGAACGGCGAGATCTTCGCCGCGCGCGAGAGGTCACTCGTTCGCGCGCCTCGCACGCGCGTCGTCCACGCCCGGACGCGCTCGAGGGACGCGCCGTCGTCGTTCGACTCTCGATCGCGCGGAGGACGCGCGATCGATCGCGGCGGGATTCAGACGTCGTCGACGCGAAGACGAGACGAGGCGCGCGCGACCGCGGAGGGAGGGAAGATTTTAGGGTAACCACAGCAGCGGAAGGACGAAGACGGGCGGGGCGCGATGCTCGGTGGCGCGGCGCGACGGATCGCGGCGCACGCGGCGCGGCGTCTGACGTCCACCGCGTCCGCGCCGCGCGCGACGACGCCGTGCGCGACGCTCCTCGACGCGACGCGCTTTCGAACCCACCGCGCGGCGACGCGATGGACGGCCGCGCGCGCGTTCGCGTCGTCCCCGACGACGGCGTCCGCGATCGCCGACTTGCGACGGCCCTCCGCGGAGGCGGAGGGCGCGGGCGAGAAGACGACCGGCGCGTCGGACGCCGCGGTCGCGCCGCGCCGCGCGCGCGTCCACGCGGCGGCGGCGCACCGCCCGCGCGCGCTCACGGTGGACGAGCTCAAGGCGGCGCTCGCGGCGGGCGCGCGCGCGACGCGTCGACCCCTCGAGCTGTGGGCTGGGATCGTCGACTGGACGACGCCGGGGCGACGCGAGCGCGTCGTCGCGGCGCGGCGACTGCGCGAGTGGCGGTTCGCGGCGAACAGCACGAAGCTGAAGCGGCGGCTGAAGATGAACAAGCACAAGCATCGGAAGCGGCGGAAGCGGGATAGGTTGAAGAACAAGTGATGAGATTGGAGGAGAGAGAGAGCGGTAGCCCGCGTTGTTGCGATGAGAGAGACTTCTCTTCCACTGCTGCTTGCAGACCGCGCACTCGCTGAGCTCGCCGCCACGCCACGCTGGCAAACTTGAAAACGGCGAATCGCTTTTTCGGCGAGATCAGTCCATCGCGCGGTCGCGTCTTCGCATCGCCAAAGCACTGACCCAACATGCCGTTCGCAACCCTCGCACACGCCGGCGCTCGCCCCGTGATCGGCGGCGCCGCGACGCGCGTCGGCGACGGCCGTCGCGCCGCGTCCGCGGCGCCGACGCGCGCGGGCGGCGACGACGGCAAACAAAACGCGGTCCGCGCGGGGACGCTGCGCCTCGCGCGAAGCTCCGCGGACCTCCGCGCGGCGTCCGCGATGACGCGCTCGTCGAGGACGTTCCGCGCGGCCGTCGACGGCGCGCGGACGCGCCCTCGCGTCTCTCGCAGGTGCGACGCGCGTCGACGTCGCGCGTCTCGCCGCGATCGCGCGCGCTCGCGACGCGCTCGCTCGCTTCGCTCGATCTCGATCGCTGACCGCTGACGCGACGACGACGACTCCTCAGCCCTAGCTCTCGCCGCGTCGTCGCGCCTTCCCGTCGTCCCTCTCACCGCGCTCACCCCCCCGTCCCACCCCCTCCCCCACCCCGCGCGCGTTTCGCAGGCACGCGGCGAGGATGTGCGGCATCATCGGCGTGTTCCGCCAGGACGGCGCCGCGGCGCCGGAGCTGTACGAAGGGCTCCTCATGCTCCAGCACCGCGGCCAGGACAGCGCGGGGATGGTCACGTTCGACGGGTTGCGATTCCGCGAGAGGAAGGACAACGGGCTCGTGGCGAGCATCTTCGATAAGCGCGCGATGGACGCGCTGGAGGGGAGCATCGGGATCGGGCACGTGCGGTACCCCACCGCGGGAGGTTTATCCGCCACGGAGGCGCAGCCCTTCTTCGTGAACTCGCCGCTCGGCATATACCTCATTCACAACGGCAACCTCACGAACACGAACGAGCTCGAGCTCAGCCTCGGCGGACGCATGATGAAGACGAGCAGCGACAGCGAGGTCCTGCTCAACGTCTTGGCGGAGGACATCTCCGGCGAGATGACGGACGACCCGGAGGCGGACTTGGATAAGATCATATTCGACGCGTGCACGAAGACGATGAAGAAGGTGAAGGGTGCGTACAGCTGCATCGCGATGGTGAACCAAGTCGGGCTCTTCGCGTTTCGAGACCCGAACGGCATCCGCCCGCTCGTGCTCGGGTCGAGGAAGTCCGCGGAGGACCCGGAGAAGGACGAGTGGTGCGTCGCGAGCGAGGACAGCGCGTTCGGCCCGCTCGGGTTCTCGCGCGTCCGCGACGTGAACGCCGGCGAGGCGATCCTGATCACCCCGGAGGGAAAGATGATCTCGCGGCAGTGCGTGAACGGCCAAATCTCGCCGTGCATCTTCGAGTACATTTATCTCGCGCGGCCGGACAGCACGCTGAACGGGATCAGCGTGTACGAGTTCCAGCTCGAGCTCGGGCGAAGACTCGCGCGGAGGATCAAAGACCGCGAGGAGTGGGAGATCGACGTCGTCGTGCCCGTGCCCGACGGCTCGCGTCCGAGCGCCATCGAGATCGCGCAGGAGCTCGAGCTGCCGTACCGCGAGGGGCTGGTGAAGAACCGGTACGTCGGTCGGACGTTCATCATGCCGGATCAGCGCACGCGCGAGCTCTCCGTGCGACGGAAGCTCAACGCGATGCGGAGCGTGTTCAACGGCAAGAAAGTGCTGCTCGTGGACGACTCCATCGTCCGCGGGACGACGATGTCGCAGATCGTGCAGATGTGCCGCTCCGCGGGCGCGACCAAGGTGTACCTGGCGTCGGCGGCGCCGCCGGTGAAACACCCCAACGTGTACGGCGTGGACATGCCGAGCCGGGACGAGTTCGTCGCGCACAACAGAGACGAAGAGGGCGTGTGCGAGTTGCTCGGCGCGGACGGGCTGATCTACCAGTCCGTCGCGGACATGTTACAGGCGGGCCGGAGCATGAACTCGCAGATCGAACGGTTCGACGCGTCGTGCTTCGACGGCGATTACGTGTGCGGGGACATCGACGAGAAGTACCTGGAGAACTTGGCGAAGGGCGGGAGAGGGAAAGGGCGCAAGGGCGCGGCACGGTGAGGCGAGCGAGAGCGCCCGCTCGCCGCCTCGGGTCGCGAGCGACGCGACGGCCGCGACGCGGCGCGTAGTCACGCCTTCCAGTACTCGTGTCATCACACCATTCGTTTTTTATCATCTCAGTGTTCGCGACGAGACTCGCGGCGAGACCTTTGTTGCACACGTCACCACTCCGCATCGCGCGTCCGCACGACGATACCGACACGACCGATGCGCACCGCGGCAGCTTCGATGACCGCCCGCGCGGCGTTCGCGCCCGCGACTCGCGCGCTCAAGGTGCGTCCCGCGCTCCCGCGCGCGCGCGCGCGTCTCGGCGCGCGCGACGAACGAACGAACGAACGAACGAAACCCTTCGACGACGTTTCGGAGCGTCCCGAGAGAAAGACCATTCCATTCCATTCCCGACGACGACGCGCGCGCGCGTCCATCCGACTCACCTTCCATCCCGTCCCCCCCTCTCCATCCTCCCGCGTCGCGTCGCGTCGCAGGCGCGAGCGCGAGCGCGTCGTCTCGCGTCGCGCGCGCGACCGACCACGACGACGACCGCGGCGGTGAAGGAGGGCGACCGCGTGCCCGAAGCCGTCCTCCAGCACTTCGACTCCGAGGGCGAGCTCAGAAAAGTGTCCACCGCGGAGCTGTGCGGCGACGGCAAGACCGTCGTGCTCTTCGCCGTCCCCGGCGCGTTCACGCCCACGTGCTCGCTGAAGCACCTCCCCGGGTTCATCAAGCTCGCGGACGAGATGAAAGACGCGGGCGCGGACGACGTCGTCTGCGTCTCCGTGAACGACGCGTTCGTGATGCGGGCCTGGGAGAAATCAGGCGCGTTCGGTTCGTTCTCCTCGCGCTGGCTGGTCCCCGACGCGGATCCTCGAGGCCGGACTTCGCCCGAAAGGCGTCTCTCTCTTCTACTCTCCGCCCGCCGCCCCTCGGTTTCGATCGCGTCGTTTCGCGTCGACAGATCGATCCGGAGAGAACCGACGGAGGGAAAGTCCTTAAGGATCAGCGTTCACCACGCGGACGGGGTCGTATGGGGACCAGTCAGCGTACCTTTCGTCTCCATCCATCATCTGACGCCATTCATCGCCTCCGCCCCGACGTCTGTCGCTTCGAACGGACCCTCCCTCGACCCTCAGTGGAGCCGTCGCCGAGCGGGCGTGTGCTGCTTCTCGCGGACGGGAGCTGCCTCTTCACGCGCGCGATGGACGCGGAGCTGGACCTGAACGAGAAGGGGTTGGGCGTTCGGAGCCGTCGGTACGCTATGATCGTCGAGGACGGCGTCATCGCGCATCTGAGCATGGAAGAGGGCGGCGAGTTGAACGTCAGCAACGCGGAGCATATTTTACATCTGCTCGAGGCGGACGCGCAGTAGGGTCATTAGGGAGGGGCGGGGCGGGCGGGCGAGAGCGCGCGGGCGAGAGAGGGTGTGGGAGGAGCGACGCGCGGACGGAGACGCCGCGATGAGCGCGAATAGGGATGCTTCGATGAATAGACCACCGTAAAAAAGTTCATCGGTCAGTTGAAAGGTGAAGCGATCAAATGTTGAAACCGAGTGGTGGGTGAAAAACGTTCGTGAATGAACGCAACCGGCTGAGATCTCTTCCCGCGCTTCCCGCGGCCCGGGTCGACACAAGCACGATGCCCGGGGAAGGCGCGGGCGAGGAGCCCCCCGGCGCGGGCGCGGTCGGGGACGACGACGCCGCGAGAGAGATGGGAGCCGCGGCCGAGGACGCGAGCGCGCCCGCGCGCGCGTTGGACGACGACGACGACGACGACGGCGGCGGCGGCGGCGGCGGCGACGACGACGACGGCTCGATCGACCTGGAGGAGACTTCCAGCGGATCTGACGCGGATCCTCCGGACGACGACGACGACGACGACGACGACGAGGAGGAGGAGGAGGAGGAGGAGGACGCCGAGGTCGAGCAGATGTGGCAGGGCATGTTCGCGACTTTAGACGCGGAGAACGCCGCGCTCGTCGACACCGGCAGCGACGACGACTACGAGTCCGAGTCCGACTACGAGTCCGAGTTCGACGAGGACGCGATGCACTTCGAGATCGAGGGCGAGATCCCGGTCGGCGCCGGATCCGGCGGCGCGGACGGCGGCGACGACGGCGGCGGACCCGATTCGGGGGACGCGGCGACGACGGACCCGGAGGAGCAGGGCGTGTACATGCTCCACGACGGGCGGTTCCCCACGCACACGGGGCTGAACCATCAGCAAGGGAGCGATTCAGGCGCGTTCTATCTCACACTGGTCCCCATACGACCCCGTCGGCGTGGTGAACGCCGATCCTTAAGGACTTTGCCCGGCGCGTCTCTCCGCCCATCCATTGCGTTCAATCCCGACACACCTCGACGCCTTTCAACTCCACCTGACGCCTTTGAACACCACCCCGCCATCGCCTTGTATGGAACGACCCTCAGTGTGCGCCGCATCTCCGGGGCGTCTGCTCGTCACCGGCGTCGGGAGCGTCACCATGCTCGACGCGCGCGAGGAGCACTGCGTCGACAAGGACGGCGGGGTCTTCGGCGGGTCCTCCCCGAACGGCTACGCGGAGGTGGCGGCGAACGCGGTGGCGGTGTTGGGCCAGACCGAGAGGCTGCCGTTTCACGTCTACAGCGTGACGTACGACGCGGAGAAGTCGCTCGTCGCCGCGTGCGGCAGCGCGAACCGTGACGAGGACGTTAACCTCGCGGTGTGGCGCGTCGTCGACGTCGCGGAGGGAGACGCGAGCTGCGGCGCGAAGAGCGAGAAGAGGAGGGCGGCGACGGCGGCGGGGAGGGCCGTCGACGAAGCGACGGACGTCGCGGGCGCGGACGCCGCCGCGGAGGCGTTCACGGGCGCGTTGTTCGATCTGATCGAAGAGAACGAGATGAAACCGAGCGTGGCGTTCGTTCCGGTCGCGGAGTTAGGTTTGGGTAAGGTGGGACGGTACGGACGCGAGATGGTCAACTGCGTGCGGTTCGGAAAGATCCGCGACTCCGACAAACGCGATTGGACCGGCTCGGACGTGAATCCCGACGGCACGCGGGACGTCCTCCTCTGCGCGAGCCAAGACGCGCACTGTTACGTAGTGTCCATCAACACGAAAGACGACGCCGGCGGCGACGGGTGCGACGTGGAGGACTCGGGCAGCGACGGCGGGCAAGGCGGCCGCGGCGCGCGGCGACGGCGGCGCATGAACGCGGAACTGGGCCCCGAGGGCGTTATGGGATTCCCGACCGCGGTGAACGCGGCGGCGGCGTCACCGAACGGGATGTGCGTCGCCGTCGTCGGCGACTGCGACTGCGTCCTCGTCCACGGCGGCCCCGAAGGATACGGCATGTGCGGGCGTGTCGTTTCGAGGAAGCCGATCGCGTACTATCAACAATTCGATCGATACGGGGGCTCGGAGATGCTGCCGATCGACGGCGACCCGGAGACTCTGAGCGCGATGTCCGGCGAGCCGCACGGAGGGATGTACGTCTCGTGGTCGCCGAACAGCGAGTACCTCGCCGTGACGAGCGATTCCCTGCACGCGGTCGCGGTGTGGAGGGTCGAGATCGTCTCCGATTGGGACTACGACGTCGACGTCGACGCGGGCGGGGAGTCGCTCGACGCGGCGGCGAAGGACTCGCGGCGGTCGGCGGGGGGACGGAACAGCGCGCCGCCGTCGCCGGCGCGCCCGCCGAAACAGCGCGGACGCGGACGCGGCGCCGCGTGGGGCTCCGCGGGGGAGTTGCGGACGTCCACCAGAGGCCCGCTTCGGATCACGCGCGTCGCGTACTTGCGCGACCACGCGCACCCGTGCCTTCCGATCACGTTCCTCCCGAGCGACCCCGAAATCGTCGTTTGGGCGGAGAGAGGCGGGAGAGTGCACGCGTACGACTTGCGGTGCGCGAACGCCGCGGGCGCGGGGATGTGCTCCGCGGTGAACCTCTCGCCGCCCGCGCGGCCGCGGTCGCGGTCTCGGTCGCGGTCGAGGGACGCGCCGACTCCGACGCTCGCCGCCGCCGCGGAGGGCGGGGCGGAGGCGGAGGGCGGCGGGACGGGGACCGCCGAGGAAGCCGCCGTCGGGGACGACGACGACGACGACGACGACCCTGATTTTGACCCGGACGTCGTCGACGAGTACGCGTTCGCCCCCCCCGACGACGAGGACGGCGCGGACGTGTCGATGCTCCCCCTGGGACCCGCGTCGTCCCGCCGTTCGTCGAATCAACGACAGTTCGTGCAGACGGTGCGCTCGCGCGTGAAGGGGTTGTACGTCACCGGATTGTGCGCGGTGGCCGCGCCGCCGCCGCCGCCGCCGCCCGCGACCGCGCTCGGGCCGCGGTCGCTCACGCCGCGCGCGCCGCCGCACGACTTCGTCTTCGTCGGCACCCCGAACGGCGTCTTGCGGTTCCGCTGCCCGGTCTCGTGGACGCCGGAGAATCATCAAGATTTCCCCGTCGGGTTTCGCGACGCCGCGCGGACGTTTCTCCTCTGCGCGCGCGCGGACGGCGGCGGCGCGAACGCCGATGGGGGCGCGTCCCTGGGCGACATGCCCCCGGAGGTGCTCCTTCACGTCGTGGCGCTCGCCGCGGTGCCGCCGTCGGATTGGATCGGCGTCGGCGGGGACGGGGAGGAGAAGCGCGCGGCGGCGACGGCGACGACGACGACGACGACGCGCGCGGTGGCGACGACGCAGGCGCCGGATCCGCTGAAGGGATACAAGGAAGAGGCGGTGAAGGCGATGATGGCGCGCTACTTCGGGGTGGGCACCGCGGGCGCGGCGTTGTTTACCGGGGGCGCGGCGTGAACGCGCGAACGAACGAACGAACGAACCAGACGACGCGACGACGCAGAACGACGTTTGGAATACAAGCACACACACCCCCACCACCATAAGTTAACGTAAACGCGCGCGCGCACAGGAGACCGCGCGCGGCGTCACTTCCCGTGCACGTCGTACACGTCCAGGTACCACACCGCGACGAGCGAGTACACGACGAACGCGGCGTACGTCGCCAAGTACGCGTACCCCATCGATTTCACCAGCTTAAATTTATTCCCCGCGACGGTGCTGTAGTACAACGCGAGCACGCCCGCGAGAATGAAGATCGACGGCCACAGCTGCTTCGTGCTGACGACCTCGAACCCGCCGCGGCTCGGCAGGAACACGATCCACGGGAGACCCAGGCCGAGGAGGATGTCGAACACGTTCGACCCGACCGCGTTCGCGACCGCCATGTCGCCCTGGCCGCTCTGCGCGACGGAGACAGAGGACAACGCGTCGGGGATGGACGTGCCCGCGGCGAGGACCAACGTGCCCATGACCACCTCGGGGATGCCGAGAATGCAGCCCACCGCGGCGGCGGCGTCGACCATCCCGTACGATATCGCGCTGATCCAAAACACGGATACGAAGAACGACGCGAGGTAGTACTTCTCGCCGTCGGGTTTAGAGCAGTCGGGGCACGTGACGCGGAACGCGGCGTACCACGGCAGGGATAAGAGCCACAGCGGATACGCCGCGAGAGACGACGGCGGCGCGAAAGGGCTCCTGTCGTCGTCGTCGTCGTCGTCGTCGTCGTTTCTGTCGTCCACGGGGACGTAGGATTCCGTCACCGCGCCGGGGGCGACCCGGACGGAGATGCGGTCGAACACGTTGGGCGGTTTCGGCGCCGGAAGCGGCGGAAGCGGCGGCGAATCGACCGTCGACGCGACGACCGCCGCCTCCGCCGCGACCTCGTCGATCGTCTCCGCCGCGTCGTCGTCGATCGTCTCCGCCGCCTCTAAATCGGCGCGCATCATCTCGAACAGCGCGCCGTCCCCGGTGAGATTGTGATCCTCCTCCTCCTCGTTATTCTTCACGGTCTTCTCGACGCGCGTCGTCGTGACGATCGCGCGCGTGACCGCGTCGTCGTCGGCGTCCGCGTCGAGGCGGTGCGCGGCGACGCCTTTTTCTTCGTCCGTCTCCTCCGCCGCGGGCGCGACGGTGTTCTTCTTCTTCTTCTTCTTCGCCCCGCTCCCGCCGCCGCCGACCTTCGCGTCCACCCACGCCATGATGCGCGCGTTTTTCGTCATGAAGTACACGTAGACGAGGTACAGACCCACGGAGACGACGCCCTCGTACCACCACACCTTCCCGTCGGACATGATCGCGAGCAAGAACGCGATGCTGCACGCGTAAAACACGCAGTCGCGCGTCACCGGCTTCCAATCGAGCTCGAGCGCGTCGCCGCCGCTGAAGATGATGGTACACGCGATGATGATCAAGATGTTGAACACGGCGCTGCCGACGATGGTCGCGACGCCGAGCTCGTTCGTCGCGTTCGACGACACGAGCGACATCGTGGACGTGAACAGCTCCGGCGCGGAAGACCCCGCGGCCATGAACGTCGCCCCCGCGACGTCTTCGCTGAGGTTCAATCGCGCGCAGATCACCTCCAGCGACGGCGTGAAAAAGTCGTCGCACACGATGGCGATGCCTAAGAAGAGGTACAGTATCGCCGCCGCGTAGAGCGCCCAGCCTCCGTTCTGGAGCCACGCCGGGTACGAGTTGCACGCGGTGGACGCGGACAGACGCGCGCGGCGAGGGCCGAAGGTCGCCGTCGCCGCGGGAGACGACGACGACGATGCGCCGCGCGCATCCGAGCGGTGGAGGGCGTCCGCGATGGACACGACGTCGTCGCCGTCGCCGCCGTACCCGAGCAGATCGCCGACGGATCCGTGCCCGAGCGCGGGGAGGACGAAGCCGGCGACGACGAAGAAGGTGGCGACGACGACGAGCGCGTGGCCTCTGCGCGGGGGAGATGGAAGTCATCAGTCGCGCGCGTGAGAGGTCACGTGCTGAGGGGAGAGCGACGCCGCGAGGACGCCGGCGCGACGGTCCGCGTCGGGGGGTTTCGTTTCCGTTTTAAGCGGCGCGCGCGTTTCGGGACGAGTCGAGCGAGCGAGCGAGATCATCGGGACGAGCGCGCGGGACGTCGCGTCCTCCGCGCGGACGCGACCGCGCGCGAGCGGCGCAAGGCGCGCACCTCTTCTTCGCTCGCGCCTTGCGCCGCTCGCGCGCGAACGCGCGCGCGGGACCGCCCGCGAACGCGCCCATCGCGTCCTCGCGGCGACGGATCGCGAGCCGGTTTTGGTCGTCGCGGAGAGCCCCGGCGGCGAGAGATTCGCCGAGAGATTCGCTTCGACGCGACCGTCCCGCGCGCCGGCCGCGGGCGGGGACGCGGAGTCGCTTCGCGCGGCGACGGAGCGAGTCGTCCCGCGCGCGCCGGACGACGCTTCGCGCGCGCCGACGCGAGTGCGCGCGCGTTCGCTCGACGCGTCGCGCGGATGCGAACGCGCTCGTCGCGAGATCTCGCGCGAAAGAGGTCAGTTACGAATCGTCGGGCCACTCTGCGGGGGTTGCCGCGCGATCGCGACGGTTCGCTTCTCGGGGCTGGAGAACGGACCGACGCGACGACGACGGCGTCCGAACGCGGCACTTCGCGCGCGCGGGTCCCGCCCCGACCACGCGCGAGGACGGACGCGCCGATGAAAACGCACGCGCCGATAAAACAGACGCAAAAGGCGCGCGGCCGCGGCTCGACGCTCGCGCGCGCGAACGCCGTCGCCGCGCGCGCGCGCTTTCTCCGCAACCGCGAGATCCCTCCCTCCGCCTCCGTCCGCGCGTTCCGTCTCGCCGCGCCGTTTCGTTCGCCCGCGTCGTTCATTCGCCTGACATCTCGTCTCGCCCTCTCCCCGTCGCGCCGTCGTCGCCGTCGCCCGCAGCCCCCCGCGCGCGCGTCCGCGGGCGCTCGCGCGGCGTTGACCCCCGTCGCGATCTCGCCGCTGTTCACCGTGGACGGGAGCGAGCTCGCGCGCGCGCGCGGTCCGATCGATCGTCCGGCGGCGACGCGCCGCCCGCCAACGACGAAGCACGGCGGACGCCGCCGCGTCGCGGCGGCCGCGACGCCGCCGCCGGACGCGTCCACGTCGTCCGTCTGCGCGGACAAGGAGACGCGCGCGCGGCGGCACGACCTCATGCGCGACGTCGCGAAGCGCCGCGTGCGCGGCGGCGACGGCGGCGACGACGACGCGAACGCGAACGCGTGCTCGGTCGCGACGGTCACCGTGCTCCGCGTGGACGCGCGCGTTCCGTTCGGCGCGGGGAAGAAGCGGGGCGACGGACCGCCGCGTCCGATCGCGGAGGATCGCGCGCGTGCGACGGTTGACGTTCCATCTTCCATTCTTCCGTTATACCGCGCCGAGCCGCAGCGGCGACCGAACGCGGTGACGCCCGCGTTTAACCCCGGGAAGATTCAGCCGCCGTCGACGCGACGCGACGCGTTCGCGACGCGGCCGACGCGCGCCGCCGCCGCCGCCGCCGCTCGCGGAAGGACCTCGACCGCATCATCATCTGTGCTTCCTCCCGTCGACGACCTTCACATCGGCGGCGAGCGCGCCGCGGCGGTTGAGGCGACCGAGAGAGGCGCGGCGGCGACGACGACGCGCGCCAAAAACGCCATCAGGTACGTTCTATCTCACACTGGTTCCCATACGACCGCGTCGGCGTGGTGAACGCCGATCCTTAAGGACTTTTGCCGTCGTCTCTCTCCGCCCAGGGTCCCTCGCTTTCAATCCCGACGCGCCTCGACGCCTTTTCAACTCCACCTGACGCCTTTCAACTCCACCCCGACGTTCGCTCGTGTGGACCCTCGACCCTCAGAACCAAAACCGGCGCGTCGCCCAACCCGGACGGCACCGTCGCCGTCGACGGCGCGTTCAACGCGATGCCGTCCTCGGGCGTCACCGGCGTCGCGGCGACGATCGAGAGCGAAGAGCGGTGGCTCGTCCGACGCATGCGCGAGCTGCGAATGAAGGGCGAGGTCCTGATGCACGACAGACCGCCGTTCGATCGACCCAAGACGGACTCGGCGGCGGCGAGGGCGGAGGCGACGGCGCGGGAGCGGGAGCGGACGCGCGCGAAGACGGCGGCGGCGAAGCGCGCTGAAAAGCGCCGCGAGGAAGACGACGACGACGACGGCGGCGGCGGCGTGGACGAGTACGGGCCGTGGGTGGTGGACGAGAGCGAGTACCGCGACGCGTACTCGGATCCGGTCCCCGCGCGTCCCCGTCCCGTCGTCGAGGACGCGGCGGCGGAGGAGAAGGCGGGTTGCGACGACGACGACGACGACGACGACGACGACGACGACGACGAGTCTTCCGACTCCGACGCGTCCGAGGCGGCGTCCGCGGACGAGTGAGCGGAGCGATCGCGCGAGATGATCTCGTCCTATCGCTTATCATCCCGCGCGTTCGTTCGACTCTGCTACTACGTGTACGTGTACGCTACGCTCTATGAGTCGTCGGGCCGCCGCCCGGCCCGGCGTCGCCGCGACCGTCTTGTCGTCAGATCAACTCTCCCAGTACTCCTCGGCTTCGTCGTCGTCGTTCGCCGCGCTCGCCGCCGCGCTCGCGGGCGCGAGCCACGGCACCCCCACGGCCGCGCCCGCGGCGGCCACCTCCCCCGCGACGCCCGCCGCGCGCTCCCCGATCGACGCCGTCACCCCCCCCATCTTCGCGAACAGGCTCTCGATGCTCGCGCGCGCGTTTTCCGCGTCCGCGACGCGCGCGCGTCGGAACCGCCCTTGCTCCAGCGCGCTGAGCCGCTCCTCCATCGCGCCGACCGCGTTGCCGACGTCGCGGACCGTGTCCTCGACGCTGTCGACGTACGCGAAGTCCCTCGCGAGTCCCCCCGCGAGCGCCTCGAGCGCGGGCTCGAGCGCGGCGCGCTGCTCCGCGCCGTCGTCGCGCAGCGATCTGAGCATCGCGTCGAGCTCGTCCAGGCGCGCGAGCATGCCGTCCGCGACCGCGCGGACGCGATCGGCGTTGTCACCGAGGACGCCGAGGTCGGGGTGGATCGCGGCCGCGACGTCGTCGCACAGCGCCGCCGCGGTCTCCTCGGCGGTGGGCGCGGTCATCGCGGAGATGCGCGGGGGGCAGTGATGAAGCGACGTGTTCTCATCGTCGCGCCAGCAGCGAGCCGAGGCGAGATTTAGGTCATCATTCGTTGGACGGGCGACGGCGCGCGTCGCGGTGACCATCACGCGTCGGTGTGTGTGTTCCAACGCTACTAGTGTTGTCGTGTCGCTATTCCCGCCGCCGTCAGGTCCACTCACTCCTTCGCTTTCAGCCGCTCGAGCCGCCGCTTCTTGATCGGCTTCCACTTGCTGCTCCCCGGACCCATCGCGGTGCGGTAGATCCCGCGTCCGTCGGGGAACCAAAACCCCGCCACCATCTTGTCGCGGTGGATCATCACTCGCTTCCTCTCCTTCACCGTGAGACCGGCTTTCTTCAGCGTGATCCCGTCCACGCGCAGAAGCGCGTCCATGTCCGGCACGTGCTCGGGGACGAGCGCGTCCGCAGCCTTGCCCACCTTGACCGCGGCGAGGAACTCCAACACGGGCGCCGTCTCATCGACGGATGGTGGATCCTCACCACGCTCCTCCGCCTCGTCGCCCTCCCCTCGCATCGCGTCCGCCGCCGCGGGTTGTTGGTCCGTCGCGTCGCCCTCGCCCTCGCCCTCGCGCGCGACGCGCGCGGACGCGAACGCGCGAAGTCGCGCGATGTCGCGCGTGGGGCGCAGAAGCGCGCCCGCGGCGCGGCGCGAGAACGCCCGCAGCATCGCGCGCGACGACGAATGATGAACTGAGCGTGATGTCGCGCTCGCGGGCGCGCGGGCGCGTGATGTTTTTTTTTTTCGATTTTCACTGCCAGGCTCACGACATCATCACTATGATACTCGTCACGCGGACCCCGCGAACACCTCGCGCGACGGCACCAACCTCGCCCGCCTCTCCAAGTCCACGTCCGACGGCACCGCCCCGGAGCCGCGCCGGTCGAACCGCGTCTGCACCACCCCCACGCGCGATGCGAGCGCGTTCGCTTCCTCCGGCCCGTCCCCGCCCAACGCGTACGTCGCCATCGCGACGTCGCCGCGTTCGACGGCTTCGTTCACCGGGTCGACGATGGCCCACGCCGCCTCGAGCTCGTCTCCGCGGACGAAGTGCGCGCGGTGCCCGAACACGGCGTCGAGGAGCAGCCGCGAGAGCGTCCCGCGGACGGTCTCGCCGGTGGCTTCTTTGCGGAGTTGCGTCGCGCGCCACCGCGAGGAGAGTTCCATCTCGGACGGGACGGGGGAGACGCCGAGGCCGGGCTCTTTGATGGTGACGTCGGGGTGGAGTTGAAAGGCGTCAGTTGGAGTTGAAAGGCGTCGAGGGTGGGGATTGAAAGCGAGGTGTGGGCGGAGAGAGATGACGCGCAAAGTCCTTAAGGATCGGCGTTCACAACGCCGACGCGGTCGTATGGGAACCAGTGTGAGGAATACGCACCTTTGATGGTGAGCTTCATGTACATCTCCTCGTGCGGCTGGAGGCGGATGACGAACTCGTTCGGGCCGGGGTCGGTTTTTGTCGACGATCGCGACGGTTCACACCCGGGATGTGAATCGTCGCGCGCCGCCGCCGCCTCCTCCTCATCCTCATCCTCCTCCTCCTCCTCGTCGTCGAAGATGTCCCCCGGGACGTCCTTGAGCTGGATGCGAATCTCGCTCCTTCGCTCGCCGAGGCCTTTCCCCGCCTTCAACACGAACGGCACGCCGTCCCACCGCTCGTTCTTGATCCTCAGCACGACCATCGCGAACGTCGGCGACTTCGAGTCCGGCTTCACGAACGACTGCTCCAGATATCCTTTAGAAGAAGACGATCCAGCAGAATCGCCCGCGGGTGCGACGTATTGCCCCGCCACCGCGTCCGCGGCGGGATCCACGCGTCTCACCTGCCTCAAAACTTTCAACTTGGCGTCTCTGATGTCCTCCGGCTCTAAACTCACCGGGCGGTCCATCGCGAGCACGGCCATGACCTGCAAGAGATGGTTCTGCATCACGTCTCGCACGATCCCGTGCTCGTCGAAGTACGCCGTCGCCGCGCCGCCGGTCTCCTCGAACGTGATCTGCACGCTCGCGACGTTTTCGCGATTCCAAATCGGCGTCAGCATCCTGTTCGCGAATCGCATCACCAGCAGGTTATCGATCACCTCCTTCCCCAGGTACCGATCGATCCGAAACAGGTCCCCCTCGCTCCACCGCGTCCTGAGCGACGCGTTCAGCGCCGCCGCGGACGCCGCGTCGTGCCCGAACGGCTTCTCGAGCACCAGCCGCGTCCACCCCGAAGCCGCTCGACCCTCCTCCGCGACGGCGTCTGAGGGCCGTTCCATACGAAGCGATGTCGGGGTGGAGTTCAAAGGCGTCAGTTGAAGTTGAAAGGCGTCGAGGGCGGGCGTTGAAAGCGGGGGACCCTGGGCGGAGAGATGCGCCGGCAAAAGTCCTTAAGGATCGGCGTTCACCACGCCGACGCGGCCGTATGGGGACCAGTGTATAGAACGCGCCTGAGACGGCGGCGTACAACGCGTGCGGCAACGCGAGGTAGAAGAGTCGGTTGTGCGCGAGGCACGCCGCGTCCGCGTGCTCCGCCTCGTGCGCGCGCGTCAGCGCGAAGACGTCGGAGAGTAACGACGACGCGGAGGGAGGTGAGGTCGAGGCGTCGTCCGGCGGCGCGTTGAATCGCGCGAAGCGCACGAGGGCGAGGAACTCGTTCACGAGCGCGGGCGGGATCGTCGCGGTGTTGGACGGCAACACCGGCGCGACGACGCCGCGCATCTTCAGGTCGAGCTCGACGTCGGCCTGGATCTTGAACGCGTCGAACGGCGCTCGCGCGCTGCTCGCCTTCGACGGGGACGCCGAGGAGATCGAGGTCGAGGTCGGGGTCGGGGGGCGTCCGCCGCGGTCGCGCGTCGTCTCGTCGCCGTCGCCGTCGCCGTCGCCGTCGCCGGTGCACTCCATCCCCTGCGCGCATCGCCGGCGCTGCGTCGCCCACGCGTCCGCGATCGAAGCGCGGAGGACGTCGCCGAAGGATTCGTCGCTGTGGCCGTCCCGCGCCGCGGCGACGACGCGCACGCGCGGCGGGAGCTGCCCCGCCGCGAAGAGGTTGAACAAGCTCGGGAAGAGCTTCCTCTGCGCGAGGTTCCCGGTCGCGCCGAGGACGATCAGCGTCAGGCACTCGTGGCGCGCCTGGAGCTTCGGCGGGAGCGGCATGACGCGAAAAACCCCGCGGGAGAAGAGAGACGCGAGCGATGCGCCGAGTCGCGCGCTGCCCGCGCGAGGCGCTCTCGCGATGAAAACGCGTCGTTGTTAGATCTCGTTCCGACGACGTCCTCCAGCTGTGCGCCGTCGTCGCGTCGCGCCGGCACTTCCACGGGCGCGGCGCACGGCGCCCCGCGGATGAGCGGCCCGTTCCGTCTCCCCACCAAGTCCGGCACCGCCGCGTCTCATCGCCCAAACTGCCTGTGCTGCGTCGGCCCCCCGGACGACGCGTTCGAGCGCGCGTGCGCGGCGGTCGCGACGCTCGCGATCGACGGCGTCGGCGCGAGCGAGGCGGAGCGATTCGTGCGCCTGTGCGTCGACGCCGGCGGCGGCGAGGCGGTCGCCCTGAGCAAGGGCAAGGCGAAGGCGGCGAGGAGAGGGATTCGCAAGGGTCCCAGCGCGTCGACACCGCTCGAGGCGAGCGACGTCGCGCGCATGCAAGACGCGGTGTTGACGTGCTACGCGAGACGACCGGGAGACGACGCGAGGCGGCGACGCGCGAGCGCGAGCGCGGCGACGACGAGAGCAGATCCAGACGCCACGGACTCGGACGACTCGTCGGGGGGGGACTCGGACGCGTGAGGGATCGATGAGGGAGCGGTACGACGACGCCGCGCCGCACAACGGATCGTACGTCGCCGCGCTCGCCGCGCGCGCGTCCGACGCGGCGACGCGCGACGCGCGAGCGCTCCTCTGGATCCCAACCCCGGAGAAGGCGGCGGGCGGCCGCCGCGGCGACCGCGGCGGCGGGTCGGCCGAGGCGTGGAGCTACGCGCGCGTCGCGTCCGCCGCCCACGCCGCGGCATCGCGGCTCCATGCACTCGTCCCCGCGCTTCGCACGTCAATACCGCCGGACCTCTCCCCGCATCTCGCCCCGGACTGTCGCGCTCGCACCGTCGGCGTCCTCGTCGACGAAGGCGCCGCGCTCGCCGTCGCGTTCGCCGCGATTCACGTCGCCGGCGCCGCGTTCGTGCCTCTGTCCGCGCGAGACCCGGCGACGCGTCTGCGCGACGCGATCGAGGACGCCGCGTGCGTCGCCGTGATCGCGGACCGCGCGAACGACGTGATCGCGGGGGCGGCGGAGCGACTGGCGGAGGCGATCGCGGCGTCGGCGCGTCCGCGCGCCGTCGCCGTCGTGGACGTCTCCGAGGTGTTCGCGCCCGAAGACGGAACGTCGACGTGTGTCGCGGATTCCGACTTTGACTTCGCCGCGCGACCCGAGTGGCGCCCGCGCGCGAGCGCGCTCTCGCACGTGTACTTCACGAGCGGCAGCACCGGGCGACCGAAGGGCTGCCTCGCGACGCACGGACAGCTGGCGCGGTACGCGCGCGCGAAGAACGAAGCGCACGGCGTCGACGAAGGGTCGGTCGTTCTCGTCGCGTCGCCGCCGACGTTCGATCCGTTCGCGGGCGATCTCGCGGCCACGTGGAGAGCGGGCGCGACGGTCGCGATGTGCCCGCGCGCGTCGCTGTTCGCGTCGCTGGGGAGGTGTCTGGAGGCGTCGAGGGCGACGCACGTGCTGACGACGCCGGCGATGTTGCGGACGGTGCCGGGCGCGGTGTCNNANNCNTCCNACNCCGCGCCCGGCGGCGGGAGGTTCGAAGCGCTGCGGACGCTCGCGCTCGGCGGCGAGCCCACGCCAGCGTCGCTCGCGGCGGCGTGGCGACCGAGTACGCGCGCGCTCGCGAACACGTACGGCGTCACGGAGTGCTGCGTCTACCAAGCCTTCCACGAGATTTCCGCGGCGCCGGCCGCGGGGGAAGACGGCGAATCATCGTCCTCCGCGTCCTCCGCGTCGCTTCGAGGACTGGGCGCGCCGCTCGGGGAGTGCCGGTTCATCTTCGCGCGCGAGCCCGGGGACGACCCCGACGATCGCCTCCCAGAGCGATCGCCGCCCGGCGCCGTCGAGCTCGCGGAGCTGTGGATCGCCGGGCCGACCGTCGGCCGCGGGTACGCCAACGCGCCCGCGCTCACGGAGGAGCGGTTTCGGGTCGACGGCGACGGCAACGGCGACGGCGAATACGGGCTGTGCTTCCGGACCGGCGACATCGTCAGACGCGCGTGGCCCGCGGACGGCGGCGCGTGCGTCGTCGAGATCGTCGGACGCCGCGACGCGCAGGTGAAGATCAACGGCCAACGCGTGGAGCTCGGGGAGATTGAACGCGCGACGGTTTCGGCGGCGCCGGCGATGGCGACCGCGGCGGCGGTCGCGCTCGCGCCCGCGCGGGAGCTCCACGGCGGCGGGCTCGTCGCGTGGTTCGTGCCCACGTGGCCGTTGGGCGATGACGACGACACGTCGGTTGCCGTTCCGTCTTCCCCCGGCGCGCTCGCGTGCGACGCGATGCGGTGGCTCCTCTCCGGACGCGTCCCGCGACACATGCTCCCGCGGCTGTTCGCCGTCGCGCGCGAACTTCCGATGACGTCGTCGGGGAAGGTGTCGCGGAGGGCGCTTCTCGAGCGCGGGCTTCCGCCGCCGCCGGATCGCGGCGCCGACGGCGGCGGCGGCGCGACGCGCGGCGGCCTCGGTCGGTCCAAAGCGTTCGCGTCCGTCGTGGCGCGCGCGTGGACGTCGGCGCTCGGCGGCGTCGCCGTCGACCGCGCGTCGCACTTCGCCGAGCTCGGCGGCGACTCCCTCGCCGCGCTGCGCGCGTGCCAGGAACTGCACGCCGTCTTTCGCGCCGCGGCCGGTGGCGGCGATTTCGGCGACGGCCGCGAGACCGAGACCGAGACCGAAGACGTCGGCGCGTTCGGGGAAGCGCTCGCCGGCGCGCTCGCGCCTGCCAAGTTGCTCCAACGTCCGACGCTCGGCGCGTACGTTCGGTTTCTTCAGGACGCCGCGGACGCGGGGGAGCTTCCGGGCGCGGCGGCGATACTCGCGCGAGATGAAGAGGAGGAGGAGGAGGAGGCGAGCGGGAGCGATGACGGCGACGGCGACGCGCGCGACGACGAAGAGAAGGACGAGGGCGTCGCGTTGCTCTTCCGCGCCGCCGCCGACGCCTCCCCCGCGTCTTCGCGCGTCGCGCGCGCGCTGCTCGACGCCGGCGTCCCCGTCGACGGCCGTTCTTCACGTCGCGACGGTTCGCATCTCACGCCGCTTCACGTCGCGTGCGGCGCCGGGCCGCGCGCGGAGGACACCGCGCGGACGCTCGTCGCCGCCGGGGCGGACCGGAGGGCGAGGACGCGACGCGGGCGCACGCCGTTTCTCGTCGCCGCCGCGCGCGGCTCCGTCGCTCTGCTCGCCGCGCTTCTCGAGGGCGCGGCGGGGACCGCGGACGTCTCCGCGATCGTCGACGCGGTGGACGAGGATGGGCAGACGGCGCTGCACGTCGCCGCGCGGGCGGGCGCGGCGGGGGCGGTCCTCGACTTCATATGCGACGTCTCGGAAGGAGGCGCGCCGCCCGGAGCCGCCGCGAAGAAGAAACCCTCCGCGAAGAAACCCTCCGCGAAGAAACCCGCGGCGACGTCGAAGTCGACGAAACCCCCGATTACGCGCCGCGCGGATGTCTGGGGGCGGACGCCGCTGCACTGGGCGTCCGTGAACGGTCATCGCGCGGCGTGCGACGCGCTGACGCGGCGAGGCGCGGACGTCGGCGCGGTGGACGCCTTCGGCGAGACCCCCGTGGACGCCGCCGAGCGCCGCGCGTTGTGCGCTGCGAAGGACCGACCGGACGGCGAGCGCGCGTCGCGCTGGGGGGACATCGCGACCGCGCTTGGGGGGAGCGTGCGGACGAAGCACCTCAGGGCGAAGTCGAGGGCGCGGGGGGAGTAGCCCTGGTGACGTGGGTGATGTGGTCTAGTAGGTAGCTCGTAGGACGTCAGTCGGCGGAACGCGCGTTATTATTTATTACGTCTGGGCTTCTTACTTGACTCCTCCAACTCTCTTGGTTTCGCTCTTTTATTCGTCTCCACATCTGTCCTCTTCGCATCGCGTTCATCATCGGCATCAGTAGCTTTGAAACCAAGGTGACGAATAATAGGGTATATGATATTCTCCCTAATGTAGTCACACTTTCCTCTAAACTTACACCAGTATCTGTCAGTATCGGGATCTCCCCGAAACTTCAATTGGGAAGAACCTATTCCTACACCGTCCTCTGCTCCGTAGTCCCTGATAAAATGGCGAGCATCCCAATCCATACTGGATGCTGAAGTGTATGGACGAGGCTTACGCGTGTCGGGAATGAATATCCGACCCTCAAACACTATCGCGTCATAGTATTCATCTATGGCTGGCTTGTGATTTGAGAGTTTTTTTAAGAAACCTTCTTGGTCGTTTTTGTAAGCATCGAAGCCGTCCCAGCGACCAGCCTCCAAGTCCGACCATAAAACATCCACATCATCAAGCTTAAGACGCTCGCCTCTCCACAAGAATACCGAGGTAGAAAACCCGATTCCGTGTTGTAAACCCCTTTCTTTCAATTCATATGGAATACGGAGTGGGTTCCTACAGTCTCGCACTCGTAACGTCTCAAACCAAACCCTTATCTCCTGCTTGAACTCGTCGCTGTAATTGGCATCGCTCAAGTTCCCTGGTCTCTCTAAATGTTCAGTTCTGATGAATCTTGGCTTTTCGTTACGGGCATTTACAAGCACACTTTCATACGGTCTGAGCGTGTCCTCGGTGAGTTCAGCGGGGGCAACCCCGCGCTCCTCCGCGCGGCGGGGATGACGACCGGGGGGGTCGGGGGTGCCAACATTTCGGGGGGTGCCAACTTGAACTCCAACGCCGTGGGACACACAAGGATCAGCTTTGATGTCTTCAAGCTCTTCAAAAGTTCCAGTCGTGATGTATTACTTCATTAGCTCAATCGTGGTTTCGCCGACCCCTTTCACCCTCTCAAACAACCTTGGGCTGTCCTCGGTAAGTTGAGCGGGGGCATCGTGGGACGCGATCTTTTGTGAGGCGACCCTCCAAGCTTTGGCTTGTCGTTCCTTCATCAAAAGGTATCGTGGGTCAATAAGCCGTGTGCGCATCCCCTCTACACCATAGAGGTCTGCGAGTTCCGTGAGGAGGTCAGCGAACCCCTGCTTGGTTCTTGGCTCAGTCGGCGGGTTCGTCTCATTCGGCGGGGGCATCGTGCCTGGTGCGGGGGGGAGTGAAAACCTTTTACCAACTCGTGAGTTTTTTTTTTTTTTTCGTTTTCAAATCATCACTCCGAACGTCGCGTCGACCGAGATCGTCGCGCGGGCGCATCGTTCGTCGTCACAACGCGTCGCGCGTTCGTGACCTCCACCATGGGCAAACGCGTCATCGAAGAGAGCGAGGACGAGCACTCGGACGACAACCTCAGCGACGCCGAGGACCCGGACGACCCGCTGCACGGAAAGGACCTGTACGAGCTCATCGGCGTGAGCAAGAGCGCGAGCTCGGGGGAGATCAAAAAAGCGTATCACAAGATGGCGCTGAAGCTGCATCCGGACAAGAACCCGAGCGAGGACGCCGCGGTGCAGTTCCAAACGCTGCAGAAAGTGTACGGCGTCTTGTCCGACGCGGACAAGCGCAGGGTATACGACGAGACCGGGCGGTTCGACGACGCGGACGGGCTCAGCGACGAGAAGTTCAACTCGCTGTACGAGTACTACCGCGGGATCTACAAGCAAGTCACCGAGGAGGACATCGAGTCGTTCGAATTGGAGTACCGCGGCGGCGACGAGGAGAAGAAGGACCTTCTCGAGGCGTACGAAAAGTTCGCGGGGAACATGTCCAAGGTGTTCATGTGGGTGATGTGCAGCGAGGAGGCGGTGGATTCGCATCGGTTCGCGGACGTCGTCGACGCCGCCGTCGACGCCAGGGAGTCGAAGCGATACCCCGCGTTCACGTCCTGGGCGGCGAAAATACGGAAGAAGCCGGCGCCGAAGGACCCTCTGAAGCCGCGTCCGAAGAAGAAGAAGAAGGCGGCGAGCGCCGGCGGCGGCGGCGAGGGCGATTTGATGGCGATCATTCAGGCGAGGCAAAACGCGAGGGCGGCTGCGGCGGATGATTTATTCGCGCGTTTGGAAGAGAAGTACGGCGGCGGGAAGAGCCCGAAGAAGAAGGCGAAGGGCGGCGGGAAGAAGAAATAGAAATAGAAGCGACGACGACGACGACGACGACGACGACGCGCGGTACCGTATGTTATGTACAAGTGCGCTGCGACACGACGCGACGCGACCGCGAAAAGAAATACTGGCACGCGTCGCCCGTTCATCGCTTCCCCTCCCCGAGGAATCCGCCGCGCCAACGTATAATCTCGCGCCCTCTCTCCTCATCGCGTCCGCGTCGCTTCCAGTCGAACGCCCACTCGACCACGGTGCCGTCCTTAGACGCGCTCAGCATCCCGACCGCGCGGTCCGGATCGGCCGCGTCCGCGCTGACGTGGCAGGACGTGATGTCCAGCGTCTGCCGCGTCGCCGCGTCCACGCGGACGCCGTCGACGACGCGCCACACGTTGACGCCGCCGTCGCCTTTGACGAGGTAACACCCGCCGGGGATGCCCTCGCTACCGGAGACGACGTGCGTCGGCGCGCGCGCGTTCGGGACGAGCGCGAGGGAGGTTACGAAGCCGTCGTGGCCGCCGGCGAAGGATTTCAGGAGGACGATCCCGGGCGTTTTGGTTTTGGGCGACCCCCCGGCGGCGACGGATCCGGATCCAGATCCGGCGGCGTCCGCGTCCGCGTCCGCGTCCGCGGCGGGCGTCGCCGGGAGGTCCCACATCCGGACGTTCCTGTCCGACCCCGCGGTGAACAGCCGTCTGCCGTCGCTCGTGATCGCGACCGCGCGTATCGCGCCCGCGGCGATGGTCTCGTGAACGACGCGCATCGGAGAGCCGTTTTTTTCGTCGCTCCACACGACGATGCGCTTATCGTTTCCTCCGGTGACGACGCCGCCGCGCGCCGGATGGTTCACGATCGCCATGACCTTGTCGGTGTGGTGGTCCACCCTCGTGACGACGCCCCAGGTGGACTTCTTCAGGAGTTCCCACGACTCGCGAGGCCGCGACGGGTCCTCCGGCGGCGGCGGCGGCGCGGCGTCGCGCGCCGGCGTCGCGGGCGCGGGCGCCGCGCCCGTCGTCGACGCCTTTTTCGCCTCCCGCGAAGACTCCTCGCCTCCCGTCGCCGGAATCTCCCATCGATACACGCAGCTCTCGCCGATGACCGGGGAGGAGATGTAAAGCACGTCGCCGTCCTCGCTGAAACACGCGGCGGGGACGCACGCGCGGCGCGGCGCCCACCGCGACCGCTCCCTCGTCGGTCTCAGCTTGAAGATGTCGCAGAAATCGGGGTGCGGCCCCGGCGCCGCCGCGTCGAGGATCCAACCCGCGGCGGGGGCCGCGCCGCCGTCTCCCCCGCTTCGCCCGTGGACGTATCGCGCCCACGACCCGTTGTCGTGCGCGGCGAGGAGGATCCGCCGCTCGCCGCCGCCGTGCTCTGGCGGCGATCGCGCGACGAACGTCTTGAGAAGCTTCACGCCGCCTCCGCCGCCGTTCCACGCCGACGGGGGAGGCGTCGAGACTTTTCGGTTCGGACGCTCCGCGGCGACCGCGGCGACGGCGCCGCCGCCGACGCCGACGCCTTCGCCTTCGCGCGGGGGGTACGTCACGATGACGCCGTCCTCGCGGCCGCAGACGATGCACCCGCGGTCGTCCACGAGCATCGAGGTGATCCCGGCGAGGCCGGTGCTCTGGCCGCCGCCGCTCGTGATGTCCAGAGCGCCGGCGGCGGCGACGGCGGCGGCGGCGTCGTCGTCGCGCGTCGCGCCCGCGCGAAGAACGCTCGCGAAGCGCAGGTGAGGATCCGTCTCGTCGACGCCGCGCGCGCGGTCTCTCGCGTCGCGCGTCAGCACGCGCTGCAGCATCGTGTTTTTCTTGAGACCCGCCGGCGTCGTCGTCGTCGTCGTTCCACCGAGCTCGACCGTCGGCGTCGTCGTCGTCGAGCCGCGGTGCGCGCCGTTCGTCGTCGTCGTCGTCGCGTCGACTTCTACGGAATATCCCTCGTCGAGAGGCTGAAGCGTCGCGCCTCCGAGGCGCATCCGTCGCTGCGACTTGCGCTCTTTGATGAGCTTCTGGCGTCGAAGCGACTTCAGCGCCGCGTCTTTGGCTTTCAGTAAGTACGCCTCGACGTCGGGATCGTCGTCGACACTGCGCGAGGGAGAGGACGGCATCGCCGGCGAGATCGCCGTCGTCGTCATGCCGGTCGCTTCGTTGTCTCGAAAGGAATTCGGTTCCGTCCGAGGAGGATGCGGACGCTCGTCGCGCCGAACGACGGACGGAGGTTTCGCGCGCGAAGACGACGGACGTCAGACGCGACGGCGACGACGCGCGCGAAGTGCGATCGTCGGAGGGACGCGCGTGAGGCGGCGCGATGAGCGACCGAGCGCGCGCGAGTGTGCGCGCTGACGCCGCGCGGGCGCGACGCGACACCGCGGGCGGGAGACGAAACGCTTTTTGCAGCCGCAGCTCGTCGACCGACCGAAAAAAAAACAAATCGTCCCCCGCCCTCGCGCCCGTCTCCCGTCACAGGGCGCAAATGGCGCGTGTCAGCGGAAAGGGGGGCACGCGTGACAGACTAAAACATCACGTGCCCGGATGCGTGATATTTGGCCGAAAGCGTCGCGTGGTCGCGGACGCGCGCGTTCGAGCGTGAGCGCTGCAGTCGTATGATATCGTCGCCGTATTATTGATATTTCAAAGGCCCGTTCGTCTTCAACCTCCGCCTCCGTCCTCCGTCCTCACGGGCACGCCTTGATGCAGTTGTCTTTGTCCTGCGGCGCGAATATCAGGCTATCGTGCCCATCCAACTTGATCTGCGACGTCGGGGTGGAGTTCAGGGGCGCGTCAGTCGGAGTCGAAAGGCGTCGAGGCGTGTCGGGATCGAAAGCGGCGAGGGACCCTGGGCGGAGAGACGCGCCCGCCGGGCGAAGTCCTCGTGGAGCGAACGCGGTCGGTCGTATGGGGACCAGTGTGAATACGAACGAACGCACCTGATACGGCGCGTACTGCCCCGTCGGCCACATCGGCGCGCGGTACCACAGCGAGACGACCACGCCCGGGGCCCACCCGTCCGGCCCGCGCGCGATGCAGCACTGCACTCTGTCGCCAACCTTGAACCGAAGCTCGACGTCCGGGATCTCTCCCGGGTCGGGCGGCTCCGGCGGCAGCGGCCACTCCGCCTTCTCGCCCGCGGCCCACTTGGCGAAGTACTCGTCGGGGGGCATCATGCTGAGGATGTCCTCCTCCTCCACCTCGTGGGCTTCGCACGGCACGCCGAACACGGTGCCGCACTCGTTGGGGAAGATGAGGCGGACGATCGTGTCGATGGGCGCGCAGTTCGGGTCGCCGCATTGCACCTGGGCGAGGTCGGTCGGGCGAGGTCGGGTGAGGTCGGGTGAGGTCGGGTCGCGCGCCGCGCGAGGGGCGGCGGGACGCGCGGGGAGGGAGGGAGGGAGGACGGCGAGCGAGAGAGAAAGGAAAGTCCTCAAGGAACGACGTTCACAACGCCGACGCGGTCGTATGGGGACCAGTGTGGTAACACAACGAACGATCGAACGATCGATCGTCGCGCGGCGCGAAGGACGAGGGGACGGATGGACGGGCGCTGAAATCTCGTGGGCACGACGAACCTCGGAGACGTCGACGACGCATTTGCGGTCCTCGAGGTACTCCGGGGGCATGTGCTGCTCCACCCACTTCTTCACTCGCGCGATCGCGGCCTGGGCGAGGAGGGGGGTCGAGGGTCAGCGCTGCCGCGAGGCGGGAGAATTTCGGCGAGGAAGGACGTTCATTCGCGATCGGGCGGGCGCGCGAGCGACGGGCGAGCGGCGCGGGGGAAGGCATCGCGCGCACCCTCTTCTTCTTCTCGGCCTCCTTCGCCTCCTTCGAGGGGAGGCTGAAGGGTCCTTTCATGAACGGCACGCCCGTCATGGTCGCGGCGGTCGCAATGGTCGGCGAGCCGCAGCTTCCCGATAGATAAACACGGGCTGAGTTTCCGCCACCTTCGAGAAGCCGCGCCGCGCCGCGTGTCGGGTTTCGCGCGCCGTCATCGTCATTCGTGCGCGCGCGCGGACTGAGGGTCGCGAGAGACCACATCTCACCACGCGCCGCACGCAGAGGCCGCACACACCCCGCAGGGGCGTTCGCATCTTCGCGGAGGCCGAACCCGCGCACCGAGGAGGGGGGAAGAGCGCGTGGGATCTGTCGCGCGGCGTGAGGTCGTGAATTTAGCTCGACGAGAGAGGAAGAAGAAGGTCTCGGAACCGCGATGTCGTTCTTCAGCCGCGTTTTCTCGTACGTCTTCAACGAGCTCCTCGTGGAAGGGCTCGCGAACTCGAAGACGTTCCAGCGGTTCGCGGTTCGCACTGACGCGGCGCTGAAAGAAGCGAAGACGTCGGGTAAGCTGAAAGATCTGAGCGAGGCCACATCGAATCCCGGTGAAGCCGCGAAGCGCGTCTCTGAGTACATGCGCACGCTCATGGAGGACGGCAAGGAAGTCATAGAAGAAGTAGCGAAGAAGAATAAATAAATAACGCGTCTGTCACGATGACGACGCGACGTAGCGCGGCGGTGTGATATCATATATCATACTGTATTATTAAAGTCATCGCGTCGCGGTCGTCTCGAGCGAAGCGCGCTCACTGCCCCGCCGCCATCCCGTCGACGCCTTGCCTCGCCTGGCACCCCGTCGCGCCCGGCCAGCACATCTGCCCGTTCGGGTTCCGCGTCCCCGGCCCGTACCCCGGCCTCCCGGGGTAGTACGGCCGGTAGTTCGGCTTCGGGTCCGCGCGGATGTTACACCGCCGCATGACGACGCCCTGGACGTTGACGCTCCCGACGACGGTGGCTCGCTCGCCGCCGTGCTTATCCGCGGTGAAGACGTGTTTGCCTATGGACCGTCCCCCGCAGTCGATCGTGACGTTGTTCGCGTTCTCCGCCCACACCTCCACGACGTGCCCGTGCGGTTGAAGGTCTCGGTTGCCCTCGCCCCAGTACACGCCGTCTTTGAGGATGCACCGGTCGCGGTTCACGGTGTACCCGAAACCCTTCGCCGAGTCTCTCTCTCGGTCCTTCCCGCTCTTCCCCAACCCCGTCTTCCTCGCGTTGTAGTTTCGCACCTGGCGCCCGGTGTACCCCTTATCCCGACCCGTGGGCGTGTTCCCGCCCGGCGCGGTCGCGTCCACTCTCTCGCCCGCGGACTCGGTCCCGTACCGCGCGGTCCCGTCCGGAATCGCCGGGTCGCGGTCGCCGCCGTCGGCTCTCTTGTAGACGTAATAATCCCTCGCCCCCGCGAGCGACGCGTCGATGCACTTTTGCACGGTGCGATACGGGCGTCCCGCGGTCCCCTGACCGGTGCTGTCGCTTCCGGACGGCGACACGTACACGTCCGAGTAGAAGAAGTAGATGCAGTCCTTTCGGGGGTGACCGAGGTTCGTGTTCCCCGGGTGCCCCGGAAACGCGCCGTGACCCACGTCCAGGTTGGACGTCTGCCGGTACTGCCCCGTCCACACGCTGTTCGCGGACTGATCGATCGCGTACGAGCCCTGACCGGTCCCGGCGTCGTACGTCGTCGCCTCCCTGACCGCGGCGAGCGTCACGATCGGCGGTTTCACGTATCCGATCCCTCGAGACAGCGGATCCACCTCTACGCGAAGGACGGTGCCGCCGGAGATGACGGCGACGCCGACGGCGCCGTAGCCAACCTCCGCGGCGCCGCCGCTCGTGTCCACGGCGATCCGCACCGCGGGCGGGTACATGTAGCCCTTGCCCGGGTTCGTCACCACGATCGCGGCGACGTAGCACTTCCCGCTCGCCGCGCAGTTGGCATCCGTGTCGGACAGCTGCGCGATCGCGGTCGCTCCCGAGCCTGGCGCGCCGCCGACGGAGGACCCGTCGAGGTAGAGGAGGTTGTTGGAGCCGCCGCCGCCGCCGAGCGTGAACTCGTCGTCCGCGGTGCCCAGACCGAGCGCGGCGTCGAGGCCGTGGCCTTCGAGGAAGCCGTACATCGGGTGCACGGGCGGGTTCGTCGAGACGCGGCAGCGGTTCATCTCGTCCGCGGTCATTCCGGATTCGGACCAGAGCCAGTACCCTTGCGCGGCGGCGTCGCCGGCGACGGCGAGGGATTCGTTCCGGTACCCAAAGTGCGTCCGCGTCGTCTCCTCGCCGACGAACGCGCCAAACTTGTGGTAGTTGTTCGACACCCTGACGAGTTCTTGGTGCCCGGGTTTCACGCTGCCGTCCATGTACGCGCGCCCGAGCGGCGGAAGAAGCGGCCCGCGATCCTCCGGGTTCCTCAACTCTGGGCACCGCATGCACGACTTCCACCCGTATACGCCGTGGGGGCAGTCCGCGAGCGTCTTCGCGCACTTCTTATCGCTGACGCCCGGTAGTCGACCGTTTCGAATACCCGGGATCCCGTACGCGCTGTCCACCTCCGTGGGCGTCGATCCCGGGAACGTGACGGGGTAGTGGATCGTGGTGTCCTCCGCGCCGTCCGGCCACGACCCGTGCGCCACCTCCGGATCCAGCTCGTCCACGCTCTTCCCCTGCTTGCTGTAATACCCAACCTGCGACGGGTCGTCGCGGAACAGCAGCGTCGGGTTGATCTCCATCGGCGTGACCCTCACGAACGGCTTCGCCGGCACTATCGTCACCACCGGCGCCTCGGTGTAGTACGCCCCCGCGAACGTCACCTCGATGGACGCGACGGCGGTTTTCCCGGCGCACGTGAAAAACGGCGACGGGCAGTCGACGTCCGGCGCCATGATCGCGCGCGCCGTGGCGTGCCTCCCGGGGCTCCACGCCGGCGTCTTCGAGCCGGAGCTCGCGTCGCCCTTCTGGAAGCACGAGTCGCCGCCGGACGCGCACGAGAAGACGACGTCCGGGGGCACGCGGTACCCGGTCCCGCCGGCGTCGACGACGATCTTCGCGACGTTGTCCAGGTACCCTCGGTTCGTGATCACCGCCGTCGCCGTCGCGTTGACGCCCATGTTGTACCCCGCGCCGCCCTCCGCGATGGTCACGGTGTCGATCGCGCCGTGCGCGTCCACCGTCGCGGTGAGCCTCGCGCAGCACCCGCCGCCGCCCTCGATCGTGATCAACGGCGGAGTTTGGTACCCGCGTCCTCCGGAGATGATTTCAACCGACGTGATCTCCTCCCCCGCCGTCGCCGACGCCGCCCCGGGGCCGTACGCGTCAATCTCCAAGATCGCGCCCGCGCCGACGGAGCCCTCGAGCGTCCCGGGCGGGTACTGCGCCGCCGCGGCCGCGGGACCAAACACGGGGGTGACGCAGACAATCTCCGTGGAGGAGACGTACCGCGCGCGTCCGCCGGGTTCGCCGACGACGTGCGAGATGTCGTCTTCGACGTACGACGCCGCGCCCGCCGCGCTGTTCACGCCGCCAAACTTGCACTTCAAGTACTTCGAGGGCAAGAAGTCCGTGCCGGTGATGGTGACCTCGGTGTTCCCCATGAACGGCCCGCGCGCGGGCCACACCGAGAATTGGTTCGTCTTGATGTTCGTCACCGTCGGCCTCTTGTCTTCGTATTTCCACTTGTTAGAGTCACCCGCACAAAAAAACAATCAGACACGCACACGCCCGAGTAGTTTGTCAAGTCATAACGCGAGCGATATAAGACGTGGGGAGCCCGACGCGGTAGATAAGAGGCGGGACGGTGTAATTTGAGTGATGCAGAGGTAGACCATGATATGTAACGAAAACGAACGAAGATACGGGAAAGTGAGGGGATCCCTACCACGCGGCGAACGCCGTCGCGTGCGTCCCCGAACGGTCGTTGCTGACGTGGATGTTACACCGCGTCGGCGCGATGTCGGCGGGTCCTCCCGCGGACGCGGTGGGCACCGTCATCGCGGGCGACTCGCACGTGATCTCCGTGTAGTCCTTCCACCTGGCGTCGATCCATTCGCTCGAGACGACGTGTTCGACGCCGTCGGCGTACGCGTAATCCGTCCCCGTCGTCGGGTCTTGATCCATATCGAGGTAGCATATCCACTTGCACGCGAGCATCTTGTGCGGGTAAAACGTCCCCGTCACCGGCGGCCCGTTCCCCGAGCTCATTGGGTCGACGTTGTGCGGGTGCGGCGTCCCCGGTCCCCCGACCGGGCCGTTGTACAGCTGTCCCGTCCCCGGCATGGTGAGATCGGTCGGCGCGATCCCCGCGGCGGCCCAGTCGAGCCCTCTCGCGGTGATCGTCACCTCCGTGCCGCCGACGTACGGCCCCGTCGCGTTGTCCAGGTGCCACATCTCCGTGATCTGCAGCGGGTTCAGCCCGACGCCGTCCGCGCTGTTCAGACAGTCCAGGCACCCGGCCTCGGAGTTGTCGAATATAAACTTGAGAAACGTCCCCGAGCCTTTGGTGTACACGAGCGGGAACGCGCTGAACTCGCTCCCGTCGTTGGACGCGGAGACGTGCGCGGTGCCGGGGGAGGAGCGCGTCGGGGTCACGACGTGCGCTTCGCTGTCGCTGACGTACGTGTACAGCACCTCCTCGATCTGGTTCTCGCTCGCGAATCGGATCTGTGGGAGGAGGGAGAGGGGAGGTGGGGACGCGCGCGGTGAGACTCGTTGTTACGAGCGCGACGGAGGATGGCTGGGGCCGCGGGATGAGGAGGTCGACTCGCGACGCGGCTCGCGCACCTTCCCGGTCGCGGACCGCTTGAACCCGGAGCCGTAGATCGTGACGACGGTGCCGCCGATGATGTGCCCTTTCGGGGGGTACAGCCACGATATCTGCGCGGCGCGGCGACGAGTTGGGGGCGGCGGCGGCGGGGCGTCAGCACCGTCCGCGCCCGGCGCGGGGGAAATGGGGCCGTTTGCGCGGGGGCGACGGAGGCGACGCGGGGCGACGGGAGGGCTCGCGCGGGGCGTCGAGAGCGTCGTTCGCGCACCGCCGGCGGCGTCTGGAGCTCCTCGAGCGCGTAGAAGTTGTTCTGCGCGCGCGCGGTCGGGACGAACGACGCGCAGAGCGCCGCGAGCGCGAGCGCGATCGCCGTCGCGCGCGCGCGGGGGCGAAGAGGCGAAGATGATTTCATCGTCGATTTCATCGTCGTCGCCGCACCGACGAGCGCGCCGCCGTCGCCGTCGCGTCGCGGCCGACCGCGCGTCCGACCGTCGAGGCGCGCTCCGCGTGGACGCGACGACGTCCGAAGCGCGCGAATCACGCGTTCGCGGGCGGTCGAGGCTCGCGCGTCGCCGTGTGCGTGAACGCGACACATGGCACGTTTCCTCGAACTCAGACTCTCGCACGCGATTACAGTAGTTGTACAGTAGCCCTATGCGCATTTATGCGGAACCGGCACTGCACGATTTCCCGCGCCGGGGGGAACTCTGCACGAAAGATCTCCGCTCGCTTTCCAGCTGTCAACTTTGTGTCGTGGTCGACGTCCCCTCGCGCAACTCCACTTCCGCGCGCGCCTCGAGCGTCGAAACCTCGCGCGCCTCCGCGCGGACGCGTCGGAACACGCCCGCGCGGCGTCGCGACCGCGAACCCGCGCCGTTCGCTCGCGAGGAAGGCGTCTCCGAGACGCGGGGGAAGCGAGTCGCTTCCCCATCTTGTTTCTTTTTTTCACGACGCGTCGCATCGCATCGGGGCATGTCGCGCGCGATCGCGACGGCGGCGCTCCCCGCGCGCGCGATGGCGCGCGACGTCCATCCCCCGCGCGCGCGCCGCGCGAGCGCGTCGTCTAGGACGTACCCCGCGCGCTCGCGCGTCGCGAACGCCGCGAACGCGTCGACGCGCGCGCGTCGTCGTCTCGTCGCCGTCGCGCCAACGGTCAGTCGCGCGGTCGCGGAAGGCGCGGACGTCGAGATCGGGCGCGACGACGAGACGATCGACGACGACGACGACGACGGTCGCGACAACAACATCGTCGCCGCGTGCGTGAACGCGACGTCCGTCGACGAACGCCGCCCCGACGTCGCGCCGCCGTCGTCCGCGGGAACGCCCCTCGTCTTCGTCACCGCGGAGGTGTCGCCGTGGAGCAAAACCGGCGGCCTCGGCGACGTCTGCGGCGCGCTCCCGGCGGCGCTCGCGGCCAGAGGGCACTCCGTCGTCGTCGTCGCGCCGCTCTACGAGCCGTACGACGACGTCCACGACACCGGGCACTCCGCGACGTTCGCGCTGAATCACCGCGACGAGACGGTGCGCTATCACGCGGCGCGACGCGACGGCGTGACGTACCTATTCGTGAAGCATCCCGCGCTCGAACGCGGCGGCGGCGCGAAGATTTACGCGTCGGCGCCCGGGCGCCCGTACGACGACAACGACTTTCGGTTCGCGCTCTTGAGTTTGGCGGCGATCGAGTCGCTGCTGTGCGTCCCGTGGGGCGACCTGTTCTTCGGCGGCGGCGAAGACGCGGAGGCGAGGCGACGGAACGCACGGTTCGACGCCGCGCCGGTGTTCGTCGCGAACGACTGGCACGCCGCGCTCGTGCCGGTGTTTCTCGCCGCGAGGTACCAGGCCGCGGCCGGGGAGGCGGTGCGACCGAGGCACTGGGCCCCGGAGGGCGCGCGAGCCGCCGTCGCGCGCGCGACGACGGTGACCATCGTTCACAACCTCTTCCACCTCGGAATCTTCCCGAGCCACCGGTACCGCATGTTGGGTCTGCCCGAGGAGAACACGGAGTGGTTCCCCGCGCTTCGGTGGCGGTGGAACGACGGCGGCGAGAGCATGAACTTTCTCAAGGCTGGGCTCGCGACGTCGCAGGCCGCGGTGCTGGTCTCGCCGTCGTACGCCAACGAGGTGCAGACGAACGAGCTCGGATGCGGGATGGATAAGGTGTTGCGAAGCGTCGGCAACTTTGGCAGCGAGATTGACCTCGGCGTGTTCAACGGCATGAGCGGCAAGTTGAAAGGGATCGTGAACGGGATCGACGACGAGGAGTGGAACCCCGCGACGGACGCGCACCTCCCGCAAAATTACGCGCTCGACGGCGACGCTTTCGAGGCGTTTTCTTACGCGCCGCACGACGAGAACCGAACCGTCGTCGACGCGCGACGCGGCAAGGCGGCGTGCAAGCTCATGCTTCAGCGCGAGATGGGATTAGAGGAGGACCCGGACGCGCCTCTGGTTGGTTTCATCGGGCGGCTGGACCAGCAGAAGGGCGTGGACGTGCTGTTGGAGTGCGTGGACGACGTCGTCGCGAACGGCGGGCAAGTCGTGATGCTCGGCAGCGGCGACGAAAGCCTCGAGCGTTGGATGTCGGAGAAGGAAGCGCAGCACAAGGGCAAGGTGTGCGCGTGGGTCGGGTTCTCCGTCCCGGTGTCGCACAGGATCACCGCCGCATCCGACGTCCTCGTGATGCCGTCGCGGTTCGAGCCGTGCGGGCTGAACCAGATGTACGCGTCGCGATACGGCACGATTCCCGTGGCGCACGCGACTGGGGGATTGCGCGACACGGTGAAACGCGCGATGGGTTACCCGTTCAGCCCGTGCGACGCGCGCGAGTTGAAGCGCGCGCTGCGACGCGCGTTCGCGTGCTACCGCGAGGACGTCGAGAAGACGCGGAAGATCGCGGACGGCGGCGTCGCGGGCGCCGTCGACAGCCGGTGGGCGCAGAAGCGGCGGCGGGGGATGGAAAAAGATTGGTCGTGGGCCGTCGCCGCGGGCAAGTACGAGACGCTCTTCAAGTCCGTCTCGCAGCCGCCGCCGCCGGGGATGAACGACGTGCGCGCGATGCTGGGCGCGGGCGAGCACGAGATCGATCCGCACGCTATCGCGGACGCCGTGGAGGCGGCGCAGAGGGACGACATGGAGACGCAGTGGAGGGAGGCGGAGCGACGCGCGGAGCGGACGAGAGTCAAGGCGGCGAGGGCGCCGTGCCGGGACACGCGGACGTTCGGGGATCAGAACCCGAGCTGGTTCGCGATGCTTCCGAAGGCGATCTTGAAGGCGATGTTCTGAGACGTCCGCCGCGCGGTGAGGGAGGGTTCGTAGATAGAAGAAGAAGAAGATGATGATGAAGAGATGAGTATAAGTTAAGAAACGAGACGCGACGCGACCCCTGACCCCGCCTGAAACTCCAGTCGTCTACGAGTAGCGGAAGTGGATAAAGATTTGTTTCCGGTTGTTGAATCGGGGCGTCTTCCGTCCAGATCCCCGGGCGCCGCGCTCGCTCGCGATGTCGACGCTCACGAAGAGGCGCGCGAGCGCGGAGACGTGCGCGAATTGCGGGAAGACCAGCGCCAAGCTCCTGAAGTGCCTCGGGTGCAAGTCCGCGTTGCGAGGTCGACGCTACTGCGATAAGAAATGCCAGAAGAAGCACTTCAGCAAGGAACACAAGGACGAATGCCGTCTCGTGGACTTGAAAGCCGCCGCGGACGACGCGAAGGACGCGTACATGAAAGCGATGAGGAAGGCGGAGAAAGAGATCGCCGCGCGCGACCGCGACAAGGCGAACAAACACTTCCGCGAGGCGATCGAAGCGTGCGAAGACGCCCGCGAGCGATACAAAAAGTTGGGCCCGAGAGCGCTCGGCATGGAGCTCGAACTGTGCGTCACGCTGTGCACCTGCCACGTCAACCTCGGCGAGTACGACGCCGCGGAGCCGTACGTCGAAGCCGCGCTCTTAGCCGGCGAGGTCGCGAAGACGGTGAAGATAGAACCCGACGGCGTCGAGGAGCCTCTGTGGTGCGGGCAAGGGCAAAGGATCTGCGGCGAGAGCACGACGGACGCCGACGGGGACCCGCGCGCGACGCAGGAGACGTACGACGACATGATCGAGAAGTGCATAGCGTCGGCGTGGCACGCGCGGCACGGCGCGAGGATGTCGGCCGCGATCAAGGGCGAGATCATCGCGCAGTGCGCGGTGTGCGGGGAAGACGTCGAGGGATTGGAGGCGGATCCGAATCTGTTGACGTGCGACGCGCTGAGCTGCCGCCACCTGGTGCACGCGAAGTGCCTGCCGAACGGGATGGCGGACTTCCGGCCGCGCGACCGCGGCTTGGGCGGCGGCGATCACCCGGACGTCGTGACGTGCAAGATTTGCGTGGAGACCGGGGCGCCGAGATATAAAAACGGACGGAGCTTCACGGAGATTCGAGAGGACGAGAAGAGGGAGAAGGCTGAGAAACGAAACGAGAAGAAGTTCAACGAGATGTTCGGCGATCCCACCTCGGACGAGCCCGCCGCGGGGATGTTCCGCAGGGAGTCCGCGACGCCGGAGGAGGCGCGCGAGGCGGTGCTCGTCGTGCAAGAGCGCATGCGGCACCTCATCAACGACAGAGGCTTGCCGGATGAGAAGAAGGAAGAGTACGGGAAGATGTTCGCGGACGCGGGGTACGATCTGGATAAGATCATGACGCTCGACCCGGGGTTGGAGTTTGGAGGGTTGCCGCCGCGGGCGCGCGGGAGGGAGTGATCGCGTCGCGTCGCGTCGCGTCGCGTCGTCGAGGGACGCGCGCGAGTAGGACGTTGTTACGTCAGGTTGTCGTGAACGCAAAAAAAAACGCCACGTGCACAATTTTCGCCGAGAGGACGACCACGACAACACACACAACAATCCGCGAGCCACAACGACGCGCCCCGCAGAGGTCCGCACGCTCGCGTCCGGCACCGTTCGCGCGTCTCTGTCGCGTCGTCCGCACCACCTCACGTCGAGCCGTATCCGCGCGCGACGCGCGAAGCAGCGAACGAGTCGTCGCCCGACGCTTCGAAGGACACGCACTCGGCACCTGACGAATTATCGTCGTCGTAACGAACGATATGGTCGCGAAGAATCCGAAGAAGCGGAAGACCGCGGCGACGACGCCGACGAAGGACGACGCGAAGTCTCCTCGCGGCGGGCGAGGGAAATCTCGCGTCGTCGCGGCGACGGCCACGATACGGAAGAAGACGCCGCGCGCGAAGTCCCCGTCCGCGGCGGGACGCGCGCGCGCGCGCGTCGGAAAATCGGCGAGCGCGAAATCGCCCGCCGCGAAATTGCCAACATCGCCCGCCGCGGGGCGAGGTCGTAAACACACGCCGCGCAAACCCCGCGCCGCGCGCGCCGCGCTCTCGCCGCCGTCGCAGAACGCGAAGAAGAAGACGACGAGAGCGCGGAAGCTCGCGGAAGCGAAGAAGGCGCCGAAGAAGTCGCCGAAGAAGGCTCGACCGCCGTCCTCGAAGAAGCCGACGAAGGAAGCCGCGCGCGTCGTGCGCGCCGGCGGCGTCGCGAAATCTCCGAAGAAGAAGAAGAGACGCCCATCGAGCGCGAAGAAAGTCAAGCCGCGGCCGAAGAAGCGACCCGCGTCCGCGTCGAAGGCGCCGCCGTCCGACGCGTCCGCGTCGTCGAGGAAATCCGACGAAAAGAAGGCGGCGGACAAGACCAAAAAAACCAAAGCCGCGCTCGCCGTGCGCGCCGGTCGCGTCGCGAAGTCGCCCGCGTCGAAGCAGAAGAAACAGCAGCAGCAGCAGCGACGTCAACCGAAGATGAAGCAGCACGCGAAGCCGAAGCCGAAGCCGAAGCCGGCGCGTCTTCGACCGCCTCCCGCGCCGGCGAACTCGACGCAGATGATCATGCACCAGTACAACGCCGGGCTCGCGAAGAGCGGCGGCGCGAAAAAAACGGTTCGCGTCCGCGGCGGTCGGATCGACACGTTCGGGTCTTTGCTTCCCGCGCGCGCGCGCGCGACGACGACGGCGACGCGCCCTCCGGTCGCGCCGAAGAAGGGAGGCGCCGCGACGGCGACGGCGACGGCGACGGCGACGGCGAGGACGAAGGCGAAGGCGAAGGCGAGGACGAAGGCGAAGAAGAGAGCGCCGCCGCCGTCGTCGTCGTCGCGCGGGATGATGTTCAGCCCGACCCCGTCCGCGGGAACGGGCGGGGACTACGCCATCCCGGAGAGAGCGGGCGCGTTTGGCGCGTCGAGACTTCCGTCGGACGTGTTCACCCCGGGCGGAGGCGCGCGCGCGGCGCGAGACGACGACGAGGTGTCGAACGCGTCTACGTGGTTGGGCGAAGAGGAGGAGGAGGAGCGAAAAGGCGGGGGAGGAGGAGGGGGCGGCGCGCGGGGGAGGCCGAATCGTGCGGCGTCGTGTTTGACGTCGCCGAGGATCGCGTGGACGCCGGCGTCGCCGGCGTTACACCGCCGCTGAGCCGCGGCGTCGCGCCCTTTGTGAAAGATAGAAGAAACGCGAGCCGCCGAATACGTATCGCGTCGTAGCCACGGGCGCGCGTCGCTCGTAAACGAAAACGTTGTCATTGCATCATCACTATTCTATCCATCGCTTCGCGCGCCCGAGCGCGCGACCTCATCGCTCACGCCGTGATCGACGTCGGAACACCGTCCTCGACGATCGTCGCGTGTTTCTTCAGCACCTCCCTCGCGAGCTCCGGGGCGCCGCTCGCCTTAAATATCGACGACAAGTTATGCGCCGCCTCCCACTTCAAGTTTGGCGAGCTCGCGTCCGCGTCCGCGTCCGCGGGGTCGTCGTCGTCCCTCGCGAGGCACCGCTCGTACAGCGGCACCGCGAGATGGACGAGCCCGAGCTGGTGTAACCCGCGCGCGAGGTTGTACTCCCCTTCCCGTGCGTGCCCTTGCGCCGCGCGCAGTCTCCCGGCTTTCTGCAACAGCGCGACGGCTCTCAGCACCCACGCGTGCCGCACTTCGTCCGCCGCGTTTTTGACCCCGGAGGCGTGGTGCAGCGCCGCGACGCCCGCGGCGAGCGACGCCGCGGGGTCCTCCGGCTCGATCGCCACCGCGTGCATCAAATCCGCGAGCGCGACGCCCCACGACCCCTGCAGCGCGTTCATCAACCCCGCCGTCAGCAGCACCGGCACGCGTCGTCGCATTTCGTCGTCGTCGATATCGCCGTCGCCGGCGGCTCTGCGCTTCTCGTCTTGTTGCCTGTGCGACTGAGGGCCATTCCATACAAAAACAGTTCATCGGTCAGTTGAAAGGGGGAGCGATCAAATGTTGAAACCGGTCGATGGGTGAAATACGTTTGTATAGAACGCACCTGAGTGATCTTCGCGAGGACGCGCAGGCATCGAGACACCTGGCCGCTCTGCACGGCGGCGTGGGAGTAGAGACGCCACGCCTCGGACGACTCCGGGTGCGCGGCGGCGACGGCGCGCGCGCTCTCCGCGGCTTCTTTGTGCTGCCCTCTTCGCGCGAACGCGTGCGCGCGCAGATATTTCAGCGCGTTGATCTGCTCGTTCGTCAACCCGCGTTCGCGCGAGAAGGAGAGGCACTCGTCGATCATCGCGAGGGATTCGTCCGTCCTCCCCGCGACGAACAGCGCGTGCGCGACTTCGAGGACGAGGTCGAACGCGCCCTCTTCCGCGAGCGACGGCACCGATGTCGTCTCCGTGGTCGTCGGAGACGCCTCCGGCGGCGTCTCCTCCTCGGGCGGCGGGCGCGAGAGCGCGTCCGCCTCCGCGGCGGCGGCGGCGAACATCTCCGCGTCTTCTTCGTCCTCCGCGGCTTCGTCCTCGAGCGCGGCGGCGGCTTCGGCTCGCTTCTTCCTCTTCGCTACCTCCTGGCGTCGGTCTCTCCTGGTGTAGCCCTTGAAGACCGAATTCGCCGTCGGGGCGACCTCAGCCTTGCGTTTCCTTCCGCCGCGCCCGCGCCCGCGCCCGCCGCGTCCTCCGCCTCTTCCGGGTCCTCCGCCCGCGTCCTCCGCCCTTTCTCCGGCGCCTCCTCCTTCGTCGCGCGTCGCCGCCGCGTCCGCGTCCGCGGTCGCGGTCGCCTTCGCCGCGAGTTTCATGCTCCCTCGCGCGATCGGCAGCGCGAGGCTCAAAAACACGTCGTCGCCGTTCGCGTTGCACTCGCGATGCAACGCGAGCGCTCGCAGCGCGTCCTTCTTGCGCAGCTCGCCGAGCTCGCTCGCGCGCGGGAGGACGGCGATCGCCTCCTCGGTCCGCCCCGCCTTCGCGAGCCCCTCCGCGAGCGGGAGCTTCGCCTGGACGCTGTCCGGATGCCGCGAGAGCACGGCGCGGTAGAATTCGATCGCGCCGTCGATCGCCGCCGCGCGCGTGAACGTCGCGTCCGCGCTGCTCTCGAGTATCCTGCGCGAGATGCAGTCGGCGACTTTCACCCAAATCGCGGGCTGGTCGTACAGCTCGCTCGAGCGCATCAGCGCGGTGTACATCACCTCCGCGTCCGCGGTCTGTCCCGTCGCCCAGCACGTCTCCGCGGCGTCCATCCACAGGTCTTCGTGGCCCTCCACGGACGCGTTTCGAAGTTTTTGCAGGTGCGTCTTCGCCTCCGCGGCTCTGTCGAGGTACAGCAGCGCCATCCCGAGTCGCACGGTGAGATCCAGCGGGATGTCCGCGGGGATTCTCGCCGCGCGCACGGCGGCGGCGATGGCCTCTTCGGCCGCCGCCGCCGCCTCCTGCGCGGCGTCGTTCTCGCTCGCGCCGCGCTCCCTCGCGGCCTGTTGCACCTCCCTCGCGACCGCGGTGGCTTCCTCCGCGCGCTCGGACGCCCTCTGTTCCTCCGCGAGCTCCTTTATTCGGTCCGCGGACGCTTCGATCAGCGTCACCGTCTCTTCGAACCTCCCGGCTTCCATCTTGAGCTCGGCGAGGATGTTCACGAGCGTCGGCGTCACGTGCGCGCCGCCGTGCATCTGCATGAAATCGTCCAGCGTCGTCTCCGCGCGCTCCGCGTTCCCGACGCTGTGATACACCCGCGCGAGCTCGACGACGACGTCCGCGTTGTCGCGAAGTTTCTTTCGCAACGCGTCGAGGTGCTCGATCGCCTTCTTCGGCTCCCCGATCTCGACGTATAAGTTCGCCTGGTCCCACCGGTTGTTGTCGTCGTCCGGGTCCGCCTTGAGCGCCTGCTCGAGGCAGTACAGCGCCTGCCTCGGGTTCTTCTGCGCGTTCGACATCTCCGCGAGTCGATACCACTGCGCGGCGTCCTTGGGCTCGAGGTGCGCGGCGATCATGAGGAAATCCAACGCCTTGCGCTCGTTCCCGGTCTCCTCGTAGATCGCCCCCAACGTCTGGTACGCGTCCGGGTTGTTCGGCAGCAGTCGTATCACCTCCTGCAGGAGCTCTATCGCCCTCGGGAAGTCGCTCGTCGAGTACGCGAGGTTCGCGTCGCCCATCTTCCGCCCCGCCTCGCCCTCCGCGACGCGTTTCCTCGTCTTCCTCGGCTTCTTCGACCGTCCCCTGCCCACGCCGCCGGGCTTCCGGCGCGCGTGCGACGCGTCCGCCGCGCCCAAGAACGCCGCGAAGTGCGGGCTCGCGGCCAACAGCTCGTCCCTGTCCACGTCCAGCGACTGCACGAGCTTCGCGGCGCCGTACTGCGTGCTCAGATCCGCGGCGCTGACGTCGTGCCCGCGTCGTTTCAACGCGTCCACGAACGCCGCCTGATGCGCGCGGTGCGCCTCGCGCTTCCTCGCGGCGAGGAGCTCGTACGGCGCCGGGCCGCCGCCGGCTTGGCCGTCCATCTGCTTGAGCAAGACGTCGATGCTCTGCGTGTCGAACATCTCCTCCGCGTCCTCCTCCTCTTCGTCTTCCTCGAATTCGTCGGGCGCGGCGACCGCCGCCGCGCGGGATCGGTCGAGGGGGTCGACGGGGGCGGCGGCGGACGGGCCAGCGCGCGCGTCGTCGTCGTCGCCGTCGTCGCCGGCATCGCCGTCGTCGCCGTCGTCGCCGTCGTCGTCCTCGTCGTCGTCCTCGTCCTCGTCGTCCTCGTCGCCGCCGCGGTCGAGCGCGAACGCGACGCCTCGATTGCCTCGGGCGGGGGCTCCCGCGTTCCCCGCCGCCGCGCGCGCGGCCCACTCGTCCTCGTCGTCCGTAACGTCATCCTCCTCGTACGTCTCGAAGACGTCGTCGTCGTCGTCGTCGTCCCTCATGTCTCCGCGTGCGGCGCGCTGTCGTGAAGGCGCGCGCCGATGTGGTCGCGACGCGTCAGAATTCGCTGAGTCGCTGCGGGTGGTTGTTGGTTTCTCGACGCTGCTGGACACTGAGCTTCAAAATAAATGACCGGCGGGGAGACGTCGTCCTGTTCTACTAAAGGTGTCACCGTTGCAATCCGAGCAGAACGCTCGTTAGTTATCTATCGCCGACGTTTCCGTTCGCGCGTCGAAAATGAATTACCCCCACCCTCTCACCCTCTTCTCTCCAAGTCTTCGTCGTCGCGCTCGCGCGCCGCCGCCGCCGCCCGCCGCCCGCGCCCGCGCCCGCAACCTTCTCGACCTACTCGACCTTCGCGACCTTCGCGACCTCCTCCTCCCTCCTCCATCGTCGAGTCGATAATCGATCATCACGCCCCCGTCTGCTGCTCCTGCATGTACACACGGTACCGCGCGCGCCGCTTCGCGTCCTGCTGCTCCTGCGACCGCTGCCTGTACGCCTTGAGATCCTTGCACCGCGGCACCGGGCAGTTGGCGTCGTTGCACCCGTTGGCGTGCACCTGCAGCAGCGTCCACATCTTCCGACACAGCTGGCACCCCCCCGCAGCCTTCAGCTGGCAGTTCGCCGCGTGCTTGAAGAGATGCTTCACCTTGGTGCAGTTCGGCGACCCGCAGTTCGCGTCCTTACACCGCGTCGCGTGCACGAGCAGCTCCATCGTGCGTTGGATCTGCTCCGCGCGCACGCGTCTGTCCTCCTCCGTCATCCCCGGCCCGCGGTCGCTTCTCCCGCCGCTTCGCACGAGCGGGTGTTCGTGGCCCTTCATGCGCTTGCAGTCGTCACAGATGTCAAAGTCCGGGCACGTCTCGCATCGCCACCCCTTGCCGGGCTCGAGCTCGCGTTGACAGCTGTTGCACGTCGCCACGAACGCGGGCTCGGACGGGTTGTTGAGGTGATACAACACCATCATCGTCGTGTGCTTGGCGCGTCGAAGCGAGTCGAATTGGAAGTGGTTCCCTTGGCACAGCGAGAGGAACGCCTGTCGCGTGTCGAAAAACTCCGAGTTGATCACCTCGTCGCTCTCCTTGACGTCCGGCAGCGGGTCCACGCGTTCGCACACGAGATCCCGCCCCGTCGTGAGCTTCTTCTCGTGCGACTCCAACGCCTGCTCCACGTCGTAGCACTCCTGGCACAGCTCAAAGGCGGCGCCCGACGCCGACGGCGTGGAGTCGTACCACCGGTTGTCGTCCGCGATGCACTTCCTACACTGCGTGCACTGGTGCGCGAGGTGGACCATGATGAAGTCGTGACGCATCGTGTGGATCGTCGTCCCGAGCTTCTTCATGAGCTCGACGTCGAGCTCAGCCTCGGGGGTGCCGACGCCCAGGCGTTTGCCCTTGCCCGTCTTCCGCGCCGTCGCCGTCGTCTGCTTAGCGCTCTTGCCCTTGTTCTTCTTCGCGAGCTCGGCTTGTTCCTTCTGGATGCCCGGGATCCAGTCCTCCGCGACGCCGGGGAAGTAATCGCCGTCGAAATACGGCAGCTCCGTCGCGGACGCGATGTCGTGGTTCTGGTTCCCGAGGTGAAACTCGTCGTATAAATTCTGGAGCGACAGGACGATGCCCTCCTTTTGCGCCTGCCTCAACATCTTGAGGTACCACTCGCGGAGCTTGTCGCTCTTCGGCGTCTTCTGCTCCTTCGGGTGGCAGTACAAGATGTAGTCCTCGCCTTGGAACGGCGGGCACGCCCAGATGAAGCACGACGTGAACCCTCGCTGTTTGATGTACTGCAGGTACCCGATCAAAATCTGATGGTAGCAATACGTCCGCAGCGCGCAGCCTTCGCCCGTCGCGACTTGAATCCCGCTCGGGCGGAAGTACTTCACGCTGTCGAGGTAGGACAAGTACACGCGCCGGTTGTTCGGCGCGGGGCAGTCGCTGCCGTACTCCTGGACGTAAATGCCGAGCAAGCACACGTCCACGCCCTCGGTCTTTTGGAACAAGAGTAAAACCTTGCTCCGGTACGGAAATCGCTCCGGAAAGTTTTGGTCCTTGAAGGCGTCTTTGAAGTTCTTCTTCACCTCGAGCGTCTTCTCGACGCTGGAGACGACGCGGATGACGAGACCATCCGCGGCGGGGATCTCCTCGATGGGCTTCCCGAGCAACTTCGCGCGTTCGTTCCGCTCGTGCGTCATCACCTTCTTCAGTCTCTCCTCCAAGAAGAACGACAACCGAGTGTGCGGGAGCTCCGACGCCGGGAGCTGCGACGACGGCCGGTTCGTCGTCGGCGCGCGCTCCTTCTTATCCAACTGCGATAAGATGCAGCTCGGGCACGTGAACGGCGCCTCCCCGCCGGTGTTCTTCCTCCCGTTGAACAGCACGCAAATCTGGTGGTACCAGCAGTTGCAGTAGTCGCACTGCACCCACGGCTCTTCCAAGTCGTCGTCGTTCTTCTTCTTCGCGAGCTGATTCTTCGGGTACTTGACGCCCTCCACCTCGATCGAGCCTTGAATTTGGTTGTAACACGGGTTACACCACGCGTCTTTGCGCACTTCCCCGCCGGTGACGTGCGGTGGGATGTGGTAGAAAACCTGCCCGCGTTTGATCCGCCCGACGCACGCGTAGCAATACAATGGCGGCGGCTCAAACGTCAGCCGCTCGACGCCGCACGCTTGGCACGCCGACTCCGTCGCGCCGGCGATCGCCTTCTCGCTCTCCGCGTCGCGTCTTCTCGCGGACATCGGCTGCCCTTTCGCCGCGGTGACGTCCTTGTCCGCGAGACGCAGCGACGCGAGGTGCGTGCGCACCTCCTCCGGGGAGAAGCACTCCATGAGCGACGTCCCTTCCCCGCCCGGGCGCTTCGTGCCGACGGTGCCCTTGACTTGCGTCGGCGGCGGCATCATGACGCCGCCGTCCATCCTCGCGCGTTTCGCCGCGGGCCCGCCCTGCTGCTGCATCTGCTGCTGCTGCGCCTGCATCATCGCGTGCGACCGCTGCTTGATCATCGCGCTTCGCACGGGGCCGCAGACCGGGCACCGCGCGTCCTTGCAGTTTTGGTGGTGCTTCAGGAGCTCCCTCGACGCGATGCACCGCGGATACTCGCACCGCGGGTTCAAGCACTGCAACACGTGCTTCCACAGATCCTTCGCGACGTGGCACTGCTGCGTAAGTTGGCACTTCCCCTCCGGCGCTTGGCACTTGCTCGCGTGCCGCAAGAACAGCAGCCAGCGCTGCTGCTTCACGATGTACGCCTTTTTGATCTGGTCCTCCGTCATGGGCTGCCCTCCGTTCGCCGCCTGCGCTTGCTGCGGCGCCCCGCGTCCGCCGCCTCTGCCTCCCATGCCGCCTCTGCCGCCCATGCCGCCTCTGCCGCCGCCGGCCATCATCGCCTGCTGCTGCTGCTGCTGCTGCTGCGCGATCATCGCAGCCTGCTGCGCTTTCTGGTGCTTCGCGATCTGCGCTTCCTGCGCCTTGGTCGGCTTCTTCCCGGGCTTGACGTTGACCCCCGCCGCCGCCATCGCCGCCGCGCGCTGCTGCGCCTGCTGCTGCTGCTGCATCATCATCGCCTGCTGCTGCTGCTGCTGCTGCTGCATCATCATCTGCTGCTGCTGCGCCGCGGTCATCCCGCCCGGGCCTTTCATCGCGACGTTCCCGACGCTGACGCCCTGCGCGGCGGCGCCTCGAATCACCGGCGCGCCGTTGCTCATGATCATCCCGCCCATCCCTCCCCCCCCCATCATCCCGCCAGGGTCTTGCTTCATCTGCATCATCATGTTCGGATCGTTCGGGTTCGGTTGCATCCCTCCGGTTCCGGGTTGACCCCCTGGCTGGACCATCTGCATGGTCGGTTGACCGCCGACGCCGCCGACGCGTCCGACGCCGCCGCCGGGTTGCTGCGCGCCGCCGCCTTGACGCGGCCGCGCCACCATGATCCGCGCGACAGCTTGCAACCGCGCCTCGAGCGTCGCCTCGTTGCAGTACTCCTCCTGAGACGAACGATAGAAGTGGAGGGATCGCGTCGTGAGGGATGGGAAGAATGTCGGACGGTCGGACGACACGCGGCGGCGATAACCCAAGCCGAAAGGGTTATGGTTTTTTCGGCGCCCGGACGCGCGGCGTCCAAGATGATGCCGTGGGGTCGACGCCGAGGTTCAAACGCGGCCGCGATCGCGGCGTCGACGCCGCGACGCGTCGTACGACGATCATTTCCGCGGAACGATCGCGATCGGGGCGCGATCGAGGTCGGATTGACCGCGCCGCGGGCGCCGGTTGGATGGCATTTTTTCGAAAACGACGAGCGCGAGGGTCGCCGATCGATCGTTCGCGCCGCGCGGACGCACCTTGCTGCGCGCGCCTCGGTACACCGCCTCCTCCAGCCTCAACACGAAATCCGGGAGCTTCTGCTGCCACTCTCGCGTTTCGCTCGGTTTCCTTTGGCGGAAAAGTTTCAGGCTGCGTCCGATCGGGCGAGGGGTGCGACGGTCAGCCGAGCGCTCTCGATCGATTTCGCGCAAGAAGACGCGAGAAACACAAACAGAACGCGCGCGAGGAGAAAAAAAATAGGGTTCGCGTTCAGCCATCGCGGGCGACGTTCGCGCGGACGTACATGTGCTGAATCAACACCTTCCGCTGAGGAATGTCCGCGTCGCTCTGCCAGGTCTTCCACTGCGTCCCCGCGGAGCCTTGAGACGGCATCCCGCCCACGGGCTGCGGCCCGGAGGCGCCGTTTCCGGGGCCCTGCATCGCGCTTTAAAAACCAAACGCGCGCGCGCTCGCTTCGAATCTGAGAAGAAACGCGGTCGCCGCGATCTCCGGCGACGCCCCCCCCCGCGCGATCGACGCGCGCGCCTTTCCCTACACTCGAACCGAACGCGTCCTAACGCGTCTCGAGTGGGTAAAGGACACCACGCGGGCGCGAGTCGCGTGTCGATCCGCGCGAACCGCGCGCGTTTAACCCCACCCCGCGCTGCTTCGCGGAAAAATACGCGCGCGCGGACGCCTCGCGCGCGGTCAAGAAGTGTAGAAGTGCGCGTTCGCGCGGTCACGTGACCCTCTCGACGCGACGCGCGCGCGCGTCATCGCTTTCAGTTGATCGGCAAAGCTCTCATCGACCCGTTCGTTGATCGAGTGGAGCGATCCGCGTCACAGTCTATCAGTTCTTCCCATCACAACGGGTGAGTCACTCGCGCGCGCTCACCCGCTGGTCGTTACTCCCGTCGGCACGCGCGCCCACGCGCGCGAGAACGCACGGAAGCGACCCCGCGACCGCGCGACGCGCGCGCTGCCCGCGAACCGCACGCGCTCGACACCGAGCGAACGCGCGCGCGCGCGCGGGACGCGAGACGCGCGACGCGCGCGGGATAAGCGCGACAGCGATCGATCCATCACGGATGGCGACTCTCGCGTCGCTGGGCGCGACGAGCGTCGCGCCGCGCGCCGCGGCGCCGCGACGGGTCGCGAACGCGCGCGGCGTCGCGCGAGCGCCGCCGTCGCGCGGCGTCGCGCGATGCGCGAAAAGAGGGGAGAGCCGCGGCGATCGCGCGCTCGCGCGCGCGTGGGACGCGCGCGACGGACGCCGCGCGCGCGGGGGGGAACGCGGTGACGCGGCGGCGGCGCGCGCGCACGCCGCCGGCGCGCGCGCTTTCGAGGCGCGACGCCACCGCGGAAGCGGCGTCGCGCACGCCGCCGCGGGGGCGGTCGACGGCGGCGACGCGTCGGGGAGCACGCCGGTGCGTCATTCGCGCGGTCCCATCCCTCCCGTCGCGTCCGTCGTCGTCCTCGAACGCGGTGGTCCCGAACTTCTTCGCGAGAAGATCGATCTCTCGTCGCGACCACCGAATCAATCTCTCGCCCGCCGACTGACCGAACGACCGACGCTCCGCGCGCCCGTCCACCGCGTCCACCCATCCCCCCCATCAATCCGCGCGTCCACCAGGGCGTCACGATCGTTAAGCCCAAAGTGAGCGCGGGGAAGCTCCAGACTCGAATCGCGTCCGCGCTCGTCCTCGGCGCGGCGGGCGCCGGCGTCATCGTCGCCGGCGGCGTCTCCTTCGCGCTCTTCATGAGCCTCGCGTCGTTCCTCGCGTCGAAGGAGTACTTCACGCTCGCGTCGAACATGTCCGTGGAGCTGCCGTACCCGCCCGAGGAGTGGGTGAACACGATGTGCGTCGCGATGTGCACCGCGTTTCCGATCATCTTGTTTTCGTGCGGGGGCAAGCTGAACGTCATCGTGCAGACGATGATGGGCGCGTACGGCGTCACCGCGACGCTGCTCATGACGAAGCAAAAAGACCCGCACTTTTCGCAGTTCACGAGCGTGATGTTCGGGTTCTTCTACTGCGGGTTTCTTCCGAGCTTCTGGGTGAAGCTTAGAGCGCTCGCGTGGGGCGCGACCGCCAGCGCGGGCGCCGGGAGCACCGGCAGCGCGTTCATCTCGGCGTGGCCCGCCGCGTTCGGAGGCCCGGGGGTGTGGACCACGGGACTCATCGCGACGATCATCGCGGTTCTGTGCATCATCGCGTCCGACGTCGGCGCGTACGTCGTCGGAAAGACGTTCGGGAAGCATCAGTTGATTCCGTTGTCCCCGAATAAGACGATCGAGGGCGCGGTGGGCGGCCTCGTCAGCACCGTCGGCGCCGCGTTCGCGCTGCGGTGGCTCCTCGGGTGGCAAGCCGGGGTGGTGCAGACGACGATGCTCGGCTGCGTCATCTTCTGGTCCGCGGTCGCGGGCGATCTCATGGAGTCCGTGATGAAACGGAACGCGAACATGAAGGACAGCGGGAACATCATTCCCGGCCACGGCGGGTTCCTCGATCGCTTCGACTCGTATCTGTTCACGGGAATCGCGGTGTACTTTTTCATCGTCACCGTGATGCCCGCGTGGTTTCAGGGCGTCGTGCTGTGATCTGATCGAAACGCGATCAGATCACGTCGCTCGTGTTGTGTTGAGTTGATTGATGCGATACGATACGTCGCGCGCGCGGCGTGACATCGCGTGCGCGTCGTCGCTCACGTCACGCGCGCACCCTTCTCTATACTATGTTGTGTATCTAAAGTTTAGTTTATGCATCATCCGCGCCGTCGCGGCGGCGTTGGTTTCGCGGCGACGAGGTAGTGCGTCGTCCCAAAGTGATACGCGCGGTGCTCGATGATCTCCAACCCCGCGTCCTTCACGATCTGAGGGATGTCCCTGTTCCAGTAGCACCCCCACTTCGCCGCGTGCGCGGTCGCGTGCGCGTCCAGGATGTTCGAGAGCCATCCGTGCGCGTCGCTTCTGCCGTGCTCGAGGAGGAACAGCCGGCCGCCGCCGCCGCCGTCGCCGCCGCTTATACCGCCGCTTTTACACACCCTCGCCATCTCTCGCAGCGTCGCGACCGGGTCTTCGTAGCTGCACAGCCCAAACGTGTCGACGACGGTGTCGAACGATCCGGTCTTGAACTTCATCCGCGCGGCGTCGTCGACCTTGACGTCCAGCTTCGCGAAGCGCGCGCCGCCGCCGCCGCGTGGGCCGCGCGACGCTTCGCCCTTCGCCCTGCACACGTCCACCATGGGCTCGGAGCAGTCCGTCGCGGTGAGCTTCGTCCCCGCCGGGTAGTACGCGAAGTTTCTTCCCGTTCCCGCGGCGACTTCTAAGACCTGATGCGCGCGACGAAGGAGCGATGAGTGAGGCGTGAGCGACGCGGAGAGATGAGCGACTCGAGAAGAAAAACGAATCGATGGACGCGGACGCGCACCTCGCCCTTGGCCTGCCGCATCATCCACCATCGCATCGCTTTGATCCCGGTCAGGAGCTCGTGCCACTCGAGCTTCTCGTCGAACTCTTCCGCGAGCGCGTCGTACGCCGCGCGCCGCCTCGCCTCCTCCACCGCCGGGGACGCCGCCGACGACGACGACGACGACGACGACGTCTTCCGCCCGCCCGCGCGTCGTCCTCCTCCTCCTCCTCCGCGCCGGACGTCCGCGTCGTCGTCGCAGTGCGGGCACGGCCGCGGCGTCGCGCCGAGCATCGTGCCGTATCCCACCGCGGCGCCGCCGACGCACGCGGCGGCGCCGCCGAACGCGCCGAGGAGCGTCAGCACCGGCCGCATCCTCGAGACGCGCGGTGCGAACTGAGCGCGATGATGCAGTCGTCGAGGCGTCACCGTCTGATGAATAGTTTCGCGGGAGCTGCATGGACAGACGAGCGCGCGCGCGGCACGTTCGGGTCGCGACCGACGTCCACGCCGCGATTCCACCCGACGCGGAGACGCGCGCCGGGATGACGCGCGGCGTCGACGCGCGACTCCGCGGCGCGCGCGCGAGGCGCTGACGCGACGGACGCGTCCTAGCTAGGAGGAACCGACACCGAGATCTCGTCGACGAAACATGGCACCTCCCCCCGCCGATCGTCCGCCGCGACCGCGACGTCGCGCGCCGCCGGTCCCCGCCGTCGTCCGATGCGCGTACCCCGCCATCGCGTCCCTGAGGGAGTGCGTCTACTCCGTCTGCGTCCTCGCCGGGCTCCCGACGCCGGCGCTGACGCGCGACGGCGACCCGCCCGCGTATCTCGACGCGCTCCTTCGCCGGACGCTCGCGACGACGCGATCGCGCGCGCCGAAGCTGCCGCCGTGGACGACGTTCGAGTCGCGCTCGAGCGTCCGCGAGATCCTCGCGAGGACGCTCTCCGACATGTTCAAGGCGCAGAGCGTGCCGAGCAACGTGCTGTGCTACGGCGCGCGGCGGCGGACGCCCGCCTACGCGACGCGACCGGCGCCGGGGAGGGGTGCCAACTCTTTGGACGGCTTCCTCGACGTCGACGTCGCGCACGCGTCCGCGGCGAGAGAGGCGCTGACGTCCGGCGTCTCCGGGGAGGCGTGGGCGCTGCTGCTCTCGCGCGTCGGAGACGACGTGCTGGCGCATCTCCTCGCGCACGGCGTGATCTTCGCGCCGACCGGGGACGAGTCCGGGGCGCATCTCCAGCTGTGCGGGACGCCGCTGTCGCACACCGCGCGAGGGGTCTCGGCGGCGGCGTTTAAGCGAAGAGCCGCGCTGGCCGCCGCGGGGAGAGGGCGCGGTCGCGGCGGTCGCGGCGGTCGCGGCGGTCGCGGCGAGAGAGGCGATACCGGCGACGCCGCCGCGGTCGGAGGAGGGAGAGGCGGCGGCGGTCGCGGCGGACGAGGACGCGGACGAGGACGAGGACGACGCCGCGGACGAAAAGGCGCCGAGGACGAAGCCGACGAGGACGTTATCATCGGGACGGCGTCCGCGCCGACGGACGAGGACTCGCCGGTGTCGACGACGAAAGCCGACGCGGGGGAGAGCCCTTCCGTGACGGTCGCGAAGTCGATGTTCCGAGCCGCGAGCGGGTTCGTGAGGGGCGTCGTGACGTCGAATCCGTTCATGCGATCCGTCGCCGCGGCGGCGCCGCCGCCGCCCGAGGCGCCGCCGGAGGCGCCGCCGCCGGCGAGGACGCGCGTCGACGACGAGTGGTCCGAAGACGAGGACTTCGTCGTCGAGAGCGTTCCCAAAGAAGACGCGGAGAAGGCGTCGTCGCCGCAGGACGCCACGGTCGCGACCGCGGCGATGCGCGAGCCCCCGCGCCCGAGCAGCTGGCGGCGGAGGAAACTCGCGAGAGCAGCCGCCGCGGCGGAGGCGGCGGCGCGGGCGCCGCTCGAGCCGAGCGACGCGCGCGGCGGCGACGGCGGCGGCGAATCGACCCCGTCCGCCGCGAAGCGAGGCCGCGTCGCGACGCCCGCGAACGAATCAGTCGCGTGGGATAAGCTCGGCGACGCCGCGGCGGCGACGACGACGACGACGACGCGCGCGGCGGCGCCGCGCGCGCGCCGGCAGCCGCCGCCGCCGTCGCCGTCGCGGAACCGCGCGCGTCCGCTCGACCGCCCGTCCGACGTCGTCTTCGACGCGGCTTCGTACATGCGCAAGGTGTCGTACACGAAACTCCCCGGGCTCCCCCGACGACACGTTCTCGTCGCCGCGGGGAGGGGCGCGCGCGCGGCGCGGCGGGTGTACGCGGCGATATTCGGGAAGATCACGCCGGGCGCGGCGGCGCCGGCGGCGCCGGCGGCGCCGGCGGGAAAAAAATACAACAAGCCGAACGGCGCGCCGATCAGGCCGAAGGCGTCGACGAAGAAGAAGCCGCCGACCGCGCGCCGCGTGCCTTTAAAGTACCGCAAGGCACTCGTCCCTCTGCTGTCGCTGATGCTTCGACGCGAGGCGAAGTGCCCGTACGCGAAGCTGCTGAACCATCACTGCCCGATGCCGCCTCGCGTGACGACGCGGAGTCAACGCGACCGAATCTCGCGGAGCGGCGAGATGGACGCCGACGCCGACGCCGAAGCCGACGAGGACCCGACGCCGAAGTCGCTGCTCGCGTCGTTCACGCCCCCGCGCGCGGTCGCCGCGTTCTTGTGGTCGGTCATCTCGAGGATCGTCCCGAGGGAGATGCTCGGCGGGGAGAAGACGCGGCGGGCGATTCGCGCGTTTTTGTTGCGGCTCGTCGTCCTGCGACGGTTCGAGAAATGCACGTTACACGAGGCGATGCGAGGCGTGAAGACGAGCGACTTCAGGTGGCTGTGGGGCGAGCTCGCGGAGGCGACGAGCGATGACCGCCGTCGCGGCGGGCCCGTCGCCGCGGCGGTGAAGCGGCAGCGGATGCTCGAGCGGTGGATTCGATGGCTCGTCGCGGAGCTCGCGATGCCGCTGATTCGCGCGCACTTTTACTGCACGGAGACGGAAACGCACAGACTGCGGGTGTTTTACTACCGGAAAGGCGTCTGGGCGCGGCTCACGGCCGCGCACCTCGCGGCGATGACGGACGACCCGAACCGCGAGACTCGCGCGGTGCGATTCGGCGCCGACGTCGACGCGAACGACGCCGACGCCGCGGCCGACGCCGCGGACGCAGACGCCGACGAGACGGACGCCGAGCGCGCGCTCGCGCCGACGACGCCCACCGCCGGCGTCGCGTACCGCCGCCTTCCGCGCCGCCGCGCTCGACTCGTGTTACAGAGCCACCTTCTCGGGTTCGCGCGCCTGCGGCTGCTCCCGAAAGCGACCGGCCTGAGGCCGGTCGCGATGCTCGGCCGACCCGCGGTGGCGTCGTTTCGCGCGCCGCGCGGCGCGAAGAATCGCGAGGCGCTCGCGTTTCGACCCGTGAACACGTCTCTTCAGGCGGTCTTCGACGTCTTGAAGCACGAGGCTGGGTCTATACCGGGCGTCATGGGCGCGAACGTCAGCGACTACGGCGAGGTGTACAGACGATTAGGGCCGTTCATTCGGAAGTGGCGCGCGGCGCGGCGGAAGGAACGCGAACGCGCGGCGGCGGAAATACGCCGCAGCTCCGGGAGCGGCGGCATCTTCCGGGGGTTGTTCCGGTCGAGCCAGAGCCAAGACGCCGCGGAGGACGCCGCGGGCGCGGACGCGAAGGACGGCGACGTCGTGCGGGGCCCCGAGAGAACGACGCGGCCGCCGTTCATCGTCGCCGCGGACGTCAAAGGCGCGTTCGATTCCATCCCGCTCAAGGCGCTCGAGAACGTCGTCAAGACGCTGATAGGCTCGGACGAGTACTCCGTGACGCGCATGGCGCACGTGATGGGCGGTGCCGTGGGCGGGGTCCGCACGAAGACGCGGCGGATCGCGGCGCCGGCGGGGACGAGCGTTCTCGCGCGCGTCGGCGGCGGGGACGGCGTCGGCGGTGGTCGACGATTGAAAAAGAACGTCAAGCGCGGCGGCGGCGTCCTCATCGACCTCGCGTCCCCGCACCGGTTCCACCGAGCTCAAGTCTTGGAGCTCCTTCGCGAGCACTTGCGTCGGAACATCGTCCGCTCCGGCGGGGTCTACCTCCTCCAGACCGTCGGGATCCCGCAAGGCTCCGTGCTCTCTTCGCTCTTGTGCGGCGTGTTTTACGCGCATCTCGAGGCGACGCACGGGCTCGGTCGCGACGACGGCGGCGTCGGAAACGGACGCGGCGCGAACGTTCTTTGCCGGTGGACGGACGATCTGCTTCACATATCCCACGAGCGCGCGCCCGCGGAGGGTTTTTTATCCGCCGCGCTGGACGGCTTCGCGGAGTACGTTCTGTACACTGGTACCCATACGACCGCGTTGGCGTGGTGAACGCCGTTTCTTAAGGACTTTTGCCGTCGTCTCTCTCCGCCCAACCCTCGCTTTCAATCCCCGCCCTCGACGCCTTTCAACTCCAACTGACGCCTTTCAACTCCACCCCGACATTAGGTACGGCTGCGCGGTGAACACGGCGAAGACGTCTTTGAATTTCGATTTCACGCGCGCGGGCGCGGGCTCGCGCGCGCCCGTGGTCATCCCGCGGCGCGAGGTCGTCGTCGGCGCCGGACCGCACGCGCGCAGGTGCGTCGCGTGGTGCGGGCTGCTCATCGACAGCGAGACCCTCGAGATCAAGGTGGACTACACGCGGTATTCCGGCGATTGGGCGCGAGAGGCGGTCACCGTCCCCGGAAAGCTCGGCTCCGGGAAAGCGAAGCCGTTCGAACACCTCGGCCGTCGCGTCGTCGCGTACCTCCGACCGAAGTGCGTCGTCATCCTGTACGACCACTCGATCAACTCGCCCTCGACCGCGCGCTTGAACGTGTACCAGTCGTTCCTGTTGGCGGCGGTGAAGCTGCACTGTTACGTCGCCGCGGCGTCCGACGCGGGCCATCGAGGCGGGCCGTCCCCCGCGATCGTCCACGCCGCGATCGTCTCGGGGATCAAGTACATGGAGGGTGCGGTGCGGCATCACATGGCGGTCGCGCGCGCGACGCATCACGGCGCGAAAGGGAGGATCCAAAAGAGCCACGTGAAGTACCTCGGGCTGACCGCGTTTGTGAAAATTCTGACGCGGAAGCAGACGAGACACGCGCGCGCGCTGCGGATGCTGCGTCGGGACCTGAGCGCGCCCGCGATGCGCGCGGCGGCGAGGCGGCTCGCGCCGGTCGTGGACGACCGGCTGTCTTCCGTGTTCGACGAGATACGGTTTTAGGGCGCGAGAGAGAGGAGGGAACGTCAAAGAGTTTAGAATACTGAGAGACGACGACGCGACGCCGCGCGAGCTGAACGTTCGTTCCGAGCCTCGACAGACCTCGTTCGTTCTTTTTCCTCGGAGTCTCTGTCGAGGGCGCGCGCGCGTCCGCCGTTCGTCCCGCGCGTCCTCCCCGCACTCCCCCGCGCGCGCGCTCTCGTCTCGTCCCCCGACCTCCCCTCCCCCTATGCCGTCGTTCTCGCGGGTCGGCGCCCTCGCCGCCGTCGCCGCGTGCGCGCTCGCCGCTGTCGGCGCGCACGCCGCCGACGAGCCCCCTTGCCCCACGATATCTCTGGAAGGCATCGAGCAGCTCGCGGCGCCGTGCGCGGACGCGTCGAACGCGTGCAGCATGAAGACCGGCTGCATCGGCGCGATCCAAGGCGCGTCGTCGTCGTCGTCGCCGCCGCCGCGGTCGTCGTCGCCGCCGCCGCCGCCGTCGTCGTCGTCCTCGCGTCGCCGGCCAAACTAAAACGCGAACAACTCCTTCCTTCCCTCTCCACAGAGTACATCGAGCCGAGGCTGGACCTCTCCGTGTTCAAGTCGCAGCCGTCCGAGGAGTACGTGACCGGTTGCATCGCGCCCTTCGCGCTGTCCCCGGAAGTCACGGAGACGATCCCCACGGACACGCTCGGGACGCTCATCACGTGCGACTTCACCGAGGTCACGGACGCGTTCAGATCCAAGTGGGAGCGCGACGTCGCCAAAACCGCGGAGAAGGGCGAAGACGCGACAAAGGTTTCCGAAGCCGCGGACGACGCGGAGGACGTGACGGACGACGCCGCGGCGCCGTCGCCGGCGCCGATGTGAGCGGCGGCGCGGACGTGGCGCACTGTATCCGCACTGCATCCGGACGAGAGGAAGGGTTCAGGAGCGGCGAGCGTGGTTTCGAAGGCGCGAACGTCGGTCGGGCGCGATCCGAGTCGCGCCCGCCCGCCGCGGGCGGTTTTCTTTTCTTCGCGCGTCGAGTCGTCTTCATCATGTCTTCAGTCGCATCACATGAGAACACCACCCCCTCCCTCGCGTCTCGCGTCTCGCGTCGCGGTGCTATGTACACTTAATACGGGCGGTATCTGTCGCGGTCGCGATCGCGGTCGTCGTAACGATCTCTCCCGCGGTCCCGGCTCCGGCTGCGGCTCCGGTACCTGTCCCGGCTCCGGTCCCGGCCGCGGTCGCGCGAGTCCCTGCGGTACCCGTCGCGGCTCCGATCTCTCCCGCCGCCGCGGTACCCGCCGTGGCCGCCGCGACGATCGTTGCGCCCGCCGCGGCCCTGCTGGAAGAAGCTCGGATCTTTCCTCTTCTGCTTCGCCACCTGGACGCTCACCTCCACGCCGCACAGCCGCGTCTTGTCCAGCTTGTCCTCCGCCAACTCCGCTTCTCTCGGATCCGGGAACTCCACGAACGCGAACCCCTTCGGGCGCTTCGTGTGGTAGTCTTTCGGGATGTACACGTCCCTCACCTCGCCGTACTCCTCGAACGCGGTCCTGATCTCTTCCACGGTGGCGTCGTACGGGAGGTTGCGCACGAGCAGGGACACGCCGTCGCGGTCGTCGTTGCGATCATTTCGGCCTCCGCCTCCGCGTCCGCCGCCTCCACCGCCGCGATCGCCGCCGCCGCGCGGGGACCGATCGCGCGCGGGGGAGCGGCGGTCCTTCGATCGCGAGCGCGAGCGGCGCTCGGGGGTGTCGCCGTCGCGCATCGGCGACGGCGAGCGCGAGCGCTTCGGCGACGGCGACCGAGAACGGTCGTCGCCGTCGCCGCGCGCGGGAGACGACGCGGGCGACGCGCGCTTCTTGTAATCGTCGTCGCGCCCCGATCGCGGCGACGCGCCGGGGGAGCCTCCTCCGTCGGACATCGCGATCGCGTCGGTCTGGGCGGCGTGCGGTTTCGTCGCGTGCGCGTCGGCTCGGATCGCGTGCGCGGGCGTGGACGGCGTCGTCGCGAGTGGCGCGCGCGCGCGGCGGCAGACGATTGATTGACCGGCGAGACTGATCATCGGCGTTTCCCGCCGTCGCGCGTTCGCGTACTACGTGTACGACGCGCGCTGTTCTAGCTGTATGGGCTCCTGTCTTAAACGGCTGTGATTGGCTGGAAAGACGTGCGGGCGGAAAAGACGTGGCCGGAAGACGTGGTCCCCTGCCGCGCTTCCCTCACCGCGCGCATATCGACGCGCGCGCGATCCACACACCCACGCGTCAAGATGGCCACCACCGCCCTCGCCTCGAGCGCCGTGTTCTGCTCCGCCGCGCGCCCGAACGGCCGCGCCGCGCCGAAGCGCGCCGCGTCGAAGCCGTCCAAGCTCTGGACCCCGAAGGCTGCGGCCGTGGACTCGCCGACGCTCATCGTGAAGGATGGCGACGCGGAGAGCGTCATGAGCGGGCTCACCGCGAAGAGAAGAGAGGTCATCCTCGACATGGAGGAGTTCGCGGAGACCGAGGTGCGCCCTCGTCGAGTTTTCGACGCGCGACGCGCATTCGCGCGGCGTCGCGGGATCTCGCCCCGCGCGAACGCGAACGCGCAGCCTATCGACAAGATCTTTTCCGCGCCAACTTTTTTTTTCCCTGCTCACCTCACCGCTCGCTTCCCCTCAAAACCCCCCGCCCCCCCCGCGCGCGCAGCTCCTCAAGCTCCTGAAGCCGACGGACAAGAACTGGCAGCCGCAGGACCACCTCCCGAACCCGGAGTCCCCCGACTTCCTGGACGAGATCGCCGAAGTGCAGAAGGCACGTTCTACCATCTCACACTGGTCCCCATACGACCGCGTCGGCGCGGCGCGCGCCGTTCCTTGAGGACTTTCTCTCCCGGCGTGTCTCTCCGCCCAGGGTCCCTCGGTTTCAATCCCCGCCATCCATCGACGCCTTTCAACTCCACCCCTGACGCCTTTCAACTCCACCCCGACGTCGCTTCGAATGATGGAACGACCCCTACAGCGCGCGAGCACCCTCCCGGACGACCACCTCGTCGTCCTCGTCGGCGACATGATCACCGAGGAGGCGCTTCCGACGTACATGAACATGCTCAACACGCTGGAAGGGACGAAGGATAAGACGGGCGCGGACGCGACCGCGTGGGGGAAGTGGACGCGGATGTGGACCGCGGAGGAGAACCGCCACGGAGACCTCATGAACAAGTACCTCTACCTCACTGGCAAGGTGAACATGAAGCCGATCGAGACGACGATTCAGAACCTCATCGGCGCCGGGATGAACCCGAAGACGGAGAACAACCCGTACTTGGGGTTCGTGTACACGTCGTTCCAGGAGCGGGCGACGAAGATCTCGCACGGGAACACCGCGCGATTCGCGCTCGAGCACGGGGACGAACAGCTCGCGAAAATCTGCGGCTTGATCGCCGCCGACGAGGGCCGGCACGAGATCGCGTACCAGAGGATCATCGACGAGGTCATGAAGCGCGATCCGGACGGCGCGGTGATGGCGTTCGCGGACATGATGAAGAAGCAGATCGTCATGCCCGCGCACCTCATGGACGACGGCGAGCACAAAGCGAGGACCGGACGGGGTGCGTTCTATACACTGGTCCCCATACGACCGCGTTGGCGTGGTGAACGCCGATCCTTAAGGACTTTGCCGGGCGCATCTCTCCGCCCACACCTCGCTTTCAATCCCCGCCATCGACGCCTTTCAACGCCAACTGACGCCTTTCAACTCCACCCCGACATCGCTTTGTAATCAGATCTGTTCTCCGACTTTGCCTCCGTCGCGGACAGCACGGGGACGTACACCGCGAACGACTACGCGTCGATCATGGAGCACCTCATCAAGCGGTGGGACATCGAGAACGTCGCGGGTCTGTCCGGGGAAGGGGCCGCGGCGCAGGAGTATCTCATGAAGCAGCCGGCGAGGATTCGACGGCTCGCAGAGTTCGCCGCGGCGAAGGCGAAGAAGAAGGAGCCCGTGAACGAGTCGTTCTCTTGGATCTTCGGTCGCAAGGTGACGGTGTGAGCGCGAGAGCGCGAGCGGGCGGGCGCCGCGGTCGAAGACGCGCGCGGCGCGGGTGTAGATAACCAACCACACGGCTTAGTCATTCTTTTTGTAAGCTGAACGCGATGATGATGAGAACCAAACGCAAACTCTCCACTGATGACTTCGATACCATTTCGAGACCACTTTATTTTTTCAAACGTCGCGCCCTCTTCGACTCGTCGCGCCGTCCCCCGCCGTCAGAGGCGCGGCGCACGCGCGCGGCATGAGTCGGATGGACGTCTACGACGCATCGGGCGGCGCTCCCGACATCGGCGACGCCGGCGTCTCCTCCCTCGACGGCGAGACCAGCACCGCGGCGCTCGTGCGAAATCTCGTCCGATGCACGCTCGCGTCGCACGGCGCGAGCGACGCCCCGGACGCGTCCGTGGAGCGCATGTTCCGGTACGCCGTGAGGCTCGTCGGGTCGTCGCTCAGCGCGGACGTCGAGCCGGACGAGGACGCGGCCGCGGACGCGATCGCGCGGCGGCTGCGGCGGCGCGAGGGCGGCTCCCCGAACGACGTCGCCGTCTTCGCGGATCTGCATCGACGGATGAAACAAGTCCCGGGGCTTCAGAAGCGCTGGGCCGTCCTCCACGCGCTGTTGAGAGCGTCCGAGGAGGCGGACAAGGAGAAGGATCGTCGCGAGGGGGGTGCATGGGACGGCGACGACGGCGGCGGCGGAGCGCGGACGAACGCGCTGTCCTTCGCGGCGAGCGCGGGAGGTCTCCCCGCGCTGCGCCCGGACGGTTCAAATCGTGCGCGCGAACGTCAGACGACGACGACGACGACGACGACGACGCGCGACCCCGGGGACGCGCGCGCGCTCGCGAACGGCGACGGCTCCACGCTGGGCGTGGACCACCCGAGCTCGCGAGCGGCGGCGATGAAGCTCCTCGCGAGAGAGGCGACGCTGTCCGCGGAGGTGGGCGAGCCGGAGCTCGTGCGAGACGTCCTGTTCGCGTGCCAAGGCATCGACGGCAAATTTCTAAAGTTCGACCCCGCGGAGGGCGCGTACGTCGTGCGCGCGGACGCGCCGGTGTCCCCGGGCGCGGCCGTCCTCGCGCGGAAGCTCACGGAGCTCGGATGGCTGTTCCGTAAGATCCGCGCGTGCCTCGGCGGCGACGACGCTGACGTCGTCGCGACGACGACGCCGGCGAGCGCGGATTCAGACGTCGCGCCGCCCGCGACGCCGAGCCTCGGGACGCTCGGCGCGCTCGGCGGCGACCGCGGCGAGCTCGACGGCGGCAGCGTCCGCCGCGCGTTCAAAGCGCGCGTGCAGGGCGAGCTGTCCGATTACTACAGGCTCATCGCGGTGTTGGAGGCGCAGGCGCAGGTGCCGATGGCGGCCGCGTTGGAGAGCGCGCGCGACGACTCGAGTGGGGAGACGTATCTGACGCTGCGACGGCTCTCCGTGTGGCTCGCGGAGCCGACGAGGCGGCTTCGGCTGCTCGCGGTGCTCGTGGACGCGTCGCGTTTCAACAAGGGCGGCGCGCTGCTCGGCGTGCTGCACGCGCACGCGAAGCACGGCGACCCTGCGCTGTGCGCGACGGTCGCGCGGCTGTTATCCGCGGCGGCGGCGCCGATGTACGCCGCGATTCAGAATTGGGTCGTCCTCGGCGAGCTGGACGACCCGCGGTCGGAGTTCTTCGTGACCTCGGACCCCGCGGTCGCGGAGGAGGACCTGTGGCGGCATCGGTACGGCGTCGACGACGCGATGCTGCCGCCGTTCATCACGCGCGAGCAGGCTGCGGACGTTCTGCGCGTCGGGAAGAGCATCAACTTTCTCCGACGGTGCTGCGACGACGACGGGTGGACGGCGGAGAGAGCGCCCGTCGCCGCCGCGGCGGCGAACGCGGGCGGGCTCGGGTACGGCAACCCGAAAGCCCTGGACGCGCTCATCGCGGAGGCGAAGCGCAGGATCGATCGCTGCCTGCGAAGAGTCCTCTTCGAGCGGTACAAGCTCTTCGAGCACTGCTTCGCGGTGAAGCGGTACCTGCTCCTCGGTCAGGGCGATTTCCACGCGTGTCTCATGGATCTCGCGGGCGAGGACCTCGCGGAGCCGGCGTCGAACGTCAGCGCGTACAAGCTCTCTGGCACGCTCGAGTCCGCGATCAGGGCGTCGAACGCGCAGTACGACGAGAGCGACGTCCTCGACCGTTTACGCGTGAAGATGATGCCCGCCGCCGGCGCCGACGAAGTCGGCTGGGACGTCTTCTCGCTCGAGTACCAAACCTCGGCGCCGTTGACGACGGTGTTCACCCCGGACGCGATGGGCAAGTACCTCCGCGTGTTCACTTTCCTGTGGCGATTAAAGCGCGTCGAGCACGCGCTGTGCGCGACGTGGCAGACGATGAAGCCGAACGTCACGGCGGCGCTCGCGCGCGACGGCGTCGCCGGCGCCGCGGGCGTCGCGCTCGCGGAGGAGCTCCGACGGTGTCACACGTTGCGCGGCGAGATGCATCACTTCATCGCGAACTTGCAGTACTACGTCATGTTCGAAGTCTTAGAAGGGTCGTGGGAGGTGTTCACGCGCGAGATGCGCGACGCGCGCGACCTAGACTCGCTCATCGCCGCGCACGAGCGGTACTTGGACGCGGTATTGCAGAAGGCGTTGCTGGGCCCAAAGTCGCAGCTTCTCGCGCACGCGTTGAGCACGCTGTTCGAGGTCGTGCTCCGATTCCGCGGGTTCGCGGACCGTCTGTACGACGTCGCGCGAGACGCCGCGATGCGGCGGCAGCTCGCGCGGCTGCGCGTGGAGCAGCGCGCGGAGCAGGCGACGTGGGGGTCGCTCCCGGGGGAGGACGCCGCGGGGGGCGACGGCTTGCTCTCGGAGGCGTTCGTGTCGGAGATGCGCGAGCAGCTCGACGCCGTCGGCGCGGACTACGCGAAGATGCTGGACGGGTTTTTGAACTTGCTTCCGCTGCAGACGCACGTGGACTTGAAGTTTCTGCTGTTCCGGCTGGACTTCTCGGAGTATTACTGCAAGCAGAAGATCGGGCCTTCGCCCGGGTCGTTGCCGTTCTGAGGAACGTCGTGACGAGAAAATTTTATGTAGAAGGGATTTAGGCGTTGAAATACTGAAACCACGGACCGATGAACCGCTGCTTTCAGATCGCCTTCTTCAAACCGCGTGCCTACCTTTTCAAACCGCGTGCCGACCGTGCCCGCGCGAGATTCGACGCGGGATGACAACTCAGCGCGAGACGCGGGAAACGTCGCCACGCACGTGTTAAGTTGCCTTTTGCGTGCCTTTCCGCGTCGTCACCGCCGAGGGTCACACCCCGCGCGCCGCCGAGGGACAGAGGCGTCAGCGGACCTTCGCGAGCGCCCGGGCAGGGGCGGGAGACTTGGGACATCGCGCGCGCGCGTCTCGTCTCGTCGCGGCCCGCGCATTGGCGCGCGCGCTCTGGTCCATCTGTATATTTCAAGATCGCCCACGTAGGATAAGCGTGCCCGGAAGATAGTTTCGCGCGTCGCGAAGAGGCGGGCGAGGGCGAGCGTCGGCGGCGAGGTCGTCGCGCGCGCGAGATGAGCGTCGTCGCGCGCGCGCAGCACGCGCCCGCGTGCGTCGCGACTTCCGCGCGCCGCGCGTCTCGCGCCACGCCGCGGACGACGCGCGTCTCGTCGCCCCGCGCGTCGTCCGCGGCGACGTCGAGATCCAAAATCCGCGCGACGACGTGGACGACGACGACGACGACGACGACGACGACGCGCGCGGGACGACGCGCTGACGGCGTCCGCGCGCGCGCGTCGCTCGTCGATGCTTTGACCCCCCCCCACAACATCGACGCCGCGGCCGCGGCGCTCGCGGAGCTCCCGGCGGCGGCGAGGATGCTCGTGACCGGAGAGATCGTCCGTCCGCCGGACGCCGTCGCCGCCGTCGCGGACGCCGCGGCGACGATGACGACGTCGTCGTCGGCCGCCGCCGACGCCGCCCTTGGCGCCGGCGGCGAGGCCACCGCGTTCGTGACCGCGCTCGCCCCCAAGGTGGACCGCGCGACCGAGGGCTTCAGCATCTTCCGCGGCGTCGTCTCGAGAGCGCAAGAGGTTATGGGTCTCACGAGCGGCGGCGTCGCCGGCGACGCGTTGCCGACGGGGGGCTTCGTGGAGACGCTCTTGGAGCCCGGCGAGGTGATCCGAGACGTCATCAGAACGACGCAGAACGAAGCGTCGCAGGGCGCGACGATCAGCGCGTCGGAGTGGGACAAGGTGGTGAACAGCGTTGACGTCGACCTCGCGCTTCTGCTCGCGTCGGTGGTCACGGTGGTGCCGTTGTGCAAGTATCTCAACGTCTCGCCCGTGCTCGGGTTCTTGGGCGTCGGGCTCCTGCTGAACCAGGAGGGTTTATTCAGCGAGAACGAGGAGGTGGACCAGTTCTGCGAGCTCGGGATTCAGTTCTTGCTGTTCGAGATGGGGTTGGAGCTGAGCGTGTCGCGATTGAAGGCGCTCGGGAAGTACGCGTTCGGGCTCGGGTTGAACCAGGTGTTGTTCGTCAACTTGCTCTTCGCCGCGGCGTTGCTCCCGGCGGGGGACGCCATCGGGACGAAAGTCTTGGGGTTCGTGCAGAACACGGACGTGGACATCCTGCAGATTAACTCTTCGCTTCAGGCGGTCGTCATCGGGTTCGCGCTGTCGCTGTCTTCCAGCGCGTTGGGGTTGCAGCTCCTGAGCGATAAGAAGATGATGCCGACGCGCGTGGGCACCGCGTCGCTCGGCGTGTTGCTGTTCCAAGACCTCGCGGTGGTCCCGTTCATCATTCTGCTCCCTCTGCTTCAGTCCCTGCAAGTCAGCGCCGCGGCCGGCGGCGGCGCGATGGAGATGGACTACGGCATCATGGCCGCGGAGACGGCGACGAGTTTCTTGGACCTCGGGGTGTTATCCTACGCGGGATACTTCGCCGCGTGTTGGCTGTACAAGACCATCGTGCAGTTGGAATGCGGCACGGACGTCTTCGTCGCGTGCTCGCTGCTCGTGCTGTTCGGGTTCTCGAACGCCACGAGCGCGATCGGGTTCAGCGACTCCCTCGGCGCGTTCCTCGCCGGTTTATGCCTCGCCGGGACGCCGTACGCGCACGACATCATGAAGGAGCTCCGCGCGTTTAAGGGTTTGTTTTTGTCGCTCTTCTTCGTCACCATCGGCACGACCATCGACCTCCCGCTCGCGATCGACATGTTCCCCATCGTCGCCACGATGACGCTGACGCTCATGGTCGTCAAGACCGGGGTCGTCACCGCGCTCGGGCCGTTCACCGGGCTGACGTGGCGCGAGGCTTTGGTCGCGGGCGCGTTCATGTCGCAAGGCGGCGAGTTCGCCTTTGTGATTTTCGGGCAAGCCACGAGCGGGTCCGCGGGGTCGCTGTTTCCGGCCAACTTGGACGAGCTCCTGGTCGTCGTCGTCATCGCGTCCATGGCGCTGACGCCCGTCATCGTTGACGTCGCGCTGAAGATCGCGGGGCCGGAGCTAAACACGGAGGGTTGCGAGGTTGGGGTTTCGGAGACGTTCGACGAGGCGTGCGCCGTCGTGTACGAGGTGGAGGCGACGCGGACGGGGAAGGTTGGGAACTTGGCGGCGGGAAGTTTGAGCGCGGGGGCGATGGAGGGCGTGGACACGAGCGACATCTTGACGAGGGACGCGAAGCCTTCGTCCGCGTCGGTCGACATCGGCGCGAGCATGGACTCCGCGGACTCGTTTGACGCGCGATGAGGGGGTGGGTTGTACACGTAGCCCATTATAGGTGTTGTATTGAATGACAAGAACCATTTTTTTTGTTTTTTCCTCGGGGTGCCAAAACATACAGTACTTGCATGTGTGCCACGGATGGACGCGTCCACGGATGAATAACTTACTCGTACTCGTACAGGTTTTAACTTAGTCTACACGTACTTCCGAACTTCCGTCTGGTACCAAAAAATCACACGAAATCTCTCGGTCGGGTGCGCCTCGCCTCGCCCCCGCGTTTTAATCGCCCTCGTCACCGACGGTCCATCCCGTCCTTCGGCATCGAGGGCGAGTGTCCGGACCCTCGCCCGCGATTCCGCCGCTTCGGCTCCGCGTCGACGCTGAACCTCACGGACCGCGCGACGGGCTTGATATCCCCCGCTTTGATCCTCTCGTTCCCCCCCGCGCCGACGAGCGTCGGCGCCGGCTTCTTCAGCTCCACCGCGTTATTGTCGACCCCCATCGGCTTCCTCCGCGGCCGCTTCGACACGCGCTTCCCCTTCGGCCGCCGCCGCCGCTCGTACCTCGGCTCGTCGCACACGGCGACGAAGAAGTCGAGGCACGCGTCGTGCGCCCACGAGCTCCTCGGCGTGATCGTCTTTCCCTCGTAGAAGCAGCAGTGCGTTCCCACGGGCGTGCGCACGAGCGCCCTCGGCGCGGTGACGTCGAACGCGTGGAGGTTATCGTCCACGTTCGACGGCGCGCATATCGGGTCGTCGTCGCTGTTGATGACGAGCAACGGCGCGGCGATGCCTTCGACGGGTCCCATCGGGTTCGTCGCCGAGTGATACGCCTCCAAACTCGGATACCCCTCGATCCCGAACAGCCTTCGCTGGAGCTCCGCCATGTCCGGCGCGGCCATGCACTCGACGTACGACGGCGTGAGCCCCGACGCGGACATCAGCAGCCGCTCGTTCGCGCGCAGGAACATGTTCTTCACGCTGAGCAGCAGGTGCTTATCCAGGAGCGGCTCGAACCGCGAAAACGCGCCGCCCTCGGTCGTGTCGTACCCCGGGCACACGCACGCCACCGCGGCGAAGCGATTCTTCTTCCCGCTCTCGCCGCTGTATCGCACCGCGAGCCCGGTCCCCGCGCTCTCGCCGTATCCGAACAGCGGCGCGTTCGGGAATTCCGCCTGGATCCCGTCGAGGTGGACGCGCAGGTCGTCCACGCAGCCGAGGAGATTGAACCGCGGCGTCCGCAGCGGCCGCCCGAGGTGTCCGCGTCGAAGCATGACGACGATCCGGAACCCTCGGCGCGTCGCCGCGCGCGCGAGCATGACGAAGTCGTCCGCGACGCCCGTGAGCGTGTGCATCACGCACACGATCGGCGCGTCGTCGCGCAGGCGGTTCGGCTGAGGGTCGTTCCATACGAGCAGATGTCAGGGTGGAGTTCATAGGCGTCAGTCGGAGTTGAAAGGCGCCGAGGGCGGGGATTGAAAGCGAGGGGTGATGGGCGGAGAGAAACGACGCGCAAAGTCCTTAAGGATCGGCGTTCACCACGCGAACGCGGTCGTATGGGGACCAGTGTGCTAAGAACTCACCTGTCGGAGTCCTTTCGCGTCGTCCGCGTCGCAGCCTTGGTACCAGTCCAGGGCGATCTCGCCGCCGTCCGGGGTGTCCAGGAGCGTCCGCCGCCACGTCACGTTCGGGACGAACTTCTGCTTCAGCAGGTACGCCGCGAGCTGCGTGACGCTCCACTGCAACAGAAGCGGCGGCCGCAGCGGTCTGTGAATCGTCGGCGACGCCGCGACGAGAGCCGCCATTCGCGTCGAGCGCGACAGCGTCACCCTCGGCTTGAACCCGGCGTATCTGACCGCGGTGAGCGCGATCAGCACCGCGCACGTGCCGAAGATGGCGAGCGACAGCGCCCGGTCCGCGAGGACGGCCGCGATGGAGGACCACATGAACGCGAGGAGCGCGCGCGCGACGAGCACGGGCGCGAGCGCGAAAGGCAGCGCCCGCGTCGCGACGCCGCGTCGCGACGAGCGCGCGGACGACGACGACGGCGCCGACGGGTTCGTCGGGAGCGACGACGCGAGGCCGCCGGGGACGACGTCGGTCGTCGACGGCGTCGGATTCCACGCGCCCCACGACGGCGGCGACGCGATCGCGACGACGTCGCGACGCGCCGCCGCGCCGCGATCGACGCGGCGTCGAGGCGCTTTATCACCCTCCCGACGCGCTCGAAGATTTCGAACGTCTCCGAGGCATCGCCGCGACGCGCGGAGCGCGGGGACGTCGCGACGCGCGCGCGTCGAGACGCCCGCGCGTCCGACCCATACCGCTCCGGGGAGCCGCGCGACCGACGCGTGCGACATCGCGCTAGCGTCGACCGTGCGCGCGGCGCGGAGTGACGGGACGCGCGAGGCTGGGTTTTGGTCGGCGGATGCGGTGCACTTTTTTGTTCTGTTCTTTTTCGTCGAAGAACCAAACGCGAGGAGTCGTGTTCTGCTCTTTCGTCGTCTCGTCTCAACGCAACGCGCGCCAGTCGTCGTCGTCGTCTCGTCGTCCCCTTCGCATCACGCGGGCGCGCTCGTGGTCACCCCGCACGGTCTCGCCGCCATCCCCCCACCCCCCGTCGTCGCGCCCGCGCCCGCGCCCGCGCCCGCGAGCCACCGCACGTCGCGCCGCAGCGCGCGCGTCGCTTTCTCCGCCGCCGCCGCCGACGCCGCGACGCCGCCGCCGACGTCGCGAATCGCGGCTCGCAGCTCGTCGCGCGCCTCGACGATCGCGCCGCGCATCTCCTCCAGCGCCCACCGCGCGCTCTCGCGCGACGATGAGACGACGACGTCGGGGTCGTCCGTCTGCGTCGCCGCGTCCGCCAGCCGTCGCCGCGGTCCCGGCGCCTCGCCGCCGCGGTCGTCGTCGTCGTCGTCGTCGTCGTCGTCGTCGCGCAGAGGCTCGGACGCCTCCGCGAGCGGCGCCTGCTCCTCCATATCTCCCATCTCCGCGGGAGCCGGGCTCAGGCGCGTCGCGTTCGCGTCCTTTGTCGCGCCCCCGCGCGCGCGCGCGACGGCGGGGGTGTTGGGGAGGACGCTCCCGGGCGTCGGCGTCGGCGTCGGCGTCGGCGTCGGCGTCAGCGTCGGCGTCTTCTCCTCGCGTCTCGCCGCCGCCGCCGCCGCCGCCGCGCGCAACTCGTTCGTCCTCGCCTCCGCGGCGACGCGGATCGCGTCCGCGGCGGCCGCGGCCGTGGACGTCTCCGCGAATGCTTCCTCCGCGACGTCGTGGCACACGTCCGCGATGAGCGCGTCCACGCGCGCGGCCACGGACCCGAGTAACGCGGGCGGCGTGTCAACGACGCCGCCGCCGCCGCCGCCGCCGCGAAATCGCGATCGCGCCTCGGCCTCGGCCACGATCACCTCCCTCGTGACGAGCGTCCACGGCGCGCGCGAGTCCTCTTCCGCGCCGGCCACGACGACCGTGCTCGAGCGCGAGCGAGCAGGACTCGACACCGGGGCGCCGCCGCCTGCGTGAATACCCGCAGCCGCGACCGCCGCCGGCGGCGGCGGCGGCGGCGGCTCCCCCCCCGCCAAACGTTTCAAAGGCGGCGGACCCGCCGCCCCCGCCGCCCTCTCCGTCTCTCTCGGGTGCGGGTACTCCTCCAGGTCGAGGTACTCCACCGTCCCGTCCTCTTCCATCGCTCTCAGATCCAACGGCTCGGGGATGAACGGCACGTCCCCGCCGTTCGCCTCGACGACGTCGAACGCGCGTTGCGCCGCCTCCGCGGACGCGAACGACCCGACGCACACAAAGTACAGGCGTCGATCGACCCGCGAAGGCGCTCGCGCTCGCGGGGGTCGCGACGACGCCTCTCTGACGCGCTCCGTGGTCACGCCGTCGATCCATCGCGCGCGGACCTCGCCGTCGCCGCGCATGGACCGTCGCAGGACGCGGACGAGTCGGCCGAGTCGAGGGTCCGCGCGCACGTCGTCGTCGTCGTCGTCGTCGTCGTCGTCGTCGTCGTCGTCGTCGGTCGGCGTCGTCTTCTTCTGGAGCTTCCCCGGCGCGCTCTTGCGTCGTCGCGCGCCGCCGACGCGCGCGACGGTCGCCGCCGCCGCGCGCGGGCGCGGCGCGGGCGGCGCGGACGACGCGGTGACGACGTTCTCGCTCTTCGGCGGGCGCGCGCGCTTGCGCTTCGCCGGCGCGGTCGTCGGCGTCGGCGTCGGCGTCGGCGTCGTCGCCGCCGCCGGCGCGGCGGCGGCGGCGGCGGCGCGTCGCCGTCGGCAGGTCTCGAGTTCGATCGCGCTATGCGGCGACGGGAGGATGCGACTCATGACGTCGAGAGCGCGGCGCGGGGAGTGCCGCCGCGCGGACGCCCCGAGGAGCCACGACGCGCCGCCACGGCTCCCTCGCTCGTCTCGACCGAGGAAAAATCCGTCCGTCGAGACTGATGAGACGCGTCGACCGTCGACGAAACGGTCGATGAAAAAACGCTCGAGCTTCCGGACGCCGCGTCCACTTCCACGCCGCGCGCGCACGTCGTCGCCACGCCCTCGCTCCGCCGCTCGCGACCATGGATCCATGCGCGCCCTCGATCACGTTCTTCGATAAGGACTCCGGCAAAGGCCGGGTGACCTACCTCGGTGCGTCGCGCGCGCGGCGTCGTCGACCGAGCGTCTCTCCCCGCCGTCCGCCCGTCCGCCTCCCTCCCCCGCGTCGTTCTTCTCATCATCGCGTCCCGTCGTCGTCGACGTCGTCGTCGTCGCAGGGTCGCTCTGTCCGGAGTACATGTTCTACCCCACGAAAGGGCTCTGGTTCACGAACCAAGGGCAAGAGGTGCGCGCCGCTCGTCGTCGTCGTCGTCGTCTTCGTTCGCGCCGCTCGCGCGTCGATCGGACGGATCTCGTCGTCGCTCGCTGCCAAAAAAACTGAGGGAACCGACCGAACCAAAAAAAAACAATCCGCGCCGCGCGCAGTTCATTCAGATGATGATGAAGAAGTACGAAGAGGAGCCGTACCCGACGCGCGAGGCGATGGAGGCGATCGCGAAGGAGGTCGGCGCCCCGGACTGGACGAAGATCGACTCGTTCTACAAGAACATGCACGTGAAGCACCAAGAGGAGTACCAGTAGATCGATCTTTTTTTTCGCTTCTGCCAGGCAGAGTGCTTGTGAACGCCAACCCACCGGGTTCTGTTCGTCGTCCAGTGGCGTCGCGTCGCGTGGCACTGCGGATAAACTTAGGATCTCCCCACGCCCTCGGCGCCCCGCGCTGCCGCGCCACGCTCGCTCCACTCTCCTCCGCGCGTCGCGTCGCGATCGAACGACGATGGCGTCGGCGGCGTCGTGTTCCATCGCGCCCGCTCGCGGCGTCGCGCGCGGCGTCCGGGCGGACGCCGCCGCGTCGCCGTCCGGCCGTCGCGCCCCGGCGTCGAGAGGTCGGCATCCTCGTCGTCGTCGCGTCGCCGCGTCCTCCTCCTCCTCCTCCTCCCCCCCGTGCACGGCGACGGTCGCGGAGAACGCGGAGGACGAAGACGACGCCGCCGCCGCCGACGCCACCGCCCCGCTCCGCGCGTCGCGTCGCGCGATGCTCGCGCTCACCCCCGCGAGCGTCGCCGCCGCCGCCGCCGCCGCGGCGACGTCCCCGCGGCCGTCCATCGCGGCGACGCCGTCCGAGGTGGCCTCGCTCGCGTCGTCGTCGTCGTCGTCCGCCGCCGCCGCCGCACGCGTCGCGCCCGCGGCGTCCGCCTTGACGAGCTCGAGCGCGGTGGGGTACGCCGCTCTGCACGACCCGCGCGTGTACAACGGCCTCGCGACCGCGGACCGGACGACGCGCGCGCTCGACGGCCTCCTCCCCGCCGCGGCGGCGACGCCGGAGATCGAGGTTCGACGCGCCGTCGCCGCGCTCGACGCGTGCGGCGACGACGCGATGGCGAAATATCGTCAGCTCGTGTCGCTTCAGTGCACGGACGAGGCGACGTTCTACGCGCTCCTGGAGGAGAAGACGGAGGAGCTTCTGCCGGTCTTGTACACCCCCACCGTCGGCGACGCGTGTTTGCGGTTTGGCACGCTGTCGCCGCGGCCGCCGGGGCTGTACGTCTCGATCGCCGACGCGGGGCGGGTTCCGTCGCTCGTTCAAAACTGGCCGTCGTCGGACGTCCGCGTCGCGGTCATAACTGACGGCGAGCGCATACTCGGGTTGGGCGACCAAGGCGCGAACGGGATGGGGATAAGCGCGGGGAAGAGCATGGTGTACGCGGCGTGCGGGGTCAAACCGGAGTGGTTGCTTCCGGTGCACGTGGACGTCGGGACGAATAATAAAACGCTCATGGGTGATCCGTTATATGTGGGTTTGAAACAGCCGCGCGAGCGAGGGGAGGCGTACGATCGACTCCTGGACGAGACCGTGGACGCGATTCGCGCGCGGTACGGCGAGAACGTGATCGTGCACTGGGAGGATTTCGCCCCGCGAAACGCGTTTCGAAACTTGAAGCGATTTCGAGAGAAGAAGGGCGTGCGCACGTACAACGACGACATCCAAGGCACCGCGGCGGTGACCGTCGCGGGCATCCTCGGGGCGCTTCGAATCGCCGCGGACGGGAAACGAACCGCCGCGCCGCTGAGCGAGCAGACCGTGCTGTTCTTCGGCGCCGGGCAAGCGAACGTCGGCGCGGCGTCGCTGCTAGTGGATGCGCTCGTGCAGGACGGCGTCGCGAGGGAAGACGCGCTGAAAAAAGTGTGGCTGTTCGACAGCAAAGGGCTCGTCGTCGACGGCCGCGAGGACGCTATATCCGCGGATAAGGCGCCGTTCGCGCACGCGGGCGTCGCCGGCGTGCGCCCGACGAAAGATTTAACCGACGCGGTGAGGGCGTTAAAACCCACCGCGCTCGTCGGCGCCGCGGCGCAGCCCGGGGCGTTCACCGAGGGAATCGTGAAGGCGATGTGCGCGGCGACGCCGCGGCCGATCGTCTTCGCGCTGTCCAACCCGACGAGCAAAGCGGAGTGCACCGCGGCGCAGGCGTACCAGTGGTCAAAAGGGAAGGCGATATTCGCGAGCGGGACATTATTCGCGCCTGTAACGTACGGCGGCGAGCGTTACGAACCCGGCTTCGCGAACAACGCGTTTATTTTCCCCGGCGTCGCGCTCGGCGCGCTGGCGTCTGGCGCGTCGTCGGTCACGGACGGGATGTTCCTCGCCGCCGCGCGCAGCCTCGCGTCGCAGGTCAGCGCAGATCGTTTGGAGCTCGGCGCGGCGTACCCGCCCACGGGGTATATTAAAGAGGCCGCGGTGAAGGTCGCCGCCGCCGTCGCCGCGGCGGCGGAGGAAGAGGGCGTCGCGCGCGTCGGCGCGTGCGGCGGGGGCGGGAAAGGGAACGGGGGGTCGAGGATTCCGTCGTTGGACGCGGGGGGTGGGGATGACGGCGGGTGCGCGAACTACGAGGCGTGCGTGCGCGATTACTTGAAGACGTGCGCGTGAGCGATGCGTGCACCTAGATGATACAGTATGACTTGCTTCAAGATGTTCACCATGGGTTGTCGTATTAAATTCAACGCACAATTCTTCAACTCAACAAGCCACATTCTTCAACTCAACTAACAACTTACGAGTATCATAAACAAACTCAACGTTATTTCACCATCCCCCGCCGCCGTGCTCTTTAGGGACTTATACCGTCATAGTTACGCAGTGCAGAACTTGAACGCGCGCGATGTACCTTTTTAGACTACTTGCTTCAAGAGCGCCGCCTTTGCCGTCTCGTACTCCTCCTTGTCGATCGCATCCGCGTCGTAGAGCTTCTTCAGCGCGGAGATCTTCTCGATCGGGTCATCGCCTTTCGCGGGAGCCTTCATCGACGGCGTCTTGAAAAAGTTCCCCGGGGTTATGTACCTGCCCGCGGAGACCCTCCCGTCGTTGTCGCTCCACCGCGGCTTGTCGTAGTTCAAGTGATCGTAATGTTTCCACGGGTTGCACTTGCACAACACCGCTTTATTAAAGACAACGAACGGCCAAGCGCAGGGGCAGGTGATGCACTGGTAGAAGTCAGCCTTGAACTTGATGCGGATGAAGTTACTCTTCGCGAACTCCCCGATGGGGAGCTCGTACAGCTCGTTGTTGATTTCGTGCTCGCGGCCGGCGACGACGGCGATCCAGTTGTACATGTTGATCGCGAGGCAGAAGCCGCACGGGAGGAACCGCGCTTTCAAGCAGTGCGTCAGCGCGCACGAGGGCGGCTGCTCTTTCCTCGCGACGAGCGAGAAGACGTGGCCGACCTTGTGCTCGGGAGAGCAGTAAACCTGATGAGAACGCGAGAACAGACGCGGAGGGAGGGTGGGAGGGGAGGGGGAGGGAAAAATAACGCGGGGGAACGCGAACGTGAGCACGTTGGACTGCGAAGCGAAGATGAAGCGATCGGTCGTTCAACCGCACGAATCGTCGCGTTCGAGTCCGCGTTCGAGTCCGCTTCGGAAGGGAATTTGACGCGCGGAGACCACCTCGGCGCGGACTCGACTCCCGCGTCGATCGCGCGAGCGCGAGCGCGATCGTCTTCCGCGCGGGGGGCTTCGAGATCGCTTCGAGATCGTGTTCGGACGACGCACCGTGTACACGGCCCGCTCTCTGTTGCGGGTGGGGTCGCCCATGATCCGCGCGGGCCCGGTGGAATCCCTCTCGTACACGAGACTGACGTCCAGCCTGCGCCACATTCCAATGATGGCATTCTCATTTCCTTCTCTCCTCCTGCCCATGGCGAAGCGCGGTCGTGAGGGGGCGCGGTTCGTGTGCGTGCGGGCGCGATTCTGGAGATATCTGATGAAAGCGCGCGAACGCCCTGTTACCGACAGTTTTGCCCTTCGTTCGTACGCCAGGGGTGCGACTTTGACCCCAGGGCTTGGCTTGAAAGTCGCTTGGTCTACAACGTCGTTGTAAGTTGTTAGGTTATTTGAAAGGAAAATTATTCGTTTTCATCGCGCATCACCCCCCGCGAGTTCCAAGCCGGCTGTGGGAGAAACGCCCGATCGCCTCCCGGGCGTTTTCACCGGCGTTACCCCGGCATCGCGGCATCGCGCGCGTCGCCGCACACCATCCCGCGCGCGCCGAGATGACCGCAGAGACGATCCCGTCGCCCGCTCCCGCGCCCGAGTCCTCCGGCGCCGGCGCGCCCGCCGCCGCGAAGCGCGTCCCGCTCACGATCAAAGTCTGCCACGCGTGGAGCAACCACTGGTCCGTGGAGCACCTCGTGCATCGACGCGTCGTCGAGGTCGCGGAGGACGGCTCGGACACGCTCGCGAGCGTCAAGGACGCGTTCGCGGAGATCGAGGGCGTGCCCGTGGACATGGTGATGTTCATGTGGATGGACCGTCCGATCGGAAGGTGCGCGGGGAGGGGGGCGTCGACCGTCGCGCGGACGACGACGACGACGACGACGACGACGCGCGAGCGAGCCGAACCGCGCGTCGTCCGAACGCGAATCAATCCAGTCGTTTTTTTTTTTCGCCTCTCCTAAACCCGCTGACGTCGCCGCTCCCGCCCCTCCCTCGACCGCGTCGTCCATCGCGTCGCGTCGCAGATATTACCAGGGCGAAATGACAGAGGACGCGGAAGAAGAAGAGTCGCAAACCCTGGAGGAGCTCGGCGTCATGAACTGGCTCAGGAAGTTCCCGCACTGGACCGTCACCGCCGCGATCGTGGAGGATCCGCCGATGGATTCGCTCGAGACGGTGCACCGCTCGGTGGCTGTCACCGTCCGCGGGTTCAAAGAGGGCCCGAAGTTGGACCGGTGGATCAACGTCAAGAAGAAGAAGAAGGAGTGGAACACGCTCGTGTACGGCGCGCCGAAGCCGTGGGACGATAGATACGACAGCGATTGATCGACGATCGAACGGGACGACGGACGCGGGAGGTGAGGAGGGTGGGAGGCGGCGGAACCCGCGGGCGGCGGCGGCGACCGGACGCGCTCCGTCGCGCGGCGCGCTCTCGTCGGTAGCGATGGAATGTGTGCGACGTATTTTATGACGCTCGCGCCCGCGTTCGTCTCGTGCCCTCGCGCGTTTGATCGGTCGCGAACGAAGCCGGCGCGTCGCCCCCGCGAAACGTCCCCCGTCGAATTATTTTTTCCGCGGCGAGCAGAGCCGCCTGGCCGCGCGCGCGCGCGAGCACCTGGCGCGGCTTTTCGACGAAAAAGTAAAGGGCGGACGGGTCAGATCAGATCCGCGCGCGCCCCCTCGCCGGGTCACGCGCGCGATGCCCCTCCTCCTGCGGATCCGCACGCGCGACGGCACCGAGCGCCTGACCGTGGACGCGAACTGCACGCTGCGGCAGCTCCGGGAGAAGATCGAGACCGAGTACGGCGTGCCGCAGGAGGACCAGACGCTCTCGCTCAATCAGGGGCTCCTCCTCGCGAACGCGCGCGCGGAAGACTTCGACGACCTCGCGCCCGCGCGCGCGAAGGACGCGAAACTCGTCCGCCAGCTCGGGATCGACCACGGCAGCATCGTGTACTTGTCCTACTCCGTCGAGCGCGAGCCGACGCCGACGGCGGCGGCGTCGCATCGCAGCGAACTCCGCGGAGGAAAGATGACCGTCGAGGCGATGATCGCCGCGCAGACGCGCGTCGAACGCCAAGAGACGCCCAACTGCGCGTCCGTGTCGTTCGACGCGCACGCGGCGAACGCGTTCCAACAGTACGTCAACGGGACGTTAGGGTTCAACCAGATGCGGTTCGGGTGGATGTACGGCACCGTGAACGACGCCGGCGAGGTACTCGTGGACGCGATATACGAGCCGGAGCAAGAGGGATCGGAGGACGCGTTTATAATCTCGGAGGGATCCGAGGAGGACGCGCGCGCGGACGCGCTCGCGAGCGCGCTCGGGATGCAGAAAGTCGGCTGCGTGTTTAACATCACGACGACGAAGCCGAGGAAGTTTACCTTGAGCGCGTTCGAGGTGAGAGAGATGGCGAAGCGGCAGGCGGCGGCGGCGGCCGCGGCGGCGGCGGCGGCGGCGGCGGATGGCGCCGAGAAGAAGGACGGGAAGACGACGTTCGTGACCGCCGTGGTCATGATGCTCGAGGACGAGGACGAGGGACCGCAGGTATCGTTCGAGCCGTTTCAGGTCAGCGATCAGTGCGTCAGGCTGTACGCCGACGGGTGGTTCCACGACGAGCCGTGCGAGGACCGCGGGTTGACGCGCATGACGAAAGAAGTCATCGTCGCCGACGGCGTGAGCAAAGACGTGACGGAAGTCGACAACGACCGGTGGCTCGTCGCGGTGCCGATCAAGGACCACAGCGGCGCGCTGAGCACGAAGTTCCCGATCGAGAACCGTCTGCATCCGATACAGACCATGGAGGATCTGAAGGACTCGCTGTCGCAGAGCGGAATGGAGTACTCCGCTCGACTGAGAGACTTTCACCTCCTGTTGTTCCTGTCGAAGCATCTCGGGACGGACGACCTAGGCGCGTTCTATACACTGGTCCCCATACGACCGCGTTGGCGTGGTGAACGCCGATCTTTAAGGACTTTGCCCGGCGCGTCTCTCCGCCCACCTCTCGCTTTCAATCCCCGCCCGCCTTGCTTTCAACTCCACCTGACGCCTTTCAACTCCACCCCGCCATCGCTTTGTATGGAACGACCCTCAGTCGACGTCGCGAAGACGGCGAGACGAGGCGGGACGATCGCGGAGGGGTACAAGATCATCATCGACTCGCTCGCGGGGTTGGGGTAGGGCGAGGACGGACGAGGGGAGAAGACGAGCGACGCGATGATCGCGATCGTTTCGTTTAGTTTGTGACCACGTCGCGCGTGAAGTGAATTGAATGAAAACCCGCCCATCAGCGAACTACGGTACGCCGCGCCGCCGCCGACGAGGGTGAACGCACTCACGGCGCCTTGTTCAGCATGCTCTTCGCCTCCGCCTCCTCCGCTTGCAACTCCTCGCTCGCGTACTTCGCGAGGAGGTCTTTCTTCTTCTTCGCGAGCACGAGCGCTTCGATGTCTTTATTATCCGGTAAAGGCACGTGCGCGACAAACTCGGACCCGAACGCGACGCCGTCGTCGCCGTCGCCGTCGTGTTTCCGCTTCCCCGTGATGGCCTCGATCTCTCTCTGCTTCGCTTCCCACTCCGCGATCTTCTTCGCGCGCAACTTCTCCTCCGCCTCCGCCTCGAGCTTCACCAGCGTCCCGTCCTCCTCGTCGCGCATGCCGTAGTAATCTAAGTCGATGCACTTCAACATCTGCGCTCTCGAGCGTCGCACCGTCCGCGGTTTCGGCTTTTCGAAGAGCTCCTTCACTCCGGGGAGATTCTTAGCCGCGCCAAAGTACTGGTACCCGCCCGGCCTGCCCACGACCTCGCCCTTCTCCTCGTCCGCGATCCGCCGTCCCTGCGATATGTAGTTCGGACCGCCGAGCTGTAGTATGCGCTTCTCCCAGTGGTGCTTCTCGCGAATCAGCTTGTTGATCTCGTCGTTCAGATCGCGAATGCGATGCTCGCCGAGTCCCGCGTTTTGGATGTCCATCACCTTCTTCCCGATCTCGCGCAGGATGTCCTGCCGCCACTTGTCCGCGGAGTTTAAGTCTTTGCACTCGCTCGCGAGGTACGGCCGCCGTGCTTTCTCCCCGCGAAGCGCCGCCTGCTTCCCCGCGGTCCAGCGGTTGAACATGTTCTGTGGCGCGAGGGAGAGAGAGAGGGAGGAAGGGGGCGGAAATCTCGGTTAGGGTTCGTCGAGACGCGCGCGGGGGCGGTCGAGACGACGCCGCGAGGGGTTCGCGAGGGAGGCATCGCGGAGGGAGGACGCACGTTCGCTTTCTCTTCATTGCGCGCCATCTTGCGTGCGTGATACCCGCACCGCCGAGCGCTCGCGGGAATGACGACGACGCGGGCGGAAGAAACGATCAACGGCGACGAAGCGAAGGTTCATCAGTCTGGCGCTGGCGGTTTCGTCGTCGACGATGCGTGCGCGTGCAGACTGATGAGCAAAATGTGAAGTATGTTCATTCGACGACGGCGTCCTCTCTCTCGCTCTCTCTAACTACGGACACTTGCGATGGATCAACGTCGCGCCGTGCTCCTCGTACTCCTGCTTGCTCATCCACATCTGCTGAAACGACCCGAGCGACGCGAGGATGCTCCCGCCGATCCACGTCGTGAACTTCCGCTCCGCGTTGTTAGCGCTCGCCGTCACCTTCACCCGCACGTTCGTCGGCGCGGCGTCGTGAAGCTCCGCCTCCAACCGCTCCCGCAGAGACCCGAACAGAGACCCGCCGCCGGCGAGGATCATGCCCCCGAACAGGTCCTTGCGAACGTCCACGTCGCACTTGTTGATCGTCTCGAGGATGAGCGCGGGAAGGCCCTTCGCGGGGGAGCCGTCCGGGTCGGTCAGATCTGGCGCGTCCTTCCCCAACCCGAGCGACGAGATCAGGTGCGGCTGGAAGAGGAGCTCCGGGATCTTGAACCGCTCGACGCCGATATCGATGACGTTCCCGTCCGGCAGCTCGTACGACACCGCGGGAATGTTCTGGTTGTCCTCCTCCGAGAACGTCTGGTCGGACAGCCGGAACACCGTCTCCTTCAGATCCGCGGCGATCTCGCGTTGCTTAAACAGCCGATACCCAGCGCTCGTCTTCGGACACTTCACGTCCGATATCGTGAACGACTCGCCGTCCCCCTTGGGCGCGCGCTTAAACTCGTACCTCGGCCGCACCGGCGTCTTCTTGCTCTTCTCGAGGTACTCGAGCACGATGTCCGTGATGGCATCGCCGCCCAGCGGCGATCGCGTGGCGGCGCTCGTCAACGCGTACCTGCGGGGTGGAGTTGAAAGGCGTCAGGTGGAGTTGAAAGGCGTCGAGGGCGGGGATTGAACGCGAGGTGTGGGCGGAGAGATGCGACGGGCAAAGTCCTTAAGGATCGGCGTTCACCACGCCGACGCGGTCGTATGGGAACCAGTGTATAGAACGTACCCGTCGTGCACGGCGCTCACCGTCGTCCCGCCGCCGCCGCAGTCGACGACGAGCGCGGTCGCGCGTCCGGTCGCGAACGCCGCGAGGCACGGGTTCTTCGCGAGGAAGATCGCGGGCGGGTTGTGCTTCTCGAAGAGGAGCTCGACCATCTTCTCGCGCTTCTCTCGCGTCGTGTGCGCGGGCTCGCCCATCAAGATCGGGTGCTCGTTGGGCTCGACGACGAGACGCTTCTTCAGCGTGTGCTCCCAGATGGCTTCGACGACGTCCCAGTCCTCGAGGAGGCCGTTCTCGTCGAACGGCGAGCACATCTCCATGCCGTCCCGCCGGTAGCTCATGTCGCCGACGTAGTATTCTTTCGTGGCGCCGTCGTCGGCGGCCGCGGCGGCGGCGTCGCCGGCGGCGCCCTTGGATTTGCTTCCGCGCTTCGATCCTTTCGCTTCTTTCATCTCGACGTCGCCGCCGCGCTCGAGCCAGCCGACCGCGGAGGGGAACACCGCCTTCGGGGTGTCCTCGCCCGCGTACCCGGCCTTCACCGTGGACGACCCGAGGTCGACGACGATCGCGGAGACCTCATCTGTCGTCGATCGAGAGGGGGCGGGGGGGGGTTGGGAAATCGAGGGCGCGAGGGTTAGCGATTTCGATCGGTCGGCGGAGGTCGCGAATCGGACGCGCGATCGGCGGGCGGGGTGGACGCGCGGACGGACGCGCGGCGATCGAACGACGCGCGTCGCGCCGTGGACGCGGGCGAGAAGAGAGACGAGGCGCGATCGAGCGCGCACCTCCTCCGTACATCGCGCCCGCGCGTGCTCGGCGACCGGGCGGACGCCGATCGAAAACTCGCGCCTCTGTCGCGCCGAATTGTCGAGCGCGCGCCGCGCGATTTCAGCGCGATCCGCGCGCGCGACCGTCGGGAACGCGACGTGGGACGCGAGCGGCGCGCGTGAGGACGCCGACGGGTAACTCCGCGCGCGACGCGAGTGCGGTCGCGGGCGCTGTCCTCCGATCAGTACGCTGGAGCGGAGGCGAGTCGCGCTTGACAGCGAACAGCCACTCGCAGCGCGCTCGACTTCGTTTAGGGTTCGTTTTGAAAGCGCCCCTCGGACACAGCTTGAAGTGACACTTCTTCCGCCGCGCCCCTCCTGTCGCGCGTCATGTATTCAAACTACTTTACCGAGAAAGACGAGGTGACGGGCATCCCGAGGCGTTGGCGACGCGCGCAACATCTCGCATGGAAATTGGAGTGCGCCAAGCCGCAGCGCGTGGCGCAGAAGCTGGCGTACCCCGTCGGGTTGGGCGGGTTCAAAGAAGGAGACCTCTTCTACCGCACGAGCTGCGGGCCGAAGGCGCGCGCCGCGCTCGACGACGCCATCGAGCGGTTCGAAGCGTACCTCGACCGCGGTGAAAACGCGCGCCCGATCCGCGAGATGATCGCGAGGGTCAAGAAGGATTCTCTCGAGGACTACGACGCGTACTGCGACGGCCCTGGCACGTTCGCTCTCCTCGTGAAGCTGAACCGCGGACCTCGGAAGAAGCGAAAGAAGACCGTGGAGACGCAGGAAGACGACGACACGCTGTCGATCGATTGTTACATTCGTAACGATCCATCCGCCATAGAGCTCATCGACTTCCACCTCACGAAGGACGCGGGGAAGGCGTTCGAGGCCGAGGTCTCGCGGTGGCCGGGGTGCGTCGCGGTTCGCGCGCGGCTCACAGAGGAGCATAAACTCGAACGAGGTATCGCAAGCAAAGGGCCTCACTGCGTCTACAAAGTCGTCATCTCCGTGGAAGCCGTGGAGGCGCGCCGCTCCGGTCGCGTCCAGGAGCCCCCGCTCGGGACGCCGCTGAACATGCCGCCCGAGGAGTTCGTTCTCGCATGAACCCGCGCCGCGCGAACGAAACGACGGCTTGTCAACTACGACGCTACGATGTGAATACAACGACGACGATCAAATGTCCGCGAACGTCAGCTCCTCCTCGTCCTCCTCCTTCTTCCCGCGCGCGCCGCGGTCGGCGCGGAGATCCCGCTCGGACGCCAACTTCAGCGCCGTCTTACACCCCTTCCTCGACAGCAAATACTCCTCGAGCGCCGCCTTCACGAACCCGCTGTCTCGCATCGTGCACTCGCCCTCTTTCCAGCGGTCGTAAAACTCTATGAACGCGCCCACGTAAAACTGGTCCGCAGCCTTCCACACGCTCCCGAGCGCCTTCGCGCGCGCGTTCAAAAGCCCTTTCCTGACCGCCTTCAGCGCGATGTGCGTCAAGTTGATCGACAGCGGCGCCATCGGGAATTCTTGCGCCGCGTCGCGCGACAGCTCGTAAATCGCCCCCGCGTTGGACGCGTGCGCGTCTACAAACATCAACAGCTGCGCCATCCCGAGCATCCCGCACCCTCGCAAGTCCGTCCCCGGGTCGTTCCCTTGGAACCCGACGTCCTCCCAGTGCTTCCCGAACCGCGCCGCGGGCGTGGACGCGCCGGTGAGGCGCGCGTAGACGGTGCGTAAGACGCGCAGGTGCGTCGCGTCGTGATCGTCGAGCTTCATCTTCGCCACCGAGAACATCCGCGCGCGGTCCCTCTTCAGCGCTTCGTCCGTCAGCTTCGAGCCGCCGCCGCAGCACTTGGGCTCGTCCGCGACGACGATCGTGGGGAGGTATTCCGCGATGTCGACGTGGTCGAAGTACGCCTTCGCGTCCGCGTACGATATCGGCGCCTTGGACAGACTTTTTTGCTTTTGCCCGAGCCGCGACTCCGCCATCGCCTCCGCCTTCTCGAACGCCTCGTTCGCGCTCGCCCACTCGTCCACCGGCTCCGGATCCGGCGGCGGCGGCGCCGTGAGCTTCCCGAGCTTCTTCTTCGAGGTGGACGGCTTCACGTACAACGGCTTCTTCTTCGGCGGGTTCTTCGCGGCTTCTTCTTTCGCCCTCGTCTCCGCGGCTTTGCGTTCCTTGGCCTCCGCGGCGGCGACGATGGCCGCCGCCGCCTCCGCCTCCGCGTCCTCCCCTTTCGTCACGCTGATCCGCCCGCGCGCTTTCTTCTTCACGACCTCCTTCGCTCGCTGGACCTTAATCGCGGCCTCTAGCGCGCTGTGCTTCTGCGTGGCCTCTTCGAAGGCAGCCTCCTGCTCCGCTTCCTCGAGCTCCGCCGCCGTCGCCGTCGCCGGCGCCTTCGCCGGCGTTTCCTCCTCCTCCTCTTCCTCCTCTTCCTCCTCCGCGAACGACGTCAGCGGCATCTTCTTCACGTCCGTCACGAGCTCCTTCGGCATCGCCTTCGCCTCGAACGACGGCTTGTGCGTCTCGCCCGTCCTCGCCTCGCCTCTGAACGCGTAGTCGAACTCGTCGTCGGAGTCGTCGGCGCCCGCCGCGCTCGACGCCGCCGCCGCGACGTCGACGTCGACGTCGAGGTCGCCCAAACCCAGATCCAAATCCATCTGCCTGTCTCGGAACTTCTCCGCGAGCTTGTCCGTCGCGCGCCTGGACGCTTCCTCGGCTTTGTACCTCGCCTCGATCGCGTCGATGGCGTCGATCGCGGCGTCGCCCGAGGACGGCGCGGCGGCGGCGGCGGCGTCGTCGTCGTCGTCGTCCACGAGGAGGTCGAATTCGATGTCGTCCTCCCCGCGCGCGTCCTTCGCGATTTTCGCGGAGACGACCGCGGTCGGCGCGGCGTCGGGCGACGCCGGCTTCTTCGCCGCCGCCGCGGGAGACACGCCGATGCGCTCCTTGAACCGCTCGACCTCGCCGTCCTCGTCGCTGTCGTCCGAAGACGAAGACGAAGAATCGTCGTCGTCGCCCATCAACGATCCGACCACCTCGGGCTTCCCCGCGCTCGCGCTGCGCCGCGCGACCTCCTCCGCGCGCGCGCGCGAGGCCACCGACGACGCGGTCTCCTCCGCGAGCGGCAGCGGCGCCCTGAAGCTGAGCTTCGGGTGACGCACGTGCACGACGTGCGAGGACTTCATCGGCGACGGCGACCTCCGCGCGATCGCCTCGATCTCGGACGCGTCCGAGTCGCGCTCGAGGCCGTCGCCGTCCTCCGTGCCGGTCTTCGAGTTCGGGGTGTTGAACAGCTCGTCGTCCATCTCGAGCTCGACGACGTCCATGTCGAACCGGCTCATCTCGCGCGAGCGGTGCCGCGTGCGCGCGCCGAGCCGGGCGCGGACGCGAATGCGAATGCATAATTGAGCGCGCGACGACGATTTAAGCACTGGCGAGCTGAGGAGGGCTGAAGCAGGCGGGATTCGACGTCGAGTGGTTCGATATTGATAATAACATACGACGGATGACCACCGCGCGCGAGGGACGACCCGCGCGCGCCGCTACCTCTGCGAGTCCAGAACGCGAGCCCGTCCTCGTCGCGTCCGCCGCCGCCGAGCGCTCGCGCGCTCGCCCGCCCTCCCGTCGCGCCGACGACGCGCCGGCGCGAAAAAATAAAACGTTTCCTTCAAAGCCCGCGCCGACGCGACGCCGCCGCCGACCGACTCACCTCGAGCGCGCTCCTCACTTCGTCGCGTCCTTGAGGTACGCGATGAGATCCGCGCGGTCTTGCGGCTTCTTCAGCCCCGCGAACACCATCTTCGTGCCCGGGATGTACTTCTTCGGGTTCAAGAGGTAGTCGTAGAGCGTGTCTTCGCCCCACTTCACGCCCTTGTTCTTGTTCGCCGCGGAGTACGCGAACCCCTCCGTCGTGCCGGAGACGCGCCCGAAGAGGCCGCCGAGGTTCGGGCCCTGCGTCGCGGGTTAGGGTGAGGGTTAGGGTGGGGGGGTAGGTTTCGAGGGTTAGGGTTCGCTCGACGGTCGATGGACGGCCGCGGCGGGCGGAGCGACGACGCAACTCGCGCGCCGGCGACGACCGAGGCGGGGGTCGCGCGTGCTGTGGGGGTTCTCCGACAGGACGGCGTCCCTTGGGGAGAGGCGCGATCGGACGATCGGATGAGGGTTTTTCCCCTCGGCGCGGACGAGTCGAGATCGACCGCGGACGACGCCGCCGCGACGTGCGACGCGCGGAGACGCGCGAGGGGATGCCGTCGGCGGACGCGCACCTGCTTGTGGCCGCCGCCGGCCTCGGCGACGTGGCACTGCGCGCATTTCGTCTTGAATATCTTCGCGCCTGCGCGTGGGAGAGAAAACGTGATGGGTCGGTCAGCGCGGGCCTCAGCGCGCGCGGAGGCGCGCGGCGGCGACGACGCGCGGATCGCGCGATCGCGCGAGGGAAACGAAGCGGCGAACGCACCCTTGGCGATGTCACCGGCGGGAGCCTCCGCGAAAGAAGCCATCGTGCGCGTCGATCGTGCGTCGACGGAAGTGGCGGCTTCTCAGCGCGAGCGCGGCCGTCGACGTCGAAAAGACCTGAAAAGGTGCCACCGTGGAAAGATCTGCGCAAGGGGAGGAACCACTATCTCGCGTTTGTGGCGCCCCGCGCGACGGCCGGGCGCCTCAGTCCGTCCGCGCGCGCGCACACGCGCACGGGGTCGACGCGCGCGCACGCCCGCCCTCGCACGGACCCCCGCGCGTCGCCAGGAGACGTCTCCGCCGCTCCCGCGCGCGACGGACCCCGCGCGCGGCGCGCCGCGAAGGCGAACCCTACGCGCCCTCGCGCTTTACGGCACCTCGGGGCGATTCACAGATCTCGTCGCTCGCGATGGCGCCGCAACAAGCGATAGACAACACGCAGCGTAGAAAATGGGACAAAGAGGAGTACGCGGCGAAAGCGAAAGAGCGCGAGCGCCTGGAGGACGAGAAGGAGAAGAACGGCGGAAAGATCCGCCCGCCCGCGGGGGCGATCGTCGAGCGGAAGGTGCTCTCCGTGGACTCGGTGATCCAACGAGACTACAAGAAGGAGCTCGAATCTCGAGTGGGGACGAAGACGATCGTGAACTTAGACACGGGCGAGGGCTTAGGGTTCAAGTGCGAGCAGACCGGCGTCATCTTGCGCGACAGCATCGCGTATTTAGACCACATCAACGGCAAGAAGCAGGCCAAGGCGATGGGAATGAGCATGCGCGTCGAGCGAAGCACCGTGGAGCAAGTCCGAGCGCGGATGGAGATGATCAAGAACAAGAAGGCGGAAGAGAAGAAGAACGGCGTCGTGGACTTCAACAAGCGCGTGAGGATGGCGGAGGAGGACGAGGAGGAGATCCGCGCGAGACGGGCGGAGAAGAAGAAGGCGAAGAAAGAGGCGGAGAAAAAGGCGAAGATGGCGGACGCCCCGGACGAGGGGATCGACCCGGAGATGGCCGCGATGATGGGGTTCGGAGGGTTCGGGACGACGTCGCAGAAGAAGAGCTGATCTGATAGTCTGAGTCGGGAAGGAAAGACGAAACGGCGACCACTGGCTTCTCGCGAGCGATTTAGATCCCCATTGCGAACGCGACCCTCCTCCTTAGCCGACCCCGCCGCGAACTCGTCGGTCTACTAGTCTACCCTTAACGCAGCTCACCGCGCCTCGTCCTTCGCCGCGCTCGACGCCCCCCTCGCGAACCACCCGCCGCCGCCGCTCCCACCCCCACCCCCATCCCCACCCCCACCGCTCCCACACCGCCCGCGTAACTTTCGAACCACCCTGGCGACGAGCTCGGGCTCGTCCGTCACCACGCCGTCCACGCCGGCGTTGACGACCGCCGCCGTCGCCGCCGGCGCGTTGACCGTCCACGCGTACGTCCGCGTCTTTCCGTGCGGCGCGTCCTCCGCCGTCGCCGCGGCGACCTCCGCGATGAGCGCCTCGGACGCCATCTCGCTCTGCGCGGCGGCGACGTACGCGCGCGACGTCACGTCCTCGCGCCCCGCGAGCCGATGGAGCCCCGCGTCTATGATCGCCCTCGAGAAGTTGGCCACCGAGTATCCAACCTTGGGGCGGGCGAGGGTAGGGTGCATACGCGGCGACGTCGGGGTGGAGTCGAAAGGCGTCAGAAGCGGAGTTGAAAGGCATCGAGGCGTGTCGGGATTGAACGAAACCGTGGGATGGGCGGAGAGAAACGCTCGCGAAAGTCCTTATTAATAAGGAACGGCGTTCACCGCGCGAACGCCGTCGTAAGGAAACCAGCCAGCGTCGGACGGAGGACGAACGCGCCTTCGCGTCGCCTCGAGTCAGCTCCAGCACGTCGAGCGCGATCTCGTCGGACTTGCCCCAGTACACGCACTCCGGGCACGCCGTCGTCGCGGACTGGGACCGCCCGCTCCCGTGCGACCGACCGAGCCGCGCGATCTCGCGCGTCACGGCGCTCGCGAACCCCTCCTCTCGTCGCGGCGGGCCGTCTTTGAAATCCACCGTGATCTGCGTCAATCCTTTGTTCATCACGACCGCCATCGCCTCCGCGAACGTCGCGACGCGGTACTCCTTCGCGCCGGGCATCGTCAGCGACATGATCTCCGCGAGCGTCAAATCCCCCGGGTTCCCGACGCGCCCGCCGGTGAGCATCTTCAGCTCGCGCGGGTGCAACGCGACGAGGTGGTCGTCCTTGGTGCGCGACGCGTCCACCTCGACGCACTCGTGGCCGGCGGCGACCGCGGCCGCGAGCGCGGGGACCGTGTTCGGGAACGGGCGGCGGCCCATCGACCGCGGCCAGTCCGCGGAGCCGACGGTGCCGTGCGCGCAGACGATGGGATCGCGGCGCGCGCAGAACGTCGGCGACGGCGCGAGGACGACGGGCGACGACGACGACGACGACGCGACGGGCGAGGGCGCGGTGCGGCCGCCGGAGACGTACCACGCGAGGACGACGACGAGCGCGTACATCGCGAGGTGCTGGAGCGTCGCTGCGGAGGCGAGAGACGATGGGGCCGAGGGGCGTGAGGACGAGACGGCACGGCGCGGGCGCGGACGTCGGGAGGGGCGCCTGATGAGAAGAGACCAGACGGCACCGGCTGCTGTGGCTGTCGGGTCGGGACGCACCGCACAGGCACACGAGCGCCGGGGAGCTGATCCCATCGCGCCGGTCCCTCGCGCGCTGCCGCGCGCGCTTTTGCCTCTGCGCGTGCGCGTACCCCGAGTGCATCGCTCCCGCGCCCGCGCGCGTCGGGGAGTGGCGTCCGAGAAACCGATGATGACTGGACGCGACCGCGACAGCGCGACAGCTCCTCCGAGAAGGATTTTGAACTCCACACATCTCTGCTGGCGCCATCTCTGCGGCGCGCCGACGCACGACGCGATGGACACGCCGTCGTCGCTGGACATATCGTCCCACCCGATCGACAGCGCGTTCGACTCCGAGTCGTGCGCGTCGTTCGAGGTCAGGACCCCGGGGTCGACGACCCCGAGAGCTGGGGGCGGTTTGTGGGGGAACGACGCCAAGTCCAAGTGGAAGGAGGACGCGAGAACGCCCACCCCGGTTCGGGGATACGCCGAGCGCATCGCGGAGGAGGAGGAGGAGGAGGAGGACGCGTACGACGACGCGGCGAGCCGCGCGTCCTCGCGACGGTCCGCGCGGGCGTCGTGGCAACCGGGGACGCCGGACGAGGAGACGCGCATCCCGGCGTCGGACGACGACGACGACGACGACGTCCGCGTCCGCGTCCGCGTCGCGGACGACGGCGAGGGGGGTTTCGAATCGGACGCGGTCGCGCCGCCGTCGCCGTCGCCGTCGCGGTCGAGCGACGACGACGCGCGGTGCGTCTCCCTTCGCGACTTTCACGCCGCGCTCGGCATGGCGTCCGCGGCGCTCCGGGCGAAGGACAAGGCCACGGAGGCGATGCGCAAGGTGTACAGGGAAGAGAATGAAATCTTACGCACGGAGCTGCGCATCGCGCGAGCGCTGCTCGACGCCGCGAATAAGAAGAGATCGAACGGCGACGAGACCGCGGACGAGGAGTACGACGGTCCGGAGGGTAGTGAAACGTACGATGTAGAAGCGTTACGGTCCGAGCTCGAGATGGAGAGGGAGGTGAACCGGCACTTGGAGCGCGCGTTGGACATGGAAGCGCGCGCGGCGGAGGAGGAGCGGACGCGGTGGGAGGCGGAGAGAGACGAGCTCCTCGAGAGCGTGCGGAGCATTCTGCCGTCGTTCGGGATGGACGTCGAGGGGTACGAAGCGCGCGAGAGGGCGAAGCTGCCCGTGCCCGAGTTTGTGGGTTCGTGACGGGGTTGAGTAAGTTATCTTAAATAGCGACGGCCGACGCTTTGCGTTCGCGGCCGAGTTCTCGTCACGGCGGCGGCGGCGCCGCCCTCGGAGGCAGCCGTCTCAGTCGCCCCGCCTCGAATTCCCTGATCGTGTCGAAGTTCACCTTCACGGATGCCTTCCCACCGACGACGTCGCCGGCGACGATCCCGCACACCACCGTGACCTCTTCGTCAGCGCCGGCTGGGTGAGTCGTTCTGATCGGCGCGACGACGACCAAATCGCCCTCTCGAAAGCTTTTCGCCGGGCGGCACTCCGCCTTGTGACGCTTCTTCCAGTCCTCCTTTTGGCACGCCTTCCCGCAGTACGCGACGAGATGGCACCCGCCGCACTGAGAGTACCGCTCGACCCCGGCCGCGCGCGCACCGCACGAAAAACACGCGTTGCTCACGACGTCCATCCGCGCGTCGAACTCATCGTGACTTAGTCCAGCCTCCTCTAAGATCTTCGACTCGATGCGGAAGTTGCGATTCGCCTCCCGGCTAGCCGGTTTTCTCCCGCTGACGACAACCCCTGAGGATTCCAATCGAATGGTCGCGTTCCTTCGAGTCCTTTCCCAGTCGACCGATCCGTCTTCGCGTTCACCCTCGCGTTCGATCGCGCCCTCGCCCTCGCGCGGCGTCGAGCGCGCAGTCGTCTTGTTGAAGTTAATCGTCGCGTCACCCTTTATCTGGTCGCACAGCGTCCCCGCGCTCACAAAGTCGGGCTTCGGCTGCCCGCGCGCGTCCGCGATGACCCCGGCGAGCACGACGCGCCCGCGCGCGGTCTCCGTCGCCGCGTCGCCGATGTCGACGCACTTGCGGTAATATCGCGCGGCGCCGTCGCGATCGTTGCTATCCCACTTGAGCATCCCTTTCGTCAACGCGGCTTGCATGCGTATCTCCGGCTGCTCGTCCTCGTCGTCGATGAGGGTCGTCAGGAGCTTGAAGTCGCTCTTCAGCGGCGCGCACGATCCGTCGCGCAGCGGCGCGGTGAACCCGGAGACGACGAAGTAACGGTTCGTGAACGTCGAGGCCGGGCCTCCGGATTCTTTGAACGCCCTCTGATACCCGTCGACGCACGCGCGCCAGTCGCCTCTCTGCGCCGCCTCCACCGCGGCCATCACCGAGACGGACGAATTCTTGTAGTATCTACTGTCGTTCTCGGTCTGCATGACGACCGCCCCGGGCGCGATGCCGAGCGAGGCGGGCCCGCGCCCGAGAGAGTGGGAGACCACGCGATGATGACTCACGACTGAGCTGATTTTCTCTTGGACGAACTCGAAAGTTGACATTCTGTTCGCCCCCTCCCAGTGCCCACCGCGCGCTCGCGTCGTCGGCGGATGGCGTGGCGACGTCGCATGGCGTCCTCCGCGGCACCGGTCGTGATCCCGCCGACGTGGCGACACGTCGCTCGCGCGCCTCGCGCGCCCGCGCGCGGAACACCCCCGAGCGAACGCGAACGCGAACGCCCGCCTCGGCGTGGCCCGATCTCGCTCGACGACGACCCGTCGTCCTTCCGCGCGTCCTCGCGCTCGCGCCTGATGGCCTCGGACGCGCGGCGGTTCACCGGCGACGGCGTCTTCGACCGCGTCGCGCGCGCGGTCTGCGTCGCGAACTGCCTCCCGCGAAAGGAGCTCTTCGAGACGTGGGAGGCGGCGGTCATCATCGGCGAACACTTTTGCGCTGAGGTGCGTTCTATACACTGGTCTCCATACGACCGCGTTGGCGTGGTGAACGCCGATCCTTAAGGACTTTTGCCGTCGTCTCTCTCCGCCCAGGGTCCCTCGCTTTCAATCCCCGTCCTCGACGCCTTTCAACTCCGCTTCTGACGCCTTTCAACTCCACCCTGACGTTAACGTGCATAGAACGACCCCGACGCCGTCGCGGCGTCCGACGCGTCCTCCGACGCGTCCTCCGCGGCCGCGCCGCTGCGCGTCCTCGACCTCGCCGCCGGGCACGGCCTCCTCGCGCAGCTCCTCCTCGTCCTCCACCCAGACGCGATACACTCCGCGCTGTGCGTCGACCGAAGGAAGCCGGACAGTTTCGACCGGTTACGCGACGCGCTCGTCGGCGCCTTCCCGGAGACGCCGTCGCTCAGGTGCGTTCTATACACTGGTCCCCATACGACCGCGTTGGCGTGGTGAACGCGATTCCTTAAGGACTTTCGCCGGCGTGTCTCTCCGCCCACCCCTCGCTTTCAACGCCCGCCCTCGACGCCTTTCAACTCCAACTGACGCCTTTGAACTCCACCCCGACAATCGCTCGTATGGAACGGCCCTCAGAGGCAAGACGCGCTTCGTGACGGACACCCTCGCGAACGTGCGACCGACCCCGGACACGCTGCTCGTGTCCGTGCACGCGTGCGGGTCGCTGACGGACTACGTCCTGGACCTGGCGATCGAAGGTCGGTCGCCCGTCGCGGTCGTGCCGTGCTGTCACCGCGTCGGCGCGAAGGCGCTGAGAGACGCGGGCGCGGACGCGTGGGATTGGGTGGCGGAGGAGGGCGTGGACGCCGCGACCGCGATCGACGTGATGCGATTGGATCGGTTGCGGAGCAGCGAGGCGTACGGCGGGGAGGTGGAGGCGCGGACGCTGTCGAGGGACGTGACCGCGATGAACCGGATGATATTAGGGAAGCCGCGGCGAGGGGACGGCGGCGGCGAAGGCGAAGGCGGCGGCGACAGAGGGTGGGAGGACGCGGCGAAGTCGCTGCCGGACAGTCCGTGGTCGTTGTACGCGGAGCCTCCGAGGTGAGGGCGGTTCGTTGTTCGTTCGTAGAGGATCGCTAGCTACTTAGGGTGTTGTGACGGCGGTGCTAGGTCATCGTCGTCTCGCGCGCGGTCGCCGCGCCGCGCCGTAGTTTTTCGGGGCGCCGCGCCGACAGAAACCGCCAACCTGTCCTGTCTCGTTGTGTCGCCCAACGAATTCGTCGCACTCCATTCGCGCGCACGGCACGATGGCGCCGCCACGCGAGAAAGACGCGGAGATGAAAGACGCCCCGCCCCCCCCGGACGACGACGCCGCCGCCGACGCCGCCGCCGCGTCCGACGACTCCGACTCCGACTCCGACTCCGACTCCGGGAGCGACGACGACGACGAGGTGGAGATGCCGTCCGAGGAGGCGATGGACTCAATCATGAAGCTCGAGCGCGTCATCGCGTCCGGCGACGGCGCGAACGACTTCCACGCGCACTCCAAGCTCGTCGCCGCGCTGCGCGTCGCGGGTTTAAAGCAACGGCTCAGGGACGCGCGCGAGGCTATGAGCGCGAAGTTCCCGCTGGACGAGACGCGATGGCGCGAATGGATCTCGGACGAGGTGCGCGCGACGACGCGCACTCGACGAAAACGTCGCGAGATCGTCGGCCCGCTCTTCGAGCGCGCGCTCGCGGACTTCGTCTCCGTGCCGATATGGCTCGGGTACGCGGAGTTCTCCTTGGATCAGGACTGGGACGACGAGCGCCGCCGAGCGCTGTACGAGCGCGCGGTCGCCGTCGCGGGATGCCACTTCGTCGACGCGCACAAGCTCTGGGCGGCGTATCGCGCGTTCGAGCTGTCGCGCCTGCAGCTCCTGACGCGCGACGCCGCCGACGCGTCGACCGCGACCGCGACGAAGAAGAAGAAGGAGGAGGACGTCGCGAAGGCGGAGGGCGTCGTCCGCGCGGTCTTCGCGCGGCAGCTCGCGACGCCGCACGCGCAGATGGAGGACACCAGAGCGATGGCGACGGCGTGGGAGAAGGCGCGCGGCGGCGACGGCCTCGCGAAGGAGACCGAGGACGCGATCGCGGCCGCGACCGCAGCCGCCGCGGTGCGCACGCCGATCGAGGACGCCATCGCGGCCGCGATGGCGTCGACCGCGCCGGAGAGGGACAAGGCGCCGGCCGTCGCGAAGGCGTTCCGCGCGTTGACGGAACTCGAGGAGCGCGACGGCGACGCCGCGAGGACGCAGTGCGCGCACGAGCGCGCGGTCGCGGCGACGCCGACGGACCCGCGCGCGTGGCGACGGTACACCGCGTACCTGGACCACGAGCTGAGGGTTCGGACGATCGCGGCGCCGGCGCATGAGCGCGCGATGCGGTGTTGCGTCGGCGACGGCGAGACGATCGCGAGCGCGATTCGCGCGTTCGCGGCGGAGGGAGACGCGAACGGCGCGAGGCAGCTCGCGACGACCGCGTGCGGCGACGAGCGACGCTCGCGGACGAGCGAGGACGTCCTCGCGGTGTTTCTCGCCGTCAGTCGCATCGCGGGCGACGCGACGGCGCGTCGAGGTGTCGCGGAGGAGGCGCGAAAGCTCATGGCGAAAAAGCCGGCGAACGCGGCGGCGACGCTCGCGCTCGCGACTGAGACCGCGGACGTAGAAGCGAGCGCCCGCGATCGTCTCGCGGTGTGGGAGTCGTTCGTGAAAGGCGACAAGAAGTCGGGCGGCGGCGAGCTCTCCAACGTCGCGGAGGCGCACGCGCGACACGCGGAGGCGGCGTTCGCGGTAGACGGGCGCGCGGACGCCGGGCGCGCGATTTTCAAAAACGTCTTCTCGAGACCGAACCTGGAATCCGCGGCGCCCGCAAACGGCTCCGGGCGGGCGGTCGTCTGCCGCGCGTGGCTGGAATTCGAGAGAAAACACGGCGACGCGCCGGACTCGTACGCGCGCGCGGACGCCAAGGCGGGGAAGATCCTTCGCGCGATCGAGGCGGAGGAGCGGGAGAAGAAACTCGTGACCCCCGAGGAGGCGACGCGCATGCGTCGCGCGAACGACCCGAACTACAAAAATGGGCCCAAGGCCACCGCCGCCGCCGCCGACGACGACGACGACGCCGGCGGCGGCGGCGGCGCGAAGCGCAAGGCGGTCGGGGGCGACGACGCGTCGCGCGAGGACGATCGCGCGAGCAAGCGCGCGCGCGGCGACGGCGACGGCGACGGCGGGGAAGACGGCGGGGAAGACGCGCGAGATGAACGCTCGCGAAAAGGCCCCGGGTTGGGCGCCGACCCCGCCGAGCGCGCGGCCAAGTATAAAGAATTCTTCCCCGACCGCGACCAGCGCACGGCGTTCGTGAAGAACCTTCCGTTCAATTGCACGGAGGAGGAGCTGTCGGGGTTCTTCGACGGCAGAGGCGGCGGCGTCCGCGCGCGAATCGTCCGCGATAAGGCTACCGGCCGGTCGAGAGGGTTCGCGTACGTCGAGTTCGACGAGGAGGGCGCGTTGCAGCTGGCCATCATGCGCGACGGCGCGACGTTCCAGGACCGGCCGCTGAGCATCGCACGGTCGATGCCGCCGGGAGGTGGCGGCGGCGGGAGAGGACGCGGGGGCGGAGGGAGGGGCGGCGGCGGCGGCGGCGGCGGCGGAGGGAGGGGCGGAGGAGGAAGAGGCGGCGGGCGGGCGCCGCGGGGGCTCGGGTTCGTCCCTCGCGCCGCGCGTCCCGCCGCGGCGGCGGCGGCGACCAAAGAGGAGCCGGCGAAGAAGGACGCGACGGCGGGCGGCGGCGGCGGCGACGGCGCGCCGAAATCGAACGCGGACTTCCGCGCGATGATGTTCAAGAAGGGCAGCGACCTCGGGGCGGAATGATGACGGAGTTCTCGTGAGAGAAGCGTACGAAAGTAATTCTGTTCGCGCCTCGCCTCGTCGTCGTGTGAGAAACGAACAGAACCAACGAACGCTCCGTTTGATCGAACGACGCCGCAAAACTCTCGTCCGCACGACGCCCGCGCGCTTCCCTCTTCACTCCCTTCCCGCGCGCGCCTCGGCATGCGTCGTCCTCTCCTCGCCGCCGTCGCGCTCCTCCTCCTCGCCGCGGCGTCGCCGCTCGCGGCCGCGCGCGAGGACGACGACGAAGAGTACTACATCCTGTCGCTCAAACCCGGCGCGGGCGCGCGACGCGCGCGCTTGCCTCCCGCCGCCCCGCCGCGTCGTTTCCACGGCGGGAACGGCGACGAGGACGACGCCATCATGGACGACGTCTCGCGCTGCGACCCGCTCGCGCTCGAGGACGAGCGCGGGTTCTTCCCGATCGCGCGCGTCCTGCGCCGCGCCGTCCGCGGCGCGGTGCTGCGCCTCGACAGCCCCGCGGCCGCGGCGCTGCGCGCGCGGCTGGACCCCGACTGCGCGCTCGAGGTGGACGCGCGCGTCACCGCGCAGGGCTATCGCACGACGAAAGTCGTCGCGCAGCAGCGGTCGCGCGGCGGCGGCGCGGAGGCGTTTCGACCGCCGCGGCCGACGCACTGGGAGCTCGACCGCGTGGACCAGCGCGCGCTCCCGCTCGACGGCGTCGCGTCCGCGGTCAACGCGAGCTCGTCGGGGGAAGGGACGATCGTGTACGTCGTCGACAGCGGCGTCATGCGCGGCCACGACGAGTTTCGACGCGTCGCGGAGACGCGTCGCGACGACGAAAGTGAGGAGCAAGTTTATTACGACGCCTCCGCCGCCGCCTACGCCGCGGCGGCCTTCGACGCCGCGGCCTCACCCTCGAGCCGCGTCGTCGCGGCCGCGGACTTCGTCAGCGGCGAGTCCCCGAGCGACAAAGCGCGCGTCGCCGCGATCGGCGGCGACTGCTACGGCCACGGCACCGCGGTCGCGTCGCTCGCCGCGGGCGTCCGCTCCGGTCTGGCGCCGCGCGCCGACGTCGTCGACGTCCGCGTCCTCGACTGCGCGGGGAACGGCCGCGTCTCCGACGTCATCTCCGGACTCGACTACGCGATCGAGCACTACCGAAGCCTCCCTGCGTACGAGCTGCCCCCCGCGGCGCTAACGCTGTCGCTGGGGGTGCCGATCGGGGTGCCGTCGAGAGCGCTCGAGCGCGCGGTCGCCGAGGTGGTGCGTCGGCACAACGTCGTCGTCGTCGTCGCCGCGGGAAACGCGGAGCGCTCGCGACGGACCTCGGACGCGTGCCGGTTCTCCCCGGGGCGCGAGCCCTCCGTGATAACCGTCGCCGCGAGCGAGATCAACGACCGGACGTGGAGCGACGGCATGACCGGGCCGTGCGTGGACTTGTTCGCCCCGGGGGTGGAGGTGACCGCCGCGGCGTTCGAAGAGGACGTTGGAAATCGATACTCGTACCAGTTGAACGCGCGTCGCGGCGGTTCTGGCGGCGACGGCGGCGGCGACGACGACGACGGCGCGGAGACCGAGATGGAGACCGACGCGTACGCCGGGTGGACGGGCACGAGCATGGCCGCGCCGATCGTCGCGGGCGCGGCGCTCGCGCGCATGAGCCTCGAGCGCGGCGAAGGCGCGGACGGCGCGCCGAACCCGGACGCCTCAGGTGCGTTAACAAACGTGTTTCACCCATCGCCCGGTTTCAACGCTTGATCGCGTCTCCTTTCTACTGACCGGTGAACTTTTTTTGTATGGAACGACCCTCAGACGTGAAGCGGCGGCTGCTCGACGAAGCCACGGAGAATGCGCTGTGGGACAGGCGCGTCCCGCGGGGCGTCGAACGTTTCGTTTCGTTTTTCACCCGCCCCGTACGTTTTAGTTTCAACATTTGATCGCGCAGTTCCCTTTCAACTGACCGGTAAATGAACTTTTTTTGTACTGTATGCCTCACCCTTACGCAGGGTCGACCCGCGGTCGCGCCCCCTCGACGGGTGGCCGGCGTCGACGAGAGCGCGAGGGCTCGCGTCGTCGCTCGAGGGCACGCCGAACGCGCTGCTGTATCACGCCGCTGACCCCGCCGCGGACGCGACGACGAGGAGGAGGGCGCGCGACGTCGCGTCGGCGCAGGGCGGCGGCGCGGCGGGGAAGGAGTGCTGAGGGCCGCGCCGTACGCAGCATCGGTCAGTTTAAAGGGGACGCGATCAAATGTTGAACCTACGGGGTGGGTGAAGAACGCGCCAACGCGCGCGCGCGAATCCGCGGCAAGGCGCCAAATCCATTTGTCATCGCCGCACTCGTCGTTCGTTCGCGCGGGACGTCTCATCGACTCGTCACTCCTCCCGCGCGCGCGCGTCAATGAGCGACAGGGCGAAGGTCCTGTCCCTCTTCCGCAAGCTCTACCGCGCCGCCCGGTCGCTCCCGACGTCCAACCGCGTCGGGTTCGTCCGCGCGAAAGTCCGCGCGGAGTACGAGACCCACCGCGGCGAGTCCGACGCCGCGCGGATCGCCGCGCTGCGCCTCTACGGCGAGACGCAGCTCGACAACGTCCTCGCGCAGGCGTCGCACCTGACGTCCGTCTTCTCCGACCCGCGCGCGCACGCGCGGGCGTGATCTAGTAGTAGAGAAGGGAAGTGGGGAAGAATGGAGGGGCGCGTCGGCGTCATGACGACGCCCGGCGTGATCGAGGAGCTCCACGTGTACGACTTCGACGGCACGCTCGTGGACACGCCCGTCCCCGAGCGCGGGATGGCGGAGTTCGAGGAGGCGACGGGGACGCCGTGGCCGCATCGCGGGTGGTGGGGACGCGCGGAGTCGCTGCAGAAACCGCTGACGTGGAAGCCCGGGCCCGCGCTGGGAGACTACCGCGCTCTCTCTGCGCTGCCGCGGTGCCGGAGGGTGATGCTCACGGGCAGGAGGCACTGGCTCGCGCCGCAGGTGACGGACATCTTGAACGAGTTCGACGTCGTCGTCGACGAAAAGATCTTCAACGCGACGGGGAAAGACACGCTGACGTACAAAGCGAACGAAATTCGAAGGATGATACGAGAGGCCGGGCCGGGGTTGAGGCGCGTGAGGATATGGGAGGACCGCGTGCGGCACGCGGCGTGGTTCGAGGAGTTTGGCGAGACGACGCCGGAGTTCGCGCACATCGAGCGGTGGGACGTCGTCCTCGTGGAGCCGTCGAACGACTTTTGAGGATGGAACCTCGCGCGCGAGACGCTCGCGCCGCGCTGTTGTAGCCTCGCTGTACTGTTACTGTATCGAAGGTATGAACACCACGTAGTCGCATACTGTACTTGGATGAATCGCCGCTCGCTTCAGTTCACTTGTACGCCCCGATCGCTCGCACGTCCACGTTGAAGGTCCCCAGCTGCTCCGGGTCTCCCTTCAACACCATCAAGCCAATCTCGCACATCGCCTCCGCGCGCAGCGCGCCGCGCATCACCGCTCGACCCATCCGCTCCGGTCGATCGAACGCGGTGAACGGCACCTTCACCCTGCCGAACTCGTCCGCCTTGATCGCGAACGCGCTCTTAAAGTTCACCTGCGTCGTCATCGCCTCGTCGTCCTTCACGACGAGCAGGTACCGCTTCCCCGCGCTCTCCGCGTCGCCGGCTCTCGCGTCGACGTAGAGCCCGCTGAACGCGCTCATGTCGACGCCGCTACCCATGGACGCTCTAACGGACGCGAACCCGCCGTTATTCTCCGTCCGCACGCACCCGGTGAACCGCGCGCACCCTAAGTCCGCCCTCGGGAGCATCATCCCGTCGCTGACGCCGCCCATGACGCCGTCGTTCATGGACCGCCACCGCGACGCCGCGTCCGGGTTGGCGGCGAAATCAAAGATCGCGGGGCACGGGTCGTCCGCCTCGGACGGCGCGCTCGCGGCGCCGCGCTGGACGCCCCCCGGGCCTTCGAGCGCGTCCTCCTCGTTTCCCGCGTTTCCCGTCGTCGCTCTCGCGGCGCTGTACACGATCGGCTCGTCCGGGGGCGGGTCCAGGAGGATGTTCACGACCGCGTCGAGGCCGCGACGCAGCGCCCACGCCGCGGAGCGCATCGCCGCGTCCGTCTCGCCACCCTCCGTCGCGATCCCGTCCGCGCGCGCGACCGCGTCTCGCAGCGTCGACTTGACCGCGTCGCTGTCGACGTCGACGTCGCGGACGATCCCCATCGCGGTCTGGCGGTAGAGTTTCACGCACCCCGCGGCGTCGCCGGCGTTGAACATCGGCGCGCCGAACTTGATGCTGCCGGTGATGGACGTCACCACGCGCGATCGCACCTCGGGGGAGAGCGACGCGGGCGCGCTTCCCGCGGCGAGGGTTCGCGCGCGTCCGGAGGAGGAGGAGGAGGACATCGCGCGCGCGCGGGGCTGGGAGGAGGAGGAGGAGGAGGGGGGGATGACGCGAGCGAGGAACGACGGGCGGAGCACCGCGTGACGCGCGGCGTGCATCGGTCCGGGCGCGGCGCGCGCGTCGTTATCGATCGACGCGACGCTCGAGGAGACAGGTGTCGCGGTCGCGAGCGGACAGGCAGGCTGGCAGGCTAGCAGGAACTGAACGCGGACGACGACGCGCGAAAGAATACTGAGTGCGGTGCGCAGTGCGGCGTTTCTCGTCACAAGGCGCGTCTCGCGCGCGCGCGCGCTTCCTAGGACCCGCCCCCCTCAGTTCTTATCCATGTACCGAAACGCGGCCGCCGCCCCCACGGCGCCGGCGAGGAGCACTGGACCGACGTCGCACGCGATGTTGACCACGTCCTTCATCACGCTGAAAAAGTCACTCAGCCAAAACAAGACGCGGTCCTCGTAGAACCGCTTCTTGTACGCCGCCGACGGCGCGGCGTCGCCGTCCCACTCCCACGGGCGCCCGTAAATCTGCAACGAGAGGAGGAGGAGGATGGATGGACGGAGAGAAGTGAGTGGTTTAGGGTCCGCGCGTCGGTCGTGTAGGGTTAGGGTCCGGCGCGAGAGACGCGGACGCACCTCCCCCGCGATGACGGCTTTCAGGGAACAGTACGACGTGTGAATCGTGTCGTTCACGATGACGCGGTTAAAGAACCCGTCCTCCTTCGTCTTCTCCATCTCCTTCCCCGCGTTCGCGAGCCTCGTCTTGATGGCCTCCTCCTTCTCCGTGCCTCGCCCGCGCAGACGTCGCTCGAGCTCCGCCATCGACGGCGGCGCGATGAACACGTACACCGCGTCGAGGTCGCTCTTCTTCACGAGCTCGGCGCCCTGGACGTCGATGTCGAGGACGCACACGCGGCCCGCGTTCGACACCGCGTCCACCGCCGCGAACGACGTCCCGTAGATGTTGTCGTGCACGCGCGCGTGCTCTAAGAACTTCCCCTCCGCGATGTCCTTCTCCATCGCGGCTTTTTCGACGAAGTTGTAGTGCACGCCGTCCACCTCTCCCGGCCGCGGTTTCCGCGTCGTGTGCGAGACGCTGATGAGGGTCGAGGGTCCATACGAAGCGACGTCGGGGTGGAGTTCATGGGCGTCAGCTGGATTTGAAAGGTGTCGAGGTCGAGCGTTGAAAGCGAGGGATGGGCGGAGAGAAACACCGGCAAAAGTCCTTAAGGAACGGCGTTCACCACGCGAACGGGGTCGTATGGGGACCAGTGTCGGATAGAACGCGCCTGAAGCCGAAGCGCTCGGGGAAATCTTCCATGAGCTTGTCGATGAGCGTGCCCTTCCCCACGCCGCTCGGGCCGCATATCACGAGCGGTCGCAGCTTCTCGTACTCGCGAGGGGCCTTATCGATAGGCATGCCCCAGCGGTTCTTCCCGGGGGGATACAGCGACTTGCGCGGCTTCTTCTTCGTCGCGGCGTCGTCGTCGCTCGGCATGATGACGACGACGTTCGGACCGCTCACGCCGCGTCGTCGCTCGCGTTCGGCTGCGGTTTCTGCTGCGGGTCGATGCCGAGGCGTTCCTCCTTGGTCGCGCCGTCCGGGTTGAACTGGAAGCTGTTCGCGACGAGGGTTTCCGTCGTCCCGCGCGCGAGGTCGGCCTGGAGTTTCCGGATGTGTGCTTTCCGGGCTTCTTCGTACTGCGAGAGCGAGCGCGCGAGAGGGAGGGAGAGAGGGAGGGAGGGCGGATCAGGGTTCGCGCTCGGGCGAGATCCGACGATCGATCGAACGAACGAACGAACGAACGATCGAACGTCGCGCGGACGGGACGATGCCGCGGAGGGAGGGAGGGTTCCGCGACCGACGGCGACGACGACGCGGCGTACCTCCTGCTTGTCCTCGGGCTTGAGCTCGATTCGCGTCGGCGGGCGTCTGAGCATGTCGTTTATGGCGCTTCGACGACCGCGCGCCTCTTTTCGCTTTCGCCCTTCGACGAGCTTCGACGAGGCCGGGCCGGGCCAGGCTGCTCCGGGAGCACACTTTCAAAATCGGGAGGGGTGCCTACGCGAGATCGGCGCGCACGGCGAGCGAGCGCCGGCCGCCGGCGACGCCACCCACCCCACCCTCCGCGCGCGATGGACGACGGCGATGATGGAGACGCTGCGATCGCGAGGCTTATGATGGAGGAGGAGTACGCCGCCGCGGACGCCGCGGGCCTGGACTACTCGCCGTCCATGTTCAGCAGGCGAAGGCGTCGCGGGGACGACAGCGAGAGCGACGAGTACTCCCCGCGGCGCGGCGTGAAGCGCGCGGCGAAGCCCAAGCCGAAGCCGCCGCCGAAGCCGTCGCCGAAGCCGAAGCCGAAGAAGGAGCGACCGCCCGCGAAGGCGCCGAGCGGCGGCGCGAGCGGCGTGACGTTGGCGCACCTCATCGACGCGAATCTCATCGCCCCCGGGGTGGACGTCGTGAGCACGCTCTACAACGGCGTCACGGAGCTCGCGACGCTGCGCGACGACGGCGCGATCGCGTGGGACGGCCGCGAGTTCCACTCCGTCTCCGCCTTCTCGCTCGCGGTGAAGCGACGGACGAACCCGGACCGCAAGGCGGACGACGGGTGGAAGTGCGTCAAATGCGACGGCGTCGCGCTCGACGCGGTGAAGCGGCGATACGAGGCGACCGTCGCGGCGGGGGGTGCCGAGGGTGCCGAGGACGCCGCCGGCGACGGCGCGATCGTTAAGCCCGGCGGCGCCGTGGAGCTGGCGATGCGGAAGGCGCGGGACGCGAAGGACGCGGCGGCGAGGGAGAGGGAGGCGTCGAAGCCGCCGCCGCCGCCGCCGAAACCCAAGCCGGCGAAGGTTTCGAAACCCAAGCCTCCGAAGGTTTCGAAACCGCCGCGGGACCCTAAAGCGCCGCCGCCGCCGCCGCCGCCGCCGCGTCCGCAGCGCGCGCGCCGCGCGGCGTCCTCGCGCGGCCCGCTCCCCGGCGCTCACGGCCCGAACGGGGACCTGCAGATGGTCGAGTGCGAGAAACACCCGCGCGGGACGCAGCCGTGGACGCAGACGTTGTCGCCCGCGGCGGCGACGTTGATGGACTTCCACGCGCACCTGTGCGGCGACGAGGTAGGAGGAGTCGCGTCGCACTGGTCCCCATACGACCGCGTTCGCGTGGTGAACGCCGATCCTTAAGGACTTTTGTCGTCGTCTCTCTCCTCCCACCCCTTCCTTTCAATCCCCGCCCGCGACGCCTTTCAACTCCACCCCGCCTTTCAACTCCACTCCACCTCCAGATCATCGGGTTCTTGGGCGGGACCTTCGACGCGGACGCGAAGACGCTGAAGATCACGCGCGCGCTCCCGGCGCGACGGTTGACGCTGAAAGACGTCGACGGCGCCGACGCCGCCGTGGAAGTGGAGCTCGACCCGGAGAGCGTTCCGGACATCGTCGACGCGCTCGACGAGGACGGGTTACGCGTCGTCGGGTGGTACCACTCGCACCCGGTGTTCTCGACGCACCCGTCGCTCCGGGACATCGAGAACCAGGCGAACTATCAGTTTCTGTTCAAAGACGGACCGGGACCGGGACCGGGACCGGGCGGGGGCGACGGGAAGGGCGGCGGGTCCGGGTCCCCGCCGCCGTTCGTAGGGTGCATCGTCGGTCCGTACGACCAAAAGAACGTCTCCGAGAGCAGCGACATACGGTGGTTCCACGTCGTGGACGACGACGGCGGGGAGACGCGCGGCGGCGTCGGCGGCGCGGCCTCCGCGGCCGCGAGAGCCGCGACGGGCGAGGCCGCGGGAAGGCCGTTCGAGCTCGAGTGCGCCGCCTCGGAGGACGCCGCGCTCCCGCCGAACGTACTTCTCGACCTTCGGAAGCTCGCGGACGCGTTCGGGGACGGCGACGGCGAGCGCGGGGACGGCGACGGCGCGGGCGCGGAGCGCGCGGACAGGGTCGACCTCACGTCGCACTGGAGAGACGGCGTGAGTAAGCTCGCGAAACTGCGCGCGAGTTTATCCTCGCGGCTGCCGCGGGCGTGGGGGGAGGACATGCGTATGAACTACGTCGGCGGCGTGCTGCGATACCTGGAGCACAAGTGGGGGATAGCCTCGACGACTTGACGGATGCACCCACACGCATGATGTCTACAGTAGTCTAACTAATCACAACGTTGAGCACGGTAACGCATCTCTTCTTGGGTCAGTTTCTCAGTCGTCCAACACGCGATACCTCGCGCGTCCTTGCGTCGCGTCGCGCAGAGCCTCTCCTAATCGTTTCGCGCGTCTTCTCTCGACGGTCACCTGCACGTGGACGCCGCCGTCGTCGCAAAATTCCTCGTCCTCCTTCACCGCGCCGTGCGCTTCCATGCTGCTGTATATTCCCCCCAAGTCATCGAACGCCGGCGAGTCGATGAGCGCGTCGACGACGGGGTACGTCACCTTCGACGGCGCGCCTTCCAACGCTTTCGCAGCCGCGCCTCCGTACGCTCGCACCAATCCTCCCGCGCCGAGTTGGGTCCCGCCGTAATACCGCGTCACGAGCACGGCGACGTTGTCGAAGCCGCTGCCCTCGATCGCGCTCAGCATCGGCAACCCCGCGGTCCCTCCCGGCTCGCCGTCGTCGCTGCTCCGCGTGCTCTGACCGATCTTGTACGCGAAGCAGTTGTGCGACGCCTTCGGGTCGCCGTTGGATTCCACGAACGCCATCGCTCGCGACGGCGAGTCCACCGGCGCCGCGATGGCGACGAACTTGGACTTCTTCACCTCCGTCTCCGCGACGACGCGCTCGAGGAGCCGAAGCGTCGCGCCGTCGCCCGCGGCGTCGTCGTTCGAGTCGTCGTCGTCGCGCTTGGTTTGTCTCTTCGCGAACGCTCGGGTGCGCGGGCGGGCGCCCGTCGCGCCGACGCGCCGCGCGGGCGTCTGCCATCGGACGACGGCGCGCGGGGTCATCGCGCGCGTCGTCGCCGCCGCCGCGCATCGCGCGGCGATCGTCATCATGCGCGCTTCCGCCGTCGAGCGCGCTGTCTCGGCGCCGCCGTCTCTGCGCCACCAGTTTTCGCGTCCCGCCAGCGCAGCGCCACTTGGCGACCACATCTCTTTATCCGTCCGAGAAGAGCACTCCTACACGCGCGGGGCGGCCCAGAGCAGAGCGTCATGCGTCTCTCGGCGTCGCCGTCCCCCGCGGCGTCCCTCGCGCGCGAACGACGCCGCAGCGGCGCGCGCGAACGACGCCGCAGCGGCGCGCGCGCGTCGTCCAGCGCCGCCGCGAGGAGATCGCCGTCGGCGAGCCGCGCGAACTGGAAGGCACCCCGAGGCGCGACGACGACGACGACGAGGACGACGACGACGACGACGCGCGCGATGAACCGCGGGCTCGCGACGCCGACGGGAGGCTTCCTCGCGCTCGGCGCGCGCGGCGAGGACGACGACGACGAGATGAGCGAGGGCGTCAGAGCGCGGCTGCGCGCGGAGGCCGCGCTCACGGCCGCGGACGCGTTCGAGGAGGTGTGGCGAAGCAACGCGTCGATCCGCGCGAAGATCTCCGGCGACCTCGACCCCGCGGCGGCCGCGGCGGCGGCGCGCCCGCGCCGCCTGCGCCCCGGTCAGAAGCCGACGCAGAGCGACGAGGCGCGCTTAGAGAAGGCGCGCGCGGACGCCAAGGCGCGCGCGCACCCGAGCGCGGCGCTGTTCGAGGACGAGGACTTCCGAAGGAGCAAGGTTGCAAATCTCTACCGCGTGCTCGCGCCCGCGCTGCAGCCGCGATCCATCGAGACCGCGAGCGACGCGTGCTTCGTCGTCGGCGCCACCATCGCGGCGACGATCCCGACCGCGCTGTGCGACGTCACGCCGACGGACGCGGCGAGGACGCTCGTGCACCTCCGGAAGATACACGGCGACCGCGCGGACCTCGTGGAGCTCATCGCGGCGAACCCTTCGACGCTGCTGACGCAGCCGCCGCCGCGCGTCGCCGCCGCAAACGCCGCCGCCGCGCCCTCCTCGAGGGCGAAGCTCGCGGCCGCGGGCGCGGCCGCCGCGGACGCGGTCGTCTCTCGCGTCGAGGCGAAGGTGATCCGCGACGTCGCCGCCTCGGACGACGAGAACGAGGCGCGGACAGTCACGGACGGTCGCGAGGACGGCAAGTGGCGCGTCGGCGGCACGCTCAAGGTTGGTTCGAGCTCATCACCCTCTCTTCTCAACTCTTCTCTCCCCTCTTTCTTTCTTCCGTCGAGCTCTTCTTCGCTTGACCCGTCTCATCCGACTGTTCCGTGAGTAACACGCACTTTACGATGAATCTCTGTCTATCAGTTCGTGACTGTTATATTTTTGTTTGAACGACCCACGCTCAAGGGGACGTCGAGTCGAGCGGAGGATCTCAAAGTTCGGTTCTGGAACCTCTGGGGCGGGTCGTCCGCGTGTCGCGCGGTCGTCACCGCGAGCGCGCGAGGGAGCGTGTACCGCGACCCGACGCGGATGGAGGCGATCGTGCTGTCGCTGGATCGGTACATGCCGTTCATCGACGCGCCGATGCTGCTGCATCGGGAGCCGGCGTTGTTCGAGCTCGCCGCGGAAGCCGTCGTGCGCCGCGCCGTCGCCGTGCGCGCCGTCTTGCGCGGCGGCGACGTCGGGCGGGTGTTGGGATTAGCCCCGAGTTTGTTGCTCGCGGACGAGGATGACGTGCGCGCGGCGGTGGAGGCGATCGCGGAGGAGTGCGAGACGAGCGGAGGAGGAGGAGGAGGGCGAAAGGGGAGGAGGAAGGTCCGGGAGAAGGACGTGTTCGACGCGGCGTTTCGCGCGATTCAAGGGGGCGGCGCGGAGGCGTTCTTGGCGCGCGGACGCGCGAGACGGCGCGGCGGCGGCGTCGTGTTGATGACCGAGAAGGGAGGGAGCGTGCACGTGCGCTGAGTGACGACGCGTTCGTTATCTTCTGTCATGATACGTAGATCCATCGAAAGTACTTCGTCGCGAGTACTTGTACTGTACGACTACCGCGCGAGCGCGGCGGCTCTGCCCGGCGGCTCACCGCTTCGTCCGCGTCTTCTTCTTCGCCGCGTCGCCGCCGCCAGCGCCGCCGCCGGCCGCGGCTCGCTTCTTCCCCGCGTTCTTCTCCCCTTTCTTCTCCGCACCCTTCCCGCTACTGCTCCCCCCCCCTCCGCCGCCGCCGCCGCCGGACGCGTTCGCGCCGGAAGCCATCCCCGACGTGATGTTCCTCTTCGCGCCCCTCCCCCCCCCGAGCTCCACCGCGTTCACCTGCGACGCAAACTTGAGCGAGCACAGCGACTCCTCCGCGCTCGGCGCCTCCGGGTTGATGTTGACAAACATCAACGTCTTCCCGTCGCCGCCGAGGCACGGCTGCAGCAGATACGTCAGCTTGCTGTTCCGGTACGGCACGTGCGACTGCTTGTTCGACAGCGCCTGGAACACGTCCCCGAGGCACGACAAAGACTTGTTAATCGCGCACGCCTCCTTGAGCCGCGCGCCCTCGGCGCCCGATCGCCCGACGCGTTCGCTCCCAGCCAGATCCACGAGGTTCAAGCACCCGGTGAGCCTCGACCCGGACGCGTCGTGCGTACCCGTGATGTACAGCATGAAGATGGTGTGCGAGCGCGAGGACACCGCGTTCATCTGCGTCGCCTCCACCGCGCGCGCCGACGCGGCGCGACGCACGAGGCCGGCGGCGGCGTCGACGCTCGCAACCGGCTCTCTCCGCACGCCGCTCACCTCGGTGACGCCGCGCGGCGTGTGCACGATGGAGTGTTTATCGCTGTGTCCGCTCCCGGCGCACAGCAAATCTCGCACCTGCTCGTTGTAAATCTCGACGTACGACGCGGTCATGTCGTACCGCCATCCCTTCTTCGCGTTCGCCTCGGACGCCTCGACAACTTTGGCCACCGCGCGAGGAATGATCCCGCGCGTCTTCTCGCACGCCTGGTCCCCGAGCATCGTGTGCGTCTTCCCCGAGCCCGTCTGGCCGTACGAGAACAGGCACACCTTGTACCCGTCCAGCGCGCTCTGCACGAGCTGCGAGACTTCCTCGAACACCTCCGTCTGCGTGGACGACGGCCCGAACACGCGGTCGAATTCGAACCCGGCGACGGAGGACTCTTTGTCGCCCCCTTGGGATTTGGTCAACGCCACCGACGCGCCGTCGGCGGCGACGTCGACGCACGCCGTCTCGCTCGTCGTCGGTCGGACGCGGCAGAACACGCGGACGTTTCCTCTGAGCTCTTGGATCTGGTTGTGCAGTGCGCGGCGCATCGCGTCCGCGTCGAGCGCTTGGGATTCGAGCTCGTCAACGCGCGCTTGCTTCTCTTTGAGCTTCGCCTTGAGCTCCGCCGCCTCGGCGGCTTTCAACTCCGCCGCGGCGCACGCCTTCGTCGCCTTGACGAGGCGCGCGGTGAGCGCGCCGGCGTCGCGCGCGCTCATCTCCGCGCCCTCCGCGTCGCCGTCCTCTTCGTCCACCTGCTCGCCGTCGTCGCCGATGCCAGTCGCGGCGCGCAGCGCTCGGAGTTCGCTGAGCATGTCGGCGCGCTCCGCCGCGGCTTTCTTCGCAACCTTTTCGCGCTCCTTCGCTTCCTTTTCGCTCCGCGCCGCCGCTTCTTTCGCCTCTTTCACCAAGCGATCGACCTCGCCGCGCTCGTACTCGAGCTGCGCGACGACGCCTTGGACTCTCGCCTCCGCGGTCTGCGCGGTCTCGATGAGCTCCGCGTGTTTGCTCTCCGCCTCGGACATCGCCTCCGCGGCGGCGGCGACTTTCATCTCGAGCGCTTGTAACGCTTCGGACGCGGCCGTTTTCTCCGCGTTGACCGTCTCGAGGTCCGTCTCGAGCTGTTTGATGCTCGCCTCGAGGGTTTCTTTCTCCGCAGCCGCGGCGGTCGCGGCGGCCTCCGCGGCCGCGTCCTTCTCCGCGAGCGCGGCTGCGGCGGCAGCCTTTTCCGTCGATAACGCCTCCTCAGCATCCGTTACCGCCTTATCAAGCGCCGCGGTGAGCTCGGCCGTCATCGCGTCGCTCTGTTCCTTGACCTCCGCGAGCTTACCCTCCGCCTCGGTCACCCTCGCGTCGCATTCGGCCCGCGTCTCCGTCGCCTTGGCCTCCGCGGCGGCCGCCGCCGCCGCCGCCTCCGCCGCCGCCTCCTCCTTCGCGGTCTTCACCTCCTCGGCCGCTTTTCGCTCGATCTCGTCCTTCTCCTTCGCAATCTTCTCTTCCAACGCCTTGACGTCGTCGCGGCAGCCTTCCTCAGCCTTGTCCGCGCGTTCCCTCGCTTCTTTGACCTCGACGAGCATCTTCTCTTGCTGCTCCGCGAGGGAATCCGCGCGACCTTTGCACTCCGCGTGCTCGAGCTTCGCTTTGTCGAGCTCCGCTCGCGTCTCTTTGCGCTCCTCTTCGTTCTTTTCGCGCTCGGTGTTCAGCGTGTTCGTCAGCGCCTCTGCGTCGTCATGTAACGTCTTGATCTCGGCCGTTTTCGTGACAATCTCTTCCTCCTTCTGCGCCATCGAACCCTTGAGTTTCTCGAGCTCGGCGGAGAGCTTCGCAACCTCGTTCGTCTTCGCCGCGATCGCGTCCTCGGCGTCGATCTTCGCGTCCTCCGCGCCGTTCACCGCGGCGTTCAGCTTCTGTTTCAAGCTCGCCGCGTCCGCGGTGACGGTCGCGAGCGAACCCTCGAGCTCGTCCCCTCGAGCGACCGCCGCGGCGAGCGCCTCGTTCAGCCCCTTCTCCGTCTCCTCCGCGCGCGTCTTCTCTCTGTTGAACTCCTTCGTGACGCCCTCGAGCTCGGACTCCGCGGACGCGAGCTTCGAGGACAGCTCCGCCTTTGTCTTGCGGCCGCCCTGCTCGATGTTCTCCGCCTGCGCTTCGAGGAGCTTGAGCTGACGCGAGAGTTTGTCCACCTCCGCGGTTTTCCCTCTCAGCTTTTCGTCAAACTCCGATCGCGCGCGGTTCGCGTTGGCGCGCTCGGTCGTGACCTCGTCAATCTTCGCGCGTATCTGATCCTCCAGCGCCTTTCTCTCCGCGGCGTACGCCGCCTCGCCGTTCTCGCGGTCGCGCTTCAGCGCGTGCGCCTCGCGCTCCGAGCGCGCCGCGGACTCGCGCACCGCGGCGAGGTCGGCGCGCACTTCCCGCAAACTCTCCTGCGTAGCCTCGTGCCGCGCCCGCAGGCTCTTGATCTCATTGTCCTTCGCCTCGAAGTCGTCGTCGTGCCTGCGAGCGTCCCAGTCCGCCTGGTCCCTCACGCGCCTGAGCTCGCTCTCGGCTTCCTCGCGCGCGGCTTTCAGCTCGCCCTCCACGGCCACCGTCTGCGATCGCGCGGCGCCGAGCTGCCCTTTCACCGCGTCGAGCTCTCGCTCGTACGCCTGCGCGGACGCGTTCGCGCTCTCCATCTGCAGCTTGATTCCCTCCACGCTCTGATCTCTGTCGCGCTCCGCGCGCATGAGGTCCTCCACGAGGTTCTCTTTGCGCACGAGCGCCTGTTGGAGGCATTGCTTCAGCATGTTGATCGCGCCTCTGGCTTCCTCCTTGACCGCTTTCAAGTCGAAGCCCTTCATGTGCTTCGGTCGGAAGTGCAGGCAGCGCTCGAGGGCGTCCACGAAGTTTGGATCCTCGAAGTTGGCGCGGTTCAGCGCCTGCACGGACCCGGCGCCGTCGCGGTCGGGGGCACCGAACGGATCGGCGCCGCCGAATCCGAAGAGCGCGTCGCCGCCGGCTGTGCTCTCGCGAATGGACGGCTGAATGGCGGGGCCCCCGAACGAGCCCCCTCCCAGGGGCCCGCCGAAGCCCATCATGGAGACGCTCTCGCGGATGTTCCCGCGTCTCGACGCCGCGCTCGACGCGAGGTTCATCGCCGCCATGGAGGGACGTCCCTCCGCGATGGATGCGCCGCCCGAGGAGGCGACGTTGGCGTTGTTGGCGTGAAAGAGCGCCATCGCAGACGCATTAGTAGCGCGCGGGACGGACGGCGCGGGGTGCGCGCCGTTCACCGCCGCGCGCGCTTCCTCGATCGCCGCGAGCTCGTGGACGTTCGGCATCCCCGGCATCATGCTCTGACGCATCATGCTCTCGCGCTTGACGACGTTCAGGCGCGCGCGGAACGAGTTGAGATCCGCAACGCCCGCGCCGCGGGCCCCGTGCCGAGAGGGGGACGAGCCGAGGCCGTCGCGCGGGAGACCGGGCGGGACGCGCGAGTCGCGCGGCGCGTTCCCGCTCCCGCCGCGGCTCGCTCCGTGCGCGACGTTCCCCGCGTTGATGTTCTGGCGCAGCGCGCCGCCGCCGCCGCCGCCGCCGGACGACGACGACGACGGCGCCCCCCCGGGGCCCGAGCGCGAGGACGGCGCGGCGAACGACCCGCCGAACGCGATGTTCGGCTTCGTCGGCTTCGCGTGCGCGTGCCGCGCGGTCGGGCGGTTCTCCTTATCGACGTTCGTCGCGTGAAGCGAGTCCATGGTTACGACGACGTTGACGCGTGGCGCGGGCGTTGAGGCCGCGTATCGCGCGTATCGCGGGGCGTGTGACGGCGCCGCGGCGACGGAACTGCCGCGCGGGATGGGGCCCCGCGGGAAGATAACCGAAAACGCGAAAAGTGTCGCGAACGTTTTCTTCCCTGCGCGCCATCTCCGTCGTATCGCGCCGCTGCCACCGTGGCACCGGTCTCGGGGGCACCCAGCCGAAAGCGCGAAATCATCCGACTGAATCTTCGGTAAAAAAATAATATCTAAACGACGCGTGCGGCGCCGCATCGCGCACTCCCCCCCCGCGCGCGCGCGTCGACGCGCGTTCGAGTCCGCGCGCTCCGCGGTTCGCACGAGGCCACCTCGCCGCGTCCTTCCGCACGGTGCGCGCGCGCGCTCGCTCGTCCTCGCCGCCTTGGAGTCGCGTTGTCGGAGAGGAAAAAGATCCCGCGGTCTCGCGAAGAAAGCGCCTTCCAAGTTCTTCAAATGCCGCGTCCGCGCGCCTCCGGTGCCTCGCGCCCTGACCCGCGCTCGAGCGCGCGTCTCCGCCCGCGCGCCGTGATTCCCTCTCGCTGACGTGCGCGCACCACGTTCCGACGCGCAGGCACCTCGAGACCGCATCGCGCGCGTCGCGCCACCGGGCGGACTTCCTCACGCGGCGTCGCGCGAAGAAATCGTTTAACAACGACTGCGGCGCCGACTGCGGCTCTGCACTGCAGCCTGCAGGCTCGCTGACTTGACGCGCGCGAGGACCTGGACTACAGATTCTCGATGGGAAGCGGCGCCGCGGAGGCGTCGTCTTCTCTCGGCACGCCTCCGCGCACCCCGGTCCACCCCGACGACGCCATCCTCCTCGTCGGCGGGTACACGCACGCGGACCTCCTCGCGCACACGCCGCGCGACGTCGACGCGTCGCACGCGCGCGGAGTCCACGTCCTCCGCGTGTGCGGCGTCACGGGCGGAATGACGCGACTGAGCACGAACGCGATCGGACCGAACGTCGCGTTCATCACGCGCTCGCCGACCAACCCGCAGATTTTGTACGCGACGACGGAACGCATCGACGACGAGGGTGAGGTGATCACGCTGCGGATCACGCCCGAGTTTACCCTCCGCGAGGTGAGCCGGGTGAAGACGGGCGGGCGGTCGACGTGTTACGTCAACTTTTGCAAAAATAAGGAGTACATGATGGTGGTGTCGTACTGGGACGCGAAGGTCAGCATGCTGAGGGTCGGGCCGGACGGACGGCCGGCGTCGCCGCGGAGCGTGATCATGCAACCGGAGGCAAAGTACGTGGACGATAAGAGGCCGACGCGGGAGGAGCACTGGAAGTTTCGCCAGCGGTGGCCGCACTCGCACTGCTGCGTCACGGAGCCGTACACGAACCTCGTGCACTTCGTCGTCGACCTGGGGTTGGACCGCGTGTTCGCGTACCGCGTCTGCCGCGTCAGCGGGTCGCTCGTGTTGAAGGGGTCCGTGGGGCTGCCGCGCGGGAAAGGGCCGCGGCACCTGTTGTTTCACCCTACGCTGCGCACGGCGTACCTCGTGAACGAGCTCGACAGCACGGTGTCGTGTTTCAGGGTGAACCTTCCCGCGTCGTGGGTCTCTTCGGAGGCGACCGTGGCTGCGGCAGCGGACGCGGCGATCTCAGCCCCGCCACCGATGGAGCAGGAGTGCGACACGCCCGGCGCGGCGTTGGAGCTCATCCAGTGCATATCGTCTTTACCCGTCTCAGAGCAAGGGAAGACGACGATCACGCCGCAAGGGGTGTGGAAAGCGGCGTCGCACAGCAGCGAGATTCGCATGCACCCGAGCGGCGCCTATTTCGTCGTCGGCAACCGCGGGCACGACTCGATCGCGACGTACGCGGTGGATCAGCGCACGGGATCGATCGCGCTCGTGGGCATCACCCCGAGCGGCGGGGAGTGCCCGAGGAACTTCAACTGGACCGGCGGCGGGGCGTTCTTGGTCGTGGGGTGCCAAAACTCGAACAGGATGTGCGCGTTTCGATTCGACGCCGCGACGGGATCGCTGACGCTCGCGGCGGCGCTCGAGGGGGTCGCGTCGCCAAACTACGTGTGCTCCGTGCCGATGTCCGCGGTCCCGGAGCTCGTGACCGCCGCTGCTCCCGCGGACGCGACGCCGACGTGCGTGAACGACGCGATCGCTCGCGTGAAGAGCTTCGAGATTGGGGGGATTCATCACTCTCACCACGGGAGCGCGTCCTCCGATTTCGACGTCGCGCCCGCGAGTCTCGTGCTGTGACGGGCGGACTTTCGATTCGATGCGACGACGGGCGAAGAGCCGACAGCGCGCGCCGCCGGCTCTCGCGTCCGATAGCACGTGAGGTACTGCTCTGTGACGTCGTACTTTACGAGCCAGACGCGACTATCGCGTCGGAATGAAACAGTCACGAGAGTACTGATCTTATATAGAAAGAATTCACGCCGCTCGTCACTCGCCGCCGCCGCCGAGCGCGGCGAAGGGATTCCCACCTCCGCCCGCGCCGCCGTCGCCGCCCTTCCTACCGCGCCCGCGTCCGCCGCCCCGCGCGCCCTTGCGTCCACGTCCACGCCCTGCCCCGGCCGCCAGGGGCGATTTCTCTTTCGTCGTCTCCTCCGCCGGAGGCGCGCCCGCGGCGGGCTTGACGGGGGGCGACTTGGTCCCTCTCCCGCCGCCGCCGCCGCGTCCGCCGGCGGTCGCCGCCGCCGGCTTCGCCGCGCCCTCGCCGTCGTCCATCGCGACGACGGCCGCCGGCGTCGCCGCCGCGGCCGCGCGAAGGGGCGAAGGCACGAACGGCGGCGCCGTCGCCTTGAGCGTCTTCGCCGGCGTCGCGTCCGCGCCGTCGGCGTCCCCCGCGGCTTTCCGTTTGTTCCCGCCGGCGTTGGCGTTGGCGAGATCCGCGGCGGCGACGCGCCGTCGCATCTCCTCGAGCTGCGCGGTCTTCTCCGCGAGCGCCTTCTCCATGTCCGCCTTCGCTTTCCGAGCCTTCTCTTGGTTCGCGAGGAGCGTCGCCTTCTTCTTCTCCGCCAGGAGCTCCGCGGTGGTTTTCTTCGCGCCGGCGGACGCGGGCGCCGGGGACGCCGCCGCCTTCGGGGACGCCGCCGCCTTCGGGGGCGTCGACGCCGCCGCGGCGACGGCGGCGAACGGGTTGCTCGCCGCGGGAGTCGTCGACGCCGCCGCGGGCGCCGCGGGCTCCGCGGGCGCGTCGCCCCCCGCTTCTGTGAGCAGCGAGTCCGCGAACGCGGCGGCGGTCGGGGAGAACGCCTCAGCGTCAGGCGCGGCTTCCTCGATCTCCGAGCCCGCCGTCGCCGCGGCGGCGGCGGCGCTCGCCTTGGCCGCCGCCGCCGCCGCGTCCTCCGCAGCCTTCTTCGTCGCCGCCGCCTTCTTCGCGTTCGCTTCGTCCACCTCCTTCTTCTTCGCCGTGTTCGCTTCCTCCGCAGCCTTGATCTTCGCCTCGAGCACCGCCTTCTTCGCGGCGGCTCGCGCCTCCGCCTCAGCCTTCGCCTCGGCAGCCTTCTTCTTCTCCCCGTCCTCGGCCGCCGCCACCGCCGGCGCGGCGGCGGCGCCTCGCGCGAACGGGTTCACCGCCGCGTTATCAGCCTTCTTCGGCGTCGGCGTCGGCGTCGCCTTCGCCTCGTGCTCCTCGCATCGCGCCCTGAGCCACGCGCTCGCGCTCGCGTCCACGCGGTACTGCGTCCCGTCCGCGCCGCCGTCGGCGACGTACCGCAGCGTCGCGCGCTCGACGGGGGTGACGCGCCCGCCGTCGAGCACCTCCGCGTAAATCGCCTTCGCGTCGTCCATGGAAACCTGTCCACCGTCGAGGTTCGCGTTTTCGCACAGCTTCAGCGCGGCGTCGTCGTACTTGACGCCTTTTATTTGGCGGTACTGCTTCTTCTTGGCGGCGGCGGCGGCGACGGGCGCGGGGACGCTCTTGGCGGCGGCGGCGACGGGCGCGGGGACGCTCTTTTTCGGCGCCGGCGCGGCGGCGCCGGCGGGCGCGCCGCCGCCAGCCTTCTTCTCCAACGCCGCCTTCTCCTGCTCGACGATCTTCATCCGCATGGACACGATCTCCATCTCCTTCTCCTTCGCCTCCTTCGCCTTCACCGCGGCGTCGCACTCCGCCGCCGCCTCGTCCAACGCGGTCTTCTGCGCCGCCACCTGCTGCTCCAGCTTCTTCACCATCTGTTGCTTCTTCAACGCCGTCGCGCGAATCTTCGCCACCATGTCGCCCTGGTCCCCTGCTGACCCGGCGGCCGCGACCGCGTCCGTCGCCGCCTGGAGCTTGGCCTCGAGCGATTCCTTCTCCTTCTGCCATTCCGCGGGCGCGGGCGCGGCGGCGGCGTCGACGTCCATCGCGGCGTCGCCCGCGGTCGCCGCCGCCGCCGCCGCCGCCGCGGCTTTCGCTTCGAGGTCCGCCTTTTCCTTCTCCCACGCCGTCGCCGCGGCTTCGAGCTCGGCGACGCGCGCTTTCATCTTCGCCTGGTTTTCCTTCCACTGCGGCAGCGGCACCTTCGCCGGGTTGTAGCTCTGGATGTGCTTCTTGGCGATCTCGAGCTGGGACCCGGACTTGTCCGCGCGCGCGGTGGCTGCGGCGAGCTCCGCGGCGGACGCCTCGGACGCCTCCGCGGCGGCCGCCTCGAGCTTCGCCGCGGCGTCCGCGGCGGCTTTCTTCGCCTCCTCGAGCTCCTTCTTCACCTTGTTGTGCTCGTCCAGGTCGATCTGGCCGTACTTATCCAGCAGCTGCTGCGTCCGCGTCTCCCAGCGCTTCGCGTCCGCTTGAAGGAGCTCGCGTTCGCCCGCGGCGCCGTCCGCGACGGCTTTGGCGCTCGCGGCTTCCCGTCGCGCCAGCTCCGCCGCCGCCGTCGCGTCCGCGACCGTCTTCTTCGCGTCCGCGATCGTCCCTCTCGCCGCCTCGAGCTCCGCGCGCAGCGTGCTGTTGCTCTCTTGAACGACGTGCAGGTGTTCCACCTTGGCGAGGAGGGCGCGGTATTTCTCTTCGCCGTCCGCGTCGCGTTTGCCCCCCGCGGCGTCCTCCTCGGCGCGGTCATTCCGCGCCTTGTCGAGCTCCTCCCTCGCGCTCTCCGCCTGACGCTGCCATCTGCTTCTCTCCATCGAAACCACCTCGAGTTGGCACACCGCGGCCTCTTTCTCCTCGCGCAGGAACCGGACCACCTCGCGGAGGTTCTCGTCGCCCGATCCCGCGTCGCCCGCGCCCGCCTGACCGTTCGCCTTGGACGCGTCCTCGAGCCGGTCGTGGAGCAGCGCGTTTTGACTCGCGAGCTTCGCCGCGTTCGCCTCCGCGTCGCGCTTCGCCTTCTCGATGACGCCGCGCTCGTTCGCCCACGCGTCCTCCGCCTTCGCGAGCGCGTCAGAAGCCTCGCGCGCCTTCTCCCGCGCCGTCTCCAAGGCTTTGCCCTCCTCCGCGCGTCGCGCCTCCTCGGCGTTGAGCTTCTTGACGTCCTCGGCGTGATGAAGCAGCTCCTGCTCGTACATCTGCTGCGCGGACCTCCACTGCGCGCGGTGCGACTCCACGTCCGCCGCGAGCTCGGCGACTTTCTGCTCCGCGGCGGCGACCGCGGCTTTTGCGGCGGTGGACGCCGCGATCGCGTCCGCGGCTTCCTTCTTCGCGGCGTCCGCGTCGGCGGCTTTCGCCTCGGCGTCCTCCGCGCGTCTTCGCCACTTCGCCGCCGCGCTCGACTCCGCCTCCGCGGCGCGCGCTCTCAACGCCTCCGCCTCCGCGGCGGCGTCCGACGCGAGCTTCTCTGAATCGGACTTGAGCGCGTCGAACGCGGTCTGCATCTCTTTGATCGCGGAGTCGTTCTGCTCCGCGAGCGCGCGGTAGTGCGCGGCGTGGCCCTCCGCGGCGGCGGCGGCTTCCCTCGCGACGGCGGCGTCCTCCCCCGACTTCATCGCCGCGGCGAGCAGCTCCATCTCTCTCGGCGTGGTCGCGCCCCCCGCCGCGCCCGCGGACGCGGCGTTGACGACGCCCGCAGCCTCCGCGGTCGCGCTCACGGAGCCTACGCCGGGAAGAGAGGCGGGGCGGATCGCGAGCTTGACGCGTTCCTCAGCCTTGGCGAGCTGCTGCTCTAGAACCTTGGCGCGCGCCTCCGCGACTTGCGCTTTGGTCTCCGCGTCGCTCTTCGCCTCGCGCAGCCTCGCGGCGTTCGCCTCGTCCTCCGCCGCGCGCGTCGCCGCCTTTTCGTTCGCCGCCGCGGCCGCGGCCGCCGCGGATCGCGCGCGCTCGCGCTCCGTCTCGAGCGAGGACTGAATCGCCGCCCACTCCTTCTGCAGACGCGCGACTTCGCCCGCGAGGCGCTCGCGCTCGCGGCTAATCTCCTCCTGCCTCGCCGCCTGCACCGCGAGCGCGGCGTCGCGCGACGCCTCGAGCTTCGCCTTCTCCGCGGTCACGGTAGCGGCGGTTTCCGCGGCGCGCTGCTCCGCGACGTGCAGCAGCGCGCGTTCGCTCTCCGCGCGTCGCGCCGCGGATTCCGCCGCGGACGC